TTTGTTTGTTTATTGCAAAATGTTCGATTATTCGATTTCTCAAGAAAATTCTCTCTTTTCTGTTTTTCTCTTCTCACGACAGCCTTCACGACGCGTCTCATCTCTCTGTCGCTTATACAACTTTCCAACCCACTGCCACAACTGCCAGATTAGCTCAGTGTGGTAAGCGCCAGTCTCATAATCCGGTTTTGCGGCACAGATAAACGGCGGCATAGGCACAATGGAAGCATAATGGAACGGCTGTGGATATCATAGGAATCTTATATGCAAGTTATATGGAAGCATAATGGAAGCATTTTTTTGCGGAACCGCGTGTTTCGTATATGGAATGAGCCGTATGCCTTCCATATGGGCAAATAAGAAAACAATTTGATTGCTGTATTCAAAATTTATTTCATATTAACACATTTATTTAATTTAAAATAAAAAAAAAACAACAATGAAATGAATTTGAATTAAGATATAATCAAACCATTAGTTACTGGCAACTGCCGAACTATTCGAATCATTGTCAGTACTGACATCGAGCGGGACGCTGTAATAAGTAGAATTCATATCGTTCACACTTGGTTAAAAAGCCGTGTTATGACGTGTTATGAATTACATTATGCTTCCTATATGGAAGCATTATGCTTCCGTTCCACAGATTTCCCACAATACTTCCATTATGCTTGCGTCGCGCTTAATCAGTGGGGTTCGAGCCCCGCATCGAGCCGACCCATTTTTTGCGATTTTTGCCGCTGCGTCGAACAATTTGTTATCATTGCTGAATTCTCCTTCCCGTTGTGTTCATCATGGTTCCGTCAAACAATTTCAATAAATAGGTAAACGATTGCGAAAAAAGCGAGAGAAAGATAGAACTGATAGTGAAACCCCCCGAAAGTATTTCGTTGTTTGTTGGTGGTGAGATGCGCGTTGGCAAACAGTCGCTGATTTTTCGCTCTATCTATCTAACCCTTCACCAACAATTCGAAAAAAAAATGGTTGTGTTTGATTTTGAAGCATTTTTGCCCTCTGACATGTATTTACTTTATTGTTTTACATTAAATAGTGAGTTTTGCGCGTATTTGCACAGAAAAAAAATTGCAAATTGATTTTTACTGTTTCAAATAAGCAATTTATGTGAAAATTGAGAGCATTTCTTTTTCAACGAAAAAAACCCATGAACAAAAAGTTTTGGAAAAAAAAAGCCTTGGCAGATTTCGCAAAAAAATATTTTTTTGGGTTTTTTCTTGAAATTTTCTTCTCCAAAAGCAACATATTGATTTTTCGTTGAGAATTTTCACCTTTTACATTTTAAAAATTTTTTTTTGGCATTTCATGATAATTATTCCATTTTTGTGAAAAAAAAGCTTAATTTTAGCTCAAAATGGTTTCAAAAATTGAGATTGTCATTTCTTTGAATTTTTTTTTTGCGCAAAAAAATATTCATAATAAATTACTGTAGCGAAATTGCTTCGAGACCCATTTTCAGCTTTCGCATGCGCCTTTGAAAACAAATGACGAAAAAATACGATTTATTGAGTATTTTTTCAAATATTCTTTTATGGAAAAATCCACCAAAAATTGATAATTTCGATAGAAAACTTCATTTCAAAAAAATTCGACAGTTAGCATCGAATTTTAGAATTTTTTTAAAATTGCCGAAAAATGGGTTCATAGCAATTTTTTACTAAAATATATAGTAAGATATATATTTCTAAAATATATAAAAAGGGAATTTAATTATAATAAAAAATAAAAAGGGAATTCAATTAGAATAAAAAATTAATTCTAGAAAAAAAAACATTTTTTTCAATTTATTTTTTTTGCAAACCACACAACGCTTGCTTTTCACACAAAAAAACCCCAAAAAAATTGAAATTGAAATATTCATTTTCGATTCAAAAAACTTTTTGATTCAAAATTAAATTTCAATCCAAAAAAAATCAAAATCGAAATTGAATACCTTCAGAAATACGCCAATTCATTTTTTTGCTCATTATTTCTTAAAAAGTAGTAGATGGCATATGATTGTGACGCTTAGCTGCTTCAACTCATCAGAATCAAGGTCATGTTGACAAGCGGTTGGCCTTATTTGGTGTCAAAATGAGGGAGACCCCCCTCCCGGTCACCTCCGACCAGGCAGACCGCGTTGTATTCAATTCAGGCGTCGGCGTCTGTCGAATTGCGACCATCCGTCCATTCCAAATTTACATTCGGCTGATTTTCAAGTGTGTTCTCGGCAACAACCACATTGTCATATTACGGTTCGAACCTTGAGTAGCGTCGTGTTTGCTCTGCATCTCTGCGCTCTCTCGCACCAATTATTTCTAGTTAATTAAGCACCGTCTGGAAATTCGCCAACAATCGGCGTCCCGCAAAAATTGCTGCTTCCTTCTTTTTGTTGTTGTTGTTGTTGTTGTTGTCTCGCTGCCTTTCCGCTCTCCTCATTGTGCGTTGTCTATTGGTGACGCGCGATCGCACCCGCACCATTGATGGTGGCTGCCCGTCGCTCGCCACCGCCATTTTTCGTTTTTGCGATTACGTCATCACAATGATGATTATTGTTTGGGAAATGTCGCGTTTGTTTGTTTTTTTGAATCAGACAATTATTTCAAACCTTTAAAGCTGTTATGGTCCCGCAGCGAAATTGAATGTCTCTACCATCCCTCTGATGTTTCGTTGAATTTTTTTCGTTGAATTAAACGATTTCTTGCAAATTCTCCATTGAAATTGGTTCAATCTAAAGCGGCAATCAATTTTTTTTCGAGAGGAAATATATGGGAAGGAATTTCAATTCAAAATAGCGCCCATTTTTCGAATGCAAATGATTTTCTATTCGCTTAAATGGTTGGAATATCCCTCGAAAATCGGCGAAGAAATAGCGAAAATTGAATTTTCCCCCTTTTTTTTATTGATATTTATGGTGAAAATCATCCCTGCCGCGGGAATAACTAAAAAAATTCCGAAAAAAAATTGTAGACAAAAAATTCAAATTTGCTGATTTACGATAAATCGAGTCCGCGTAAATGATGGAGTGTCGTTGTTGCATTTTTTTTTTCAAAATGAATTTTCAAAACTCAAATTTTTCTTTTTTGATTCTCTTCGTTTTGACAATTTGAAATTATCGCGCGTTCGTCTAGGCAATCGAAAAATGTCACCACGAATCGTTTTCAAATCCGCAAAAATTCGTGTGGACGTCGCCGAGACCACATCGAAAGGGGGGTTCCGCTCGTAAATTTTGACGGTGGCGCCAATTGCCGACACTCGTTGTACCCTCGTTCATAAATCACCGTGACTATTATTATTATTATTATTATTATAACTAACTATATACTATAGATTTATTTATTATAGGACATTGAGTGCGAAAAGAGGGGGGTACATCTGGTCTAGTTCAATACCAATTTTCCCGCATCCTTTTGTTTGTGAGAGCCGACCGACGAAGAAAGAAAAGAGCCGCCTCCACCATCGTCGGGTGCCCGAGAAAGAAAAAAATTAGATAGAGCAGTAAACATTTCTTTTTCTTCCCCTTCCCCCCCATTTCTTTTTTTTGGAGGGGCCCACAACACAGCGGAAACTTCCGAATTTGGCATTCTGCCGCTCGGTGACTTCACTCGTTCGAATCGATTGCTGTGGCCTTGTTGAATGTATGTATGTATATGTGTGTGTGTTTGAATTCGGGAAAAAAAAACGGGACGAATAAAATTTTTGTTAGAGGCGGGCGACGCGCCCTCTGCCTCGCCGCGAATAAAAAAAATGCCTTCTTTTTCTGTTCGCTTTTTTTTGTGTATTGTTGCCAATATGTATTTCCATCAGATTGGTTTCTTTTCTGCCGTTCCGCACCACTCGTCATTATTTGATGGCGACGATCAATCAAGTCGAGGTGTCCAATTTGAAACGAGGTTCCAAGTCAAGAATTTGGCGTTCTTTTCGCTGCGAGACCCCCTTTTTGCCCTTTTAAGTACCATTATCACTAATCATCAACCTTTGTGCTCTCAAATTGTACTGGTTCGCTTCGAGACCATCAACGAACGACAAGGTGTAGTTGATCCTTGTGCAAATAGGCGCGTTTTAGTCAAGAGGTTTTGCGCGTCGAGCGCGCGCGCTATCAAAACTGATGTGATTTCGATCAAACGCGACAAGAATATGAAGAAAAAAATGCTAAAGAATCGAGCTAGACGCCATTTATCTCGTCCTTCGGAAGCTTTACTACGGCGGATCTGCCCTCCCTCCAGCGCAGTCCGAAAAACTCATTGGTTATGGGGGGTCCCAGTTGTGTGCAGATGTCGCCCTCTCGCGTTCAATTCTCTTCTCTAGCTCCCTCTCTGTCAAGAGCAGGCAGGCAGACGAGCAGCAACTAACTAGCTAAGCCCGAGCTCTCTCTCTCTCTCTCACTCTCCCTTCTAGCGTATGTATGAATGTGGTGCAGCTTCTGCTTCTGCGACCTCTCCACTTGTCCGCGTCGGTTTTTTTTTTCCCAATGGATACATTGGCAGTATGCCAATGGCCCCGAGCTCCGTCGCAAGCTTCTCGTCTCGCGCGCTCTCACTCCCTCCCTCTCTCTCTCTTCCCACCCTCTTCATTCATCCAAGCCGTTTGGCCTATTCCCTGGCGGTTGGTGGGGTTTTGTTCTGTCGCCCCCCCCCCTGACGCCACACACCAATACAAACACCCAAAATTCGCCAAAATTGTGTCACAATTATTGTTTTTTTTGTCCAATCCAATTCTATCATGTCACGTCGATTTTCCATACATTCGAAATTCTAGGAATTGACCAAATCAATTCATTTTTGATCTACTTCGTTTAGCCGCCTTCAATGTTTTTCAAATGCAACTCGTTTTGTTTTGCGCTTCTTCCGAAATCAATAATGGAAGCTAATTGATTTCGAATATCCCGAATTCCGAATCCAATTCATCTATTCGCTTCTCGAATTATTACTATTCTTTTTTTGTAATTCATCTTCTTCTTTTTTTCAGGCGATACAACGCACTAAAGAGGCCGCGCGTGCACGGTGATGTCGAACGACGACGGCGGCGGCATCGGCGAGATTCCACCGCCACCAACGATGCCGAGCGATTCGGGCGCGCCGCCACAATTGCCGACGACGGCTGAGCAGGCCACCACCGGCGGCAAGGTGAGATGGAGTCAATGGTTCCAAAAAAAAAAACAATCGTCCAAATTTTTTAGGCCGAAGGAAGCGCGGCGTTTTTGCGCGCCGCTCGCGCCGGCGATCTCGAGAAAGTCCTCGAGCTTCTTCGCTCCGGCACCGATATCAACACATGCAATGCGAATGGTCTGAATGCGCTGCATTTGGCGTCGAAAGAGGGCCATCAGGAAGTCGTTCGCGAGCTCATCAAACGCAAAGCGCAAGTCGACGCGGCGACACGGGTACTCGAATTGACTTCTCTCTCTTTTTTTTGGCCATTCTTATTAACTATTCCGATTGTAGAAAGGAAACACGGCTCTTCATATCGCATCGCTCGCCGGCCAATCATTAATAGTTACAATTCTTGTTGAGAATGGCGCCAACGTCAACGTGCAATCCGTCAACGGATTCACACCGTTGTACATGGCGGCGCAGGAGAACCATGAAGACGTCGTGCGATATTTGTTGAATCATGGAGCGAATCAGGCGCTCTCCACCGAGGTTCGTTTCGTTTCGAAATTGTGAAACCGAACACCGTCCGGTTGTTCGGTGTTCGATTACCGCTAATTTTTCGGCCGGCCGACCGGCGTCTTCATTTCAAATTGATGAGCTATTTAAGGACGGGTTCACGCCGCTGGCGGTCGCCCTTCAACAAGGCCACGATCGCGTCGTCGCCGTGCTCCTCGAGAACGACACACGCGGCAAAGTTCGCCTACCGGCGCTTCACATTGCCGCCAAAAAGGACGACACGAAAGCGGCGACGTTGCTGTTGCAGGTTTGACGCAAAACTCATCGAACCTCACTGTTGTCCAATTTTTGCAGAGCGAACACAATCCGGATGTGACGTCGAAATCCGGCTTCACACCGCTCCACATTGCCGCACATTACGGGCACGAGAATGTGGCGAAGCTTCTGCTCGACAAGGGCGCCAACGTGAATTATCAGGCGCGGCACAATATTAGGTGAGTGGGGGCAATATGGGACGCATGTGGGCTCATGGCATAATTCAATCTCGCTTCAATGTGTCGCACCCCTTTTGGGAATTGTGCACTTCCCCCCACCCAAACAAGTGGTGCGGGCCACTTCTCTATCTCTTCCACCGTCTCTCTCTATTTTTTGTCTTCAAAAAAAAAAGCCTCCCGTTTCCTTATTTTATTTTCATATATATTTTTTTGCAGTCCACTTCATGTGGCGACGAAATGGGGACGGACGAACATGGCGAATTTGTTGCTCTCGCGCGGTGCCATCATCGATTCGCGCACGAAAGACTTGCTGACGCCGCTTCATTGCGCGGCGCGATCCGGACACGATCAGGTCGTCGATTTGCTTGTCGTTCAGGGCGCGCCGATATCGGCGAAGACGAAGAACGGGCTCGCGCCGTTGCACATGGCCGCGCAAGGCGATCACGTCGACGCGGCAATCACGCTTCTCTATCATCGCGCGCCGGTCGACGACGTCACCGTCGATTATCTGACGCCGCTTCACGTCGCCGCCCATTGCGGACACGTTCGTGTGGCGAAAGCGCTACTCGAGAGGAACGCCGATCCGAACGCGCGCGCGCTGAACGGATTCACGCCGCTTCACATCGCGTGCAAGAAGAATCGAATCAAGGTTGTTGAGCTTCTCCTCAAATTCCGCGCTGTCATCGAGGCGACAACGGAATCGGGACTCACGCCGCTTCACGTCGCTTCGTTCATGGGAGCGATTCAGATTGTGCTGCTCCTCCTTCAGCAAGGAGCCAATCCGGATGTGGAGACGGTTCGCGGCGAGACGCCGCTCCATCTTGCGGCGCGCGCGAATCAGACGGACGTGGTTCGAGCGCTCATCCGAAACGGGGCCAAGGTTGACGCGCAAGCGCGCGAGCTTCAAACGCCGCTTCACATTGCGAGCCGTCTCGGCAACACCGACATTGTGGTGATGTTGCTGCAAGCGGGCGCCAACTCGAACTCGGCGACACGCGACTTGTACACGCCGCTTCACATCGCGGCGAAAGAGGGCCAAGAAGAAGTGGCGGCAATTCTGCTCGATCACAAAGCCGACAAATCGCTGCTCACCAAGAAGGGCTTCACGCCGCTTCATTTGGCGAGCAAATACGGCAATCTCGACGTCGTCAAATTGCTACTGGAGCGGGGCACTCCGGTCGATATTGAGGGCAAGAATCAGGTGACGCCGCTTCACGTCGCCGCGCATTATAACAACGATAAGGTGAGTGGTGTGATGATGGTGGAGATTTTCAATTTGTTGTCTTTTTCCTCAATAGGTCGCAATGCTTTTGCTGGAAAATGGGGCTTCCGCGAAGGCAGCGGCGAAGAACGGCTACACGCCGCTTCATATTGCGGCCAAGAAGAATCAAATGGAGATCGCTTCGACGCTTCTCCAATACAAGGCTGATCCGAACGCAACGTCGCGCGCCGGATTCACGCCACTTCATTTGGCGGCGCAAGAGGGACATCGTGAGATTTCGGGGCTTCTCATCGAAAATGGTTCGGATGTAAGAGCGAATTGCGATTTGAATCGATGGGGCATGATCGTGTTTTGCTAATTTTTCCAGGTTGCCGCCAAGGCGAACAACGGTCTGACGGCGATGCATTTGTGCGCGCAAGAGGATCGTGTGCCGGTCGCGCAGATTCTCTATGACAATGGGGCCGAGATCAATTGCAAGACGAACGCCGGCTACACGCCGCTTCACGTCGCGTGCCATTTCGGCCAACTCAACATGGTCAAATTTCTCGTCGAACATGGGGCTGATGTTGGCGAGAAGACGCGCGCCTCGTACACGCCACTTCATCAGGCCGCCCAACAGGGCCACAACAACTGCGTTCGCTATCTTTTGGAGCACGGGGCGTCTCCGAACGAGCAGACAGCGGTAATCGAAATTGCGATATCCAATTCGAATGCATTCGGTTTTCAGAACGGTCAAACGCCACTATCGATTGCCCAACGACTCGGCTATGTCAGTGTTGTTGAGACGTTGCGAACGGTGACTGAGACGACGGTGATCACCGAGACGACGACGATCGACGAGCGCTACAAACCGCAAAATCCGGAGGCGATGAACGAGACGATGTTCTCCGAATCGGAGGACGAGGGTCAAGCGGCCGAGCACGAGGCGGCGGCGGCGCACGAGAAGGACTTTAGCGACAATTTGACGCAGGCGCTTCAGGACTCGACGGGCGTTCATATGATTCACACCGGCGAGCAGGTAAATCAAGTGTACTGTTATTGGGGGGGGGGGACCGACCCTTTTTGTGCGCGTTGCCAATTGAAATCGGCGTTTTTGAGGCGTGCCTCCCAACAATAAAAACGCGGTGGGGGGGAAATGGGCATATCTTTTTTCACGAATGAAAAACGATCCCTGGTAGTGCTGCCGGCGGCAGCGGCAAACCGATGAATTGATGAGCACATGAGCCCCGCTTTCTTCGCTATCTTATTGAGCCCCCCCCCCTTCGCTTGCTAACACTCGCCTCGATTTCGCGTTTGGTTCGTTTTTGTTGGCCCTCCCGCGTCTTCTTCTTCTTCTTCTTGGTGTTGTAAGACGAGGGTCTCATCATAATTTCATCACTAAATACAACATCTGGCTCGCGCTGCTCCTGCCGATGCAATGTTTATTTTATGACGAATGCGTTTTGATGATGATGATGATCTTAAATCATTGTTTATTATTATTTTTTTTTCAATATTTTTTGTTTGCAGCTCCTCCAACGCAGTCAAGAGCTCGAGAACGGCGGCGCGATACCGACGGTGAACGCTGGCGGAATTGCGCGATTGTCGCCGGACAAGGAGCAGCAGCAGCAGCGATTCGCGAAAATCGCGCCGCTTGCGGCCGCGCCGCGCACATCGACAACCGACGCCAACGCCGACAACAACATCGAGGAGTTGATACGCAAAGCGCAAGCGCATCCGGTGCACTACGACAATTCGACGATGATGGACCATCATCATTCGACGCATCCCGATAATGTGCCGATTGGAAATCATGTCACGCAGCCAAGGTGGGCGATATATATTTATTATTTCAGTTTTCAATGGTCCTATTCATTAAAAATTACAAAAATTGTAAAAATTGCACTAAATGAATAATTTTCAAAATTATTTAATTGCATGAATAGGTCCATTAGTTTCTCTTTTTTTTACTCTGGCGATGACCTTTATCCCACTAATTAATTAATTAATTAATTTGAATTGTTTTTCATTTCACCTAACATTCATTATTTATTGCAGTAAACTTCAACATAGAACGTAAGTTGACACACGAGTTTTCGTTGTTGTGTCGTGTCCGTATTTGGAAATTTTGAAAAAGCAAAAATTCTTTTTTTTTTTGAGTTGCATGTTTTTGTGGTGTTGCCTCAGTTTTATTTTTTTTTGACCCACGACCTACTGTGGAATTTATTTTTCTTGCAGCTTCTTGATATCGTTCCTTGTGGACGCGCGTGGTGGCGCGATGCGTGGATGCCGACATTCGGGAGTTCGGATAATTGTGCCGCCGCGAAAAGCCTCGCAGCCGATTCGAGTCACATGTCGGTATTTGAGAAAGGTTGGTTTGATTTTTTTTTCTTGGACCCCTCCCCCCCTCGAAATGGACTGTTTTTTTTTGTTTAAAGGATAAGCTCGCCCATCCGCCACCATTGAGCGAGGGCGAAGAATTGGCGTCGCGAATTTTGGAGATGGCGCCGGCCGGTGCGAAATTCTTGGGACCCGTCATTTTGGAGGTGCCGCATTTCGCGTCGCTTCGCGATCGCGAACGTGAAATTGTGATATTGCGATCCGACGACGGACAACATTGGAAGGAGCATCAATTGGAGGCCACCGAAGACGCCGTTCAGGAAGTGCTCAATGAATCGTTCGACGCTGAAGATCTTGCGCAACTCGACGACCTTCATACGCCGCGAATCACGCGCATCCTCACCAATGACTTCCCGATGTACTTTGCGGTTGTTACGAGGGTACGGCAGGAGGTGCATTGCGTTGGTCCGGAAGGTGGAGTCATCATCTCTTCGGTGGTGCCGAGAGTTCAGGCGATCTTCCCCGACGGCTCGCTGACGAAAACGATCAAGGTGTCGGTGCAAGCGCAGCCGGTGCCGCAGGAAATGGTGACGAGGCTTCATGGAAATCGTGTGGCGGTCTCGCCGATTGTTACGGTTGAGCCGAGGCGGCGCAAGTTCCACAAACCGATCACTCTTTGCATTCCGTTGCCGCAGAGTAACAATAAGGTAGGGAATTGAGTAATCCTCTCTGATTCATTTGTTTTTCTCTCTCTCTAGGCGATGCTGACTCAATACTCTGGACAACAGGGCCAAGAGCCACCAACACTGCGATTGTTGTGCTCGATCACCGGCGGTTCGGCGCCAGCCCAATGGGAGGACATCACCGGAACGACGCAGTTGACGTTCACCGGCGACGAGGTGTCGTTCACGACGACGGTCTCGGCGCGATTCTGGCTAATGGACTGTCAGACGCCGCGAGACGCCGCGCGAATGGCTCAAGAGGTCTACAATGAGGCCATCTCGATTCCGTACATGGCGAAGTTCGCGGTGTTCGCGCGAAGGACGTTCCCGATTGAGGGCCAACTCCGCGTGTTCTGCATGACCGACGACAAGGAGGACAAGACGCTCGAGAAGCAAGAGCACTTCAAATTGATTGCCAAATCGAGAGACGTCGAGGTGTTGAAGGGCAAACATCAATTCCTTGAGTTTGCCGGCAACTTGGTGCCGATCACGAAGAGCGGCGATCAGCTGAGCCTCTTCTTCTTGCCGTTCCAGGAGAATCGATTGGCGTTCATGGTGAAGACGAGGAACAAGGACGACGCCGAAGCGGCGACGGAAGGACGAATCGCGTTCATGGCCGAGCCGAAGGTTCGCGCCGAATCGCTGCCGCCGCAACAGCCGATTTGCACGCTGGCCATCTCGCTTCCCGAATACACCGGCGAGGTGAAGCCGATTGGAAGTGCGAAGAAGGACACGACGCCGTTCGAGCAGAAGTACCAAGTTGCGCTCGACAAGGAGCTTCCCGAATTTGTTCATCAGAACGTGCTCAAAGGCGTTGGAGCCGATTGGCCGCGACTCGGACGCGCGCTTGAGGTTCCGCATCGCGATATTCAACACATTCGTCATCACTATCCGGGACAAGAATGCAAGAACACCTTGAAAATCTGGATCCATTTGAAGAAGGAAGACGCGACGCCGGAGAATCTCGATCAGGCATTGAAGCAGATTGGTCGCGACGACATCGTGAGGAGTATTGCGTTTGGCGAGCCGGAGGCTCTCATCAACTACGGCGCTGATTCGCCGAGTCAGAAGCGCGATCCGATCAAACAATTCGCCACCGAGCCGATCAAGTTTGACTTGAAGCGAGAGGTGAGGACGGAGGAGATCGTCAAACCTGAGCCGACGCGCGAGCCTGAGACAGCTTATGCTCCAGCTCCAGCTCAGTACAGTCCGGTGGCGGAGGAGACGGAACAAGAAGTTGCCGAAGGTAAGGGGGCGGGGAGGGACCCATCCATTTCTCTCATGGTTAATTATTATTGTTGATTTATTAGATGAAGCTCCGGTATCGGAATTGAGGACGGTTGTGAGAACTGAACGACACGTTCATGACACCGAAGAAGGTCCGATTGTGGAAGAAAGAACGATAACGACGACGTACGAGGATGATGTGGCGGTTAATGAGAATATTGTTGATCGACGAGTGCCGCTGAATGAGGAAGAGCAAAAGAAGTGAGTCGCGTTTGATTTGACGAGATTCCCATGTGATTGTTTTAGATGGGACGAGCTCAATCGGCTAGCTGAAGAAGCTCAACCGCGAGCGTCTTCTGACCATCTGCCAGACGACGTTGAGCAAACGGTACAACGCGAGCAGCACGTTGAAAGCGACGGCACCGTTGTGACGACGACGACGACAACGAGTCACATCACCGGTAAGTATGACGATCATGACACCCGAACCCATTCAATCCAACCTCTTCTAACCCCCGCTGTCACCTTCCATTTCCAGAAGACGTCACGTCACCCTCACCGATTCGCGAAGAAGAGAATGAAGAAGGTACTAATTGATGAGCACCGCACCAGAATTGTCCTGTTTCTTGAAAAAAAAGCCAAATAAGAGCTCCTGTTAAAGGAGGAGACATCCTTTGATTCCTTTTAAAGTGAAAACGCAAGAAAGTACCCTCAAACGCTTTTATTTATTGAATAAATTGATATGTATTGCTATTGCTTCGACGGGAGTTTGCTCGCACACAAACTTCGCTCGCCTTCTCCTTCTCTCTCTCCCCTCTCTCTCTCTTCTCTTCCTCAGATCCGATCGTTTTTTATTGGATGTGCTCTGCTCGACTTCTAGTTCTCGTCGAAAACACGTCGCGGGGTCAGTCAGCTGCCGCGGGGCCGAATCTCCGCCTTTGTTATTGCGAAACGGCGTCAGTCTCGTGAATAAGCATGATTGTTGGCGGTGTTCTTGCCGACGGCACTCCGATAATTATTGGCGTCGTTGGCGACGCGTTCGCCACCGTCCACCATCACACTATTCATCATGTGGTGTCGTCGAACAAATTCGAGGCCGAATCGTGGGACGGCGAGCACGCGCCGCACGAGGTCGACGACGCCGGCGCGCCTCGACGCTTCTCGATCTATTTGGAAGAGCAACAGCCGACCGACGAGGAGACGCCGATCGCGAGCAGCGAGCAGTTCGAGAAGCGCGGACGGAGCGCGTCGCTGGCCGCCGCCCTACTCGAGCTCGATCCGACCGGCGTGCCGCTTGTGCAGTTCTTCAAACTCGCCGCACACCAGCCGCTTCTCGAGGTCGCCGACGAGGAGGAGGTGGAGATCGAGGCGACAGACGGCGAGCGTGTGCTCGGCGATCTGCTGTTCACACTCCAACAATTGCGAATGACGGCGCCGGCGAAACACGAGGAAGCCGTCGCGCGACTTCGCCAACTCGAAGAGGAGCTTCGCGCCGCCGGCGCGGTGACGCCCGCCGATCCGGCGGTGTCGGAAGCGGTGGCGCGAGCGCTAGCCGTCGCCGGTGCCGGACGCGACGTGCAGATTCGCGTGAATCAGAGCAAACACACGACGACGACGAAGACCGTCTATGAGACGGAGACGCCGGCGATGGCCAACATGGACGTCGAGCAGATTCGCAAACTTCAGCAAGAGATTCTTGCCGATATTTGTAGGTTGAGCTTCCCATCCCCCCAGAAATCCCTTCCTCCTAAATTCACTTTCTTGCGTTTTCCCTCAAAAAAAAAAGAAAATTGATCTCCCTCAAATCATTGTCGAAATTTCAGCGACCGGCGGACATGACGCGCCGGAAGGCACCACACAGAAGAAGGAGACCGCCGAGGAGGGATTCACCAACGAGGACGGCTCGGTGGTGGTGTCGAAGAAGATGACGCGTGTGGTGACGACGACGAGAACCACACTTCCAGGTGGGCTTTCGAAACTTCTTTTTTTTAAATGTCATCAATCGATAATCGAGGATGATGGTTGTTTGGAATTGAAAGAGAGAGAGAGAGGTTGTCGTTGAGGCGAAATAGTGCGAGTGAGACAACGTTTTACACAATGTTGTGTTTCGTTGGTTTGAAGGGTTTGGGGGGAAGGGGGAGAGGAAGTGGAACACAAATAAAATCGAACAACTCTGGTGAAATTGCGAGATGGCCGCGCGTTTTGCGGCCGCGCATTTCTAGGCCATCTAGTTTGAATCAACTTGAGAGACTTGGACAATTTGCCCTTTTGTTGTTGTTGTCGTTTGAAATTTATCCACAATTATATTTTCAGGCGACGGCGAGGAGCCATCAGCACCTGGTGAGTAGAGGCGAAGCGACGGACCATCATCATCGTCAACGAGTGCCAAAATCCTCCACCAAAAAAAAAGAATCAAACTTTAATCTTTCTCTCATCGTTCATTTTTTTTTCTTCTCAAATAATAGAATAAAATATTGCCATTTTGCCAAAGAATAGATACAAATAAATATGAGAAATGATAGACACACATATATATTTATATGATATATTTTGTTTTGTTTCTATGTTGTTCTTGTGTTTTGTGCATGAAGGAGCGGATTGGATCGGATCGGATTGGATTATTTCAAATCGCACTTGAAATCATGCGGCTCGTCGGGAAATATCTGAAGTTGGCATGGTGATTAGTTTGTGCTGTTGTGATCGCTCAAGCTTCTGGTGGTGGTGGTGGTGCTCATTGGAGCTATGTTTATTCTCGGGATACTCAAGGACGCGATTCGCGGCAAGACCTATTCGTTGTGAGAGTTTCGTGCACCATTAAGTTCGAGCTTGTCTCATATATCACGAAATTTGTATATATTCTTTGGCAAACCATTAGAGTGGGGGGAGGATTTTTTGGCGCTGAAAAAAAAATTATTTTTTTTTCAATTTCTGATTTCAGAATCGCCGGTGGAGTCGCTTGGTTCGGTGAAGGATCGAATTGCGAAATTCGAGCAGCTCAAGGATGAGCAGCCGGCGCGAGAGCCGTCGGAGCACAGCCTCTCGTCGCAGACGCATCTCCAAGCCGTTGAGCCGACATCGCCGGTCGATATCACGATAACACCGCACACGCCGATTCCGCCCGACGAGGTGGAGAATGAGCCGCTTCAACCATCGGAGGAGGTGGTGTCGACGGCCGAGATCAAAGACACCCGACAGCATAAGCTCGACGACGATGAGGAGTTCGCCGGCGAGCTTGAACCATCCGAAGAGCACGTGTCGAGTGCCGAGATCAAGGACATCAAGTCGTATTCGCCGAGCTCGTCCGAAGACGAAGGGATGACGAGAAAGGTCGAGAAGCTCGTTGAGAACGTCGAGCCCGAAGTCGCTCCTCAATTTGTTGCCGAGAGCTTTGTGAAGCAGGAGGAGCACAAGGTTGAGGATATTGAGAAGGAGCCGGTGTACACCGGACATCATGAGCCGACGCAGGCGACGCTGATTGTCTCCGAGCGGCCGATCGCGCAGGAGTATGCGGAGAGTGTGACGTCGGATGATGGAGGCGTCGGAGAGAAGGTTGTCGATCTCTCGAAGAAGGCTGGACTTGTTGCGGCTGCGCCGTTCGCAATCGTTGGCGCTGGTGTCAAGGCAGCGTACGATGCGCTCACTGAAGAGAAGCCTGAAGATGTGAGTCCGAAAGAATACGAGGATGAGCATCTCACCGAAGCAGAACCGGTGATCGAAGAAGAAGTGACGACGACTGTGACGAGCGAATTCCATGAAGGACCTCAAGATCAAGAAGAAGCGTATGAAGTCAGCGGATCTCCTGAACCCGAACAACTTCATCGCGACGAGCTTCCGCATTCAGAAGTCACAACCACTGTGACCACGATCACCCGCGAATTCTACGATGGACCATCGCCGGTCACTTCTGTACATGATGATGTTGCTGACAGAAAATCGGATTCTGAAGTTGCGTCAGAAGCTCCAGAAGACACGCATTCTATTCAACAATCAGTATCCGATGAGCATAGCGAATTCCCAGTTCATCGTGATGACGATCAAGAACCAGAACACCTGGAACGCGACGAGCTTCCACACACAGAAGTCACCACAACAGTCACCATCATCACTCGTGAATTCTTCGACGGATCTCAACCATCGACAGCTGCATCTGTTCACGATGACGTCAGCGAGAGAAAGTCAATTCCTGATACCGCATCTGATGCTCCAGAAGACGTGCATTCAATTCCGCAAGAAGACTTCGCGACCACTCAACAGGAAGAAGAACACCTTCAACGGGATGAGCTTCCACACACTGAAGTAACCACAACAGTCACCACAATCACCCGAGAATTCTACGACGGATCTCAACCGTCTCCTGCTGAGAGAAAATCGATTTCCGCAATTGCCTCTGAAGCTCCAGAAGATACGTTCGAAGCTCATCGTGACGACTTCACAGCTGCTGAACCAGCAGAAGAACACCTCCAGCGCGATGAGCTTCCTCATACCGAAGTGACAACCACCGTCACCACGATTACCAGAGAATTCTATGATGGACGACATCCTTCGGCGGAATCAGCTCATTTTGATGAAAAACCATCGTCGGTTCGACATTCACCAGTTGAGCATGAAGAAGAACTACGACGAGATGAACTTCCGCAAACGAGAACAACAGTTGTGGAAGAAGTGACAAGTTCTGCTTACGATGAGCCGGAGCACAAAGAGAAACACTTCGAAGAAGACACAGCTTCAACGAAGTCATTGAAGTCCTTTGGTGAAGAGCCGGAATTTGTTCAGAGAGACGTGACTGGTCAGCATGAAAAACCCGAAGATGATGACGAAGGTCTTGGAGATAAGATGCTCGGATTCGCAAAGAAGGCTGGAATGGTGGCCGGCGGAATTGTCGCAGCTCCAGTTGCACTGGCTGCCGTTGGAGCGAAGACTGCTTATGATGCGCTGACCAAGGAGGATGAAGAACATCCGGAACTCCACGAGGAAGACAAGAATGCCGAGCAACGGATGAGTCCAGAATCTTTGGAACACGCATCAATTGCTAAACCGGAACATCATGAGCATGAAGGATTTGAACAGGACTCAGAAAAGCATTCTCCGATCGTGGAATCGGTCAGCGAAGAATTGCGAAGGGACGAGCTTCCTCATTCGGAGGTCACCACAACTGTCACTACCATCACTCGTGAATTCTATGAAGGACCAGATGAGGGTCACAAAGAAGACATCGTCGATCAGCATCCTTCTGAAGAAGAGCATAAGATCAGTTCATCGCCAGTATCTGAAGAACTCCGACGTGACGAGCTTCCACATTCTGAAGTGACGACGACTGTGACGAGAGAATTCCACGAACGACCTCAAGATCAAGAAGAAGCATATGAAGTCAGCGGATCTTCTGAACCGGAACAACTTCATCACGACGAGCTTCCACATTCTGAAGTCACAACCACTGTGACCACGATCACCCGCGAATTCTACGATGGATCATCGCCGGCCACTTCTGTTCATGATGATGTTGCTGACAGCAAATCGCTTTCTGAAGTTGCATCTGAAGCTCCAGAAGACACGCATTCTGTACCACAATCAGCATCTGATGAGCACAGCGAATTCCCAGTTCATCGTGATGACGATCAAGAACCAGAACACCTGGAACGCGACGAGCTTCCACACACAGAAGTCACCACAACAGTCACCACAATCACCCGAGAATTCTACGACGGATCTCAACCATCGACAGCCGCATCTGTTCATGATGACGTCAGCGAGAGAAGGTCAATTCCTGATACCGCATCCGATGCTCCAGAAGACGTGCATTCAATTCCTGAAAAAGACTTCGCGACCACTCAACACGAAGAAGAACACTTTCAACGGGATGAGCTTCCACACACTGAAGTAGCCACAACAGTCACCACAATCACCCGTGAATTCTACGATGGAAGCTATCCAGATCAAACATCCCATGCTGAAGAGCTTCCTGCAACAACGTCTGAACAATACGAGCAAGCCTCCCACGATGATGCTTCGCCAACAAAATCGGAGAAATCATTTGTGGAACGAGACCATGAACCAGCTCCTATTCCATCTGAACGCCATGAGTACACTCAGCTTCAACATGAGGAAGCAGAAGATGATGATGAAAAAGGTCTTGGAGATAAGGTGCTCGGATTCGCAAAGAAGGCTGGAATGGTGGCCGGCGGAATCGTCGCAGCTCCAGTCGCACTGGCTGCCGTTGGAGCCAAGACTGCCTATGATGCGCTGACCAAGGAGGATGAGGAACATCAGGAACCTTCGGAGCACTATGCTCCAACCGAATCGTCTCACGATATTCCATCCGAGCATCGTGAATCTGAAACGATCTCCAGTCAACATGACATGGCACCTGAGGAAAGTCGCAATGAAGAGCACGCAGAATTCAAACCAGAAGTCGTCGATTCTCCAGAAGAGATTGAAGACAACATCAGCGAAGAGGAGCTCCGCGCGAGCGCTGCCACCAAAGAATTCTTCACACGATCGCGAGACGAGGATGACTTGGATGATATTCCACCACGTCATGTCGACATCGAAACAGTCAGCGCTGTTTCTGGACTGGAGCAGGATGTCGAGAATTCCGAACGAGACGATCTTCCCGACAAGACCACTTCCGTCACAACTGTCGCTAGAGAATACTATGAAGAGCCATTGGAGCAGGAATTCGAAGGTCGAACTGAAGCACAAGATGATGAGCCGTTGTTTGATTCGGAAGAGCTTCGACGCGATGAACTTCCTCACTCGGAAATGACTACTACAGTCACAACGATCACCAGAGAATTCTATGAGGGATCTCCAAAAGACGATGAGCATTCTATTCATGAGGAAGCTACGACAATCCCACAAACACCCGATTCTCACGTTGAACATCATCGTGACGACTTCGCATCTGCTGAACCAGCAGAAGAACATCTCCAGCGCGACGAGCTTCCACACACAGAAGTCACCACAACAGTCACCACCATCACTCGTGAATTCTTCGACGGATCTCAACCATCGACAGCCGCATCTGTTCATGATGACGTCAGCGAGAGAAGGTCAATTCCTGATTCCGCATCTGATGCTCCAGAAGACGTGCATTCAATTCCACAAGAAGACTTCGCGACCACTCAACAGGAAGAAGAACACCTTCAACGGGATGAGCTTCCACATACTGAAGTAACCACAACAGTCACCACAATCACCCGTGAATTCTACGACGGGTCTCAACCGTCTCCTGCTGAGAGAAAATCGATTTCCGCAATTGCCTCTGAAGCCCCAGAAGATACGTTCGAAGCTCATCGTGACGACTTCACAGCTGCTGAACCAGCAGAAGAACATCTCCAGCGCGACGAGCTTCCTCATACCGAAGTGACAACCACCGTCACCACGATTACCAGAGAATTCTATGATGGACGACGTCCTTCGGCGGAATCAGCTCATTTTGATGAAAAACCATCGTCGGTTGACGACGTTCGACATTCAGCAGATGAGCATGAAGAAGAACTACGACGAGATGAACTTCCGCAAACAACACTTGACGAAATGACAAGATCTGTGTATGTTGAACCAGAGCACAAGGAAGATTACGATGAGGAGCCGGAGTATCATATCGCTCCGAGAGACACCGATAGACATCATCAAGAACCAGCAAGTGATGAAGACCAAGAAGGTCTTGGAGATAAGATGCTCGGATTCGCGAAGAAGGCTGGAATGGTGGCCGGCGGAATCGTCGCAGCTCCAGTCGCACTGGCTGCCGTTGGAGCAAAGACGGCCTATGATGCGCTGACCAAGGAGGATGAAGATCGTCAGGAGTCGGGACATGAATTCCCCACGGAATACCACGAATCCGAGATGACCTCAAGCCAACATGAAATTACGCATTCCGAACTTCGTTCTGGATCTCCTGCGGTCCATCATGAAGAAAAAGTTTTGATTAAGGATGATGAAGAACGTCCGGGATTCCACGAGGAACACCAAATCAGCCACGAATCATCGGAGCTTGTCTCTCCAACCGAGCCAACTCATGAGTTCCCTGCTGATTATCATGATGACACGATCTCCAGACAGCAAGAAATCGAGCATTCCGAACTTCGTGGCGAATCGCCATCTGTAGATGAAGAACATGCAGAACTCCACGAGGAGGACAAGCATGCCGAGGGTCAGACGATTCCAGAACCTTCGGAACACGCATCAATTGCTGAACCAGAACAACATGAGCATGAAGGATTTGAACAGGACTCAGAAAAGCATTCTCCGATCGTGGAATCGGTCAGCGAAGAATTGCGAAGGGACGAGCTTCCTCATTCGGAGGTCACCACAACTGTCACTACCATCACTCGTGAATTCTATGAAGGACCAGATGAGGGTCACAAAGAAGACATCGTCGATCAGCATCCTTCTGAAGAAGAGCATAAGATCAGTTCATCGCCAGTATCTGAAGAACTCCGACGTGACGAGCTTCCACATTCTGAAGTGATGACGACTGTGACGACGGTGACGAGAGAATTCCACGAAGGAGCTCAAGATCAAGAAGAAGCATATGAAGTCAGCGGATCTCCTGAACCCGAACAACTTCATCGCGACGAGCTTCCGCATTCAGAAGTCACAACCACTGTGACCACGATCACCCGCGAATTCTACGATGGACCATCGCCGGTCACTTCTGTACATGATGATGTTGCTGACAGAAAATCGGATTCTGAAGTTGCGTCAGAAGCTCCAGAAGACACGCATTCTATTCAACAATCAGTATCCGATGAGCATAGCGAATTCCCAGTTCATCGTGATGACGATCAAGAACCAGAACACCTGGAACGCGACGAGCTTCCACACACAGAAGTCACCACAACAGTCACCATCATCACTCGTGAATTCTTCGACGGATCTCAACCATCGACAGCTGCATCTGTTCACGATGACGTCAGCGAGAGAAAGTCAATTCCTGATACCGCATCTGATGCTCCAGAAGACGTGCATTCAATTCCGCAAGAAGACTTCGCGACCACTCAACAGGAAGAAGAACACCTTCAACGGGATGAGCTTCCACACACTGAAGTAACCACAACAGTCACCACAATCACCCGAGAATTCTACGACGGATCTCAACCGTCTCCTGCTGAGAGAAAATCGATTTCCGCAATTGCCTCTGAAGCTCCAGAAGATACGTTCGAAGCTCATCGTGACGACTTCACAGCTGCTGAACCAGCAGAAGAACACCTCCAGCGCGATGAGCTTCCTCATACCGAAGTGACAACCACCGTCACCACGATTACCAGAGAATTCTATGATGGACGACATCCTTCGGCGGAATCAGCTCATTTTGATGAAAAACCATCGTCGGTTCGACATTCACCAGTTGAGCATGAAGAAGAACTACGACGAGATGAACTTCCGCAAACGAGAACAACAGTTGTGGAAGAAGTGACAAGTTCTGCTTACGATGAGCCGGAGCACAAAGAGAAACACTTCGAAGAAGACACAGCTTCAACGAAGTCATTGAAGTCCTTTGGTGAAGAGCCGGAATTTGTTCAGAGAGACGTGACTGGTCAGCATGAAAAACCCGAAGATGATGACGAAGGTCTTGGAGATAAGATGCTCGGATTCGCAAAGAAGGCTGGAATGGTGGCCGGCGGAATTGTCGCAGCTCCAGTTGCACTGGCTGCCGTTGGAGCGAAGACTGCTTATGATGCGCTGACCAAGGAGGATGAAGAACATCCGGAACTCCACGAGGAAGACAAGAATGCCGAGCAACGGATGAGTCCAGAATCTTTGGAACACGCATCAATTGCTAAACCGGAACATCATGAGCATGAAGGATTTGAACAGGACTCAGAAAAGCATTCTCCGATCGTGGAATCGGTCAGCGAAGAATTGCGAAGGGACGAGCTTCCTCATTCGGAGGTCACCACAACTGTCACTACCATCACTCGTGAATTCTATGAAGGACCAGATGAGGGTCACAAAGAAGACATCGTCGATCAGCATCCTTCTGAAGAAGAGCATAAGATCAGTTCATCGCCAGTATCTGAAGAACTCCGACGTGACGAGCTTCCACATTCTGAAGTGACGACGACTGTGACGAGAGAATTCCACGAACGACCTCAAGATCAAGAAGAAGCATATGAAGTCAGCGGATCTTCTGAACCGGAACAACTTCATCACGACGAGCTTCCACATTCTGAAGTCACAACCACTGTGACCACGATCACCCGCGAATTCTACGATGGATCATCGCCGGCCACTTCTGTTCATGATGATGTTGCTGACAGCAAATCGCTTTCTGAAGTTGCATCTGAAGCTCCAGAAGACACGCATTCTGTACCACAATCAGCATCTGATGAGCACAGCGAATTCCCAGTTCATCGTGATGACGATCAAGAACCAGAACACCTGGAACGCGACGAGCTTCCACACACAGAAGTCACCACAACAGTCACCACAATCACCCGAGAATTCTACGACGGATCTCAACCATCGACAGCCGCATCTGTTCATGATGACGTCAGCGAGAGAAGGTCAATTCCTGATACCGCATCCGATGCTCCAGAAGACGTGCATTCAATTCCTGAAAAGACTTCGCGACCACTCAACACGAAGAAGAACACTTTCAACGGGATGAGCTTCCACACACTGAAGTAGCCACAACAGTCACCACAATCACCCGTGAATTCTACGATGGAAGCTATCCAGATCAAACATCCCATGCTGAAGAGCTTCCTGCAACAACGTCTGAACAATACGAGCAAGCCTCCCACGATGATGCTTCGCCAACAAAATCGGAGAAATCATTTGTGGAACGAGACCATGAACCAGCTCCTATTCCATCTGAACGCCATGAGTACACTCAGCTTCAACATGAGGAAGCAGAAGATGATGATGAAAAAGGTCTTGGAGATAAGGTGCTCGGATTCGCAAAGAAGGCTGGAATGGTGGCCGGCGGAATCGTCGCAGCTCCAGTCGCACTGGCTGCCGTTGGAGCCAAGACTGCCTATGATGCGCTGACCAAGGAGGATGAGGAACATCAGGAACCTTCGGAGCACTATGCTCCAACCGAATCGTCTCACGATATTCCATCCGAGCATCGTGAATCTGAAACGATCTCCAGTCAACATGACATGGCACCTGAGGAAAGTCGCAATGAAGAGCACGCAGAATTCAAACCAGAAGTCGTCGATTCTCCAGAAGAGATTGAAGACAACATCAGCGAAGAGGAGCTCCGCGCGAGCGCTGCCACCAAAGAATTCTTCACACGATCGCGAGACGAGGATGACTTGGATGATATTCCACCACGTCATGTCGACATCGAAACAGTCAGCGCTGTTTCTGGATTGGAGCAGGATGTCGAGAATTCCGAACGAGACGATCTTCCCGACAAGACCACTTCCGTCACAACTGTCGCTAGAGAATACTATGAAGAGCCATTGGAGCAGGAATTCGAAGGTCGAACTGAAGCACAAGATGATGAGCCGTTGTTTGATTCGGAAGAGCTTCGACGCGATGAACTTCCTCACTCGGAAATGACTACTACAGTCACAACGATCACCAGAGAATTCTATGAGGGATCTCCAAAAGACGATGAGCATTCTATTCATGAGGAAGCTACGACAATCCCACAAACACCCGATTCTCACGTTGAACATCATCGTGACGACTTCGCATCTGCTGAACCAGCAGAAGAACATCTCCAGCGCGACGAGCTTCCACACACAGAAGTCACCACAACAGTCACCACCATCACTCGTGAATTCTTCGACGGATCTCAACCATCGACAGCCGCATCTGTTCATGATGACGTCAGCGAGAGAAGGTCAATTCCTGATTCCGCATCTGATGCTCCAGAAGACGTGCATTCAATTCCACAAGAAGACTTCGCGACCACTCAACAGGAAGAAGAACACCTTCAACGGGATGAGCTTCCACATACTGAAGTAACCACAACAGTCACCACAATCACCCGTGAATTCTACGACGGGTCTCAACCGTCTCCTGCTGAGAGAAAATCGATTTCCGCAATTGCCTCTGAAGCCCCAGAAGATACGTTCGAAGCTCATCGTGACGACTTCACAGCTGCTGAACCAGCAGAAGAACATCTCCAGCGCGACGAGCTTCCTCATACCGAAGTGACAACCACCGTCACCACGATTACCAGAGAATTCTATGATGGACGACGTCCTTCGGCGGAATCAGCTCATTTTGATGAAAAACCATCGTCGGTTGACGACGTTCGACATTCAGCAGATGAGCATGAAGAAGAACTACGACGAGATGAACTTCCGCAAACAACACTTGACGAAATGACAAGATCTGTGTATGTTGAACCAGAGCACAAGGAAGATTACGATGAGGAGCCGGAGTATCATATCGCTCCGAGAGACACCGATAGACATCATCAAGAACCAGCAAGTGATGAAGACCAAGAAGGTCTTGGAGATAAGATGCTCGGATTCGCGAAGAAGGCTGGAATGGTGGCCGGCGGAATCGTCGCAGCTCCAGTCGCACTGGCTGCCGTTGGAGCAAAGACGGCCTATGATGCGCTGACCAAGGAGGATGAAGATCGTCAGGAGTCGGGACATGAATTCCCCACGGAATACCACGAATCCGAGATGACCTCAAGCCAACATGAAATTACGCATTCCGAACTTCGTTCTGGATCTCCTGCGGTCCATCATGAAGAAAAAGTTTTGATTAAGGATGATGAAGAACGTCCGGGATTCCACGAGGAACACCAAATCAGCCACGAATCATCGGAGCTTGTCTCTCCAACCGAGCCAACTCATGAGTTCCCTGCTGATTATCATGATGACACGATCTCCAGACAGCAAGAAATCGAGCATTCCGAACTTCGTGGCGAATCGCCATCTGTAGATGAAGAACATGCAGAACTCCACGAGGAGGACAAGCATGCCGAGGGTCAGACGATTCCAGAACCTTCGGAACACGCATCAATTGCTGAACCAGAACAACATGAGCATGAAGGATTTGAACAGGACTCAGAAAAGCATTCTCCGATCGTGGAATCGGTCAGCGAAGAATTGCGAAGGGACGAGCTTCCTCATTCGGAGGTCACCACAACTGTCACTACCATCACTCGTGAATTCTATGAAGGACCAGATGAGGGTCACAAAGAAGACACCGTCGATCAGCATCCTTCTGAAGAAGAGCATAAGATCAGTTCATCGCCAGTATCTGAAGAACTCCGACGTGACGAGCTTCCACATTCTGAAGTGATGACGACTGTGACGACGGTGACGAGAGAATTCCACGAAGGAGCTCAAGATCAAGAAGAAGCATATGAAGTCAGCGGATCTCCTGAACCCGAACAACTTCATCGCGACGAGCTTCCGCATTCAGAAGTCACAACCACTGTGACCACGATCACCCGCGAATTCTACGATGGACCATCGCCGGTCACTTCTGTACATGATGATGTTGCTGACAGAAAATCGGATTCTGAAGTTGCGTCAGAAGCTCCAGAAGACACGCATTCTATTCAACAATCAGTATCCGATGAGCATAGCGAATTCCCAGTTCATCGTGATGACGATCAAGAACCAGAACACCTGGAACGCGACGAGCTTCCACACACAGAAGTCACCACAACAGTCACCACCATCACTCGTGAATTCTTCGACGGATCTCAACCATCGACAGCTGAATCTGTTCACGATGACGTCAGCAAGAGAAGGTCAATTCCTGATACCGCATCTGATGTTCCAGAAGACGTGCATTCAATTCCTGAAAAAGACTTCGCGACCACTCAACAGGAAGAAGAACACCTTCAACGGGATGAGCTTCCACACACTGAAGTAACCACAACAGTCACCACAATCACCCGAGAATTCTACGACGGTTCTGATGATGACTATTCACAAAGTCAGCATACGGCCGACGTTGATAAGGAATCGGTTTCTGATGGCCACAGCGAAGTACCAACAAGTGTTGAACAACATTCGGATTCTAATGATCATCACGAAGACGAGCCACAGACGGAACAATTTAAACGAGACGAGCTTCCTCATTCAGAAATTGTTACCACTGTCACGTCTGTTACAAGAGAATTCTATGAAGGAGCCCCACGTGATGCTGACGACAAGACTTCGCACGATGACCTGTCTCCGTCAAGATCCGAGAAATCGTTTGTTGAACAAACAGAGGAATATGTTCCGACTGAACGTCATGATGTTACTGATCAACAACAATACCAACAACCAGAAGATGATGATGATGAAGGTCTTGGAGATAAGGTGCTCGGATTCGCGAAGAAGGCTGGAATGGTGGCCGGCGGAATCGTTGCGGCTCCAGTCGCACTGGCTGCCGTTGGAGCGAAGACTGCTTATGATGCGCTGACCAAGGAGGATGAAGATCGTCAGGAGTCGAGCCATGAATTCCCATCGGAATACCATGAATCCGAGATGACCTCAAGCCAACATGAGATCACCCACTCCGAACTTCGTACTGGATCTCCTGCTGCCCATCGTGAAGAGAAGGTTCTCGAAGAAGAACAACGCGAGAGTCCCACATCTACTGAATACTCGGATCATCCTCATCAATCCCATGAATTCCCAACCGAATACCATGAATCCGAGATGATTTCCAGCCAACACGAGATCACACATTCCGAACTCCGCTCAGGATCCCCAACGATCCAGCAAGAGCAAAAAAAATTCATTGGAGATGACAACGACGACAAGCCGAATGAACTTAGTCCGACGTCAACTGAACATGCTGAATTCCCTGAGAAGTCGCATGAGTTCCCCACAGAATACCATGAGTCGGAGATCGGATTCACTCAACATGAGATCCCACACACCGAGCTCGAGATTAAGGATTCTCCGATCGATTCTGAAGTTGGCTACGATTTCAACGACGAGCCTCATTCTCAAGAGGAATCACAAGAAGTTGCTCATGGAATGACGAGAAGTATTGGACATGCAGATCTGACTACTTCGGATTCAACCCTCGAGCTAGAGCAAATCCGCCGCGAGGAACAATCGGATATCAGCGATGAGTTCAAACAACAAGATCGACCGATTAGTCATGAATCATCGGAGGTTGTCTCACCAACTGAACCAACTCATGACTTTCCATCGGAATACCATGAATCCGAGATGACCTCAAGCCAACATGAGATCACTCATTCCGAACTTCGCTCGGGATCCCCAACAGTCCATCATGAAGAGACCATTCTAACCAAAGATGAAGAACGTCCGGAATTCCACGATGAACACCAAATCAGCCATGAATCATCGGAGCTTGTCTCTCCAACCGAGCCAACTCATGAGTTCCCTGCTGATTATCATGATGACACGATCTCCGGACAGCAAGAAATCGAGCATTCCGAACTTCGTGCCAAATTTGTCGATGAAGAACATCCAGAACTCCACGAGGAGCATCACGAGCCTTCAGAACCAACCCATGACTTCCCATCGGAATACCATGAATCCGAGATGACCTCATGCCAACATGAGATCACTCATTCCGAACTTCGCTCGGGATCCCCAACAGCCTATCATGAAGAGAAGGTTTTCGAAGAAGAACAACGCGAGAGTCCCACGTCCACTGAATATTCGGATCATCCTCATCAGTCTCATGAGTTCCCCACTGAATACCATGAATCGGAGATTGGATTCACTCAACACGAGATTCCCAAAACGAGCATCGAGGAGGAAATGGAGCACAAAGAGCCAGAGCCAGAGCATCCACAATTTGAATATCAACCGAGGCGATATTTCGATGAAGATAATCCAGAAAGAAAGGCAGCCGAAACTCAGAACGAGGAGATCGACAAAGCCGTTTCTGAGATTCTACGTCAGAGTTTGCCATTGGACGAAGAATCACCAAAGACTGGTCATGTCGAGCCATTGGAGGATCCAAGCCATGATGATTCTCACGTTCGATCTCGATTGCTTCGGGATGATGGACAGATTGAATATGAAGAACAAGAGTACCGCATGGATCAACCAGCAACCGACGAGAAGAGCCTTGGCGACAAGATGCTCGGATTCGCAAAGAAGGCTGGAATGGTGGCCGGCGGAATCGTCGCAGCTCCAGTTGCACTGGCTGCCGTTGGAGCCAAGACTGCCTATGATGCGTTGAAGAAGGATGACAAGACACCGGAATACGAATATTCGCAAGTCGGACAGGAAGAAGATCGACAGAGCAGTCCGGATTCATCGGAGAATGACGACGAAGTGCTGACGTATCGAATGAAAACTACCGACGATATTCAACACCAGCCGCAAGAATTCAACGTTGAGCAAAAGGAAGAGCAAATCAGTCATGAAGGATCTCCAACTCAACCAACTCATGATTTCCCATCTCAATATCATGAATCGGAGATGACTTCAAGCCAACATGAGATCATTCACTCCGAACTTCGTTCGGGATCGCCATCTCTTCAGCCGGAACATAAGACTACCGAAGAGGAACAGCATCGGGAGAGCCCAACCTCAGATCATCCACACCAGGTTCATGAATTCTCTTCAGAAACTCCTGCTGCCCATCATGAAGAGAAAGTTCTCGAAGAAGAACAACGCGAGAGTCCCACGTCCACTGAATACTCGGATCATCCTCATCAGTCCCATGAGTTCCCAACCGAATACCATGAATCGGAAATGATCTCCAGCCAACACGAAATCACACATTCCGAACTCCGCTCAGGATCACCAACGATCCAGCAAGAGCAAAAAGAATTCATTGGAGATGACGACGACGACAAGCCGAATGAACTTAGTCCGACGTCAACTGAACATGCTGAATTCCCTGAGAAGTCGCATGAGTTCCCCACGGAATACCATGAATCGGAGATCGGATTCACTCAACATGAGATTCCTCATACTGATCTCGAGGTAAAAGAAACCTCGTTAGATCATCCAGAAGTGGCAGAACATCACGAAAAATCTCAAGAATCACCAAGAAGCGAACCTCATCTCGAGATGGCAGAGGAAAGAAAATCTCCATCGGACGGTCATCGACACCAATATGATGAAGATGTGACCAGCAAAGAGAATCAAGACACTCGTCAAGATGAAATTCCCTCAAAATCAACATCTGGAGAATCCGATGAGCCATATGTCATCGAATCTGAACAATACGACGATGAAGTTGAAGATTACATGAAGCATGAACCGGAACGTCGCGAAGTTTCGACAGAACATGTGATCGAATCTGATCATTATCAGGAGAGGCCAGAATCAGCCGCTGATTTGGACAAGACAGAGAGTGAGACTCGTTATTCAGAGCCCTTCTCGGAACAATCAGGACGCGAGATTCAGCCAGAGATCGTTGAAAGCGAACCATACCATCAAGAGCATTCCACTGAATTCGATCATGAAGGTTTAAGCCATAAGAAAATTGAGATGGAACGTGAGGAAGTCAGCCAGCAGGAACATCATGAACTCGAAGATGACGAAGAAGGTCTTGGCGACAAGATGCTTGGATTCGCGAAGAAGGCTGGAATGGTGGCCGGCGGAATTGTCGCAGCTCCAGTCGCACTGGCTGCCGTTGGAGCCAAGACGGCCTATGATGCGCTGACCAAGGAGGATGAAGATCGTCAGGAGTCGAGCCATGACTTCCCATCTCAATACCATGAATCCGAGATGACCTCAAGCCAACATGAGATCACTCACTCCGAACTTCACTCAGGATCCCCAACAGTCCATCATGAAGAGACCATTCTGACCAAAGAAGATGAAGAACGTCCGGAATTCCACGAGGAACACCAAATCAGCCATGAATCATCGGAGCTTGTCTCTCCAACCGAGCCAACTCATGAGTTCCCTGCTGATTATCATGATGACACGATCTCCAGACAGCAAGAAATCGAGCATTCCGAACTTCGTGCCAAATTTGTCGATGAAGAACATGCAGAACTCCACGAGGAGCATCACGAACCGTCAGAACCAACCCATGACTTCCCATCAGAATACCATGAATCCGAGATGACCTCAAGCCAACATGAGATCACTCATTCCGAACTTCGCTCGGGATCCCCAACAGCCCATCATGAAGAGAAGATTCTCGAAGAAGAGCATCGCGAGAGCCCCACATCCACTGAATACTCGGATCATCCTCATCAGTCTCATGAGTTCCCAACCGAATACCATGAATCGGAGATTGGATTCACTCAACACGAGATCACACATTCCGATTTGATCACCGAACCACATGTGATTGAATCGCAAGAATACCATTCTTCTCAAACCGAGGAACGCATTTCATCTCCCGTTCCTTCGGAAGACTCCCAACGCAACCAAGATATAGACCATCGCGATGAGCAATGCCTTGACCGTCATGATTCGCAGACCTTGGGATACGACGGAGACGACGAGAAGAGAGCGGAAGCCACGTTCATCGTCGATTCGACTGATCATCATACGACAGCGACTGAATCCGAAGAAGTTCGTGATTCACCAACTGTGCAGATCTCACCGCCAACTGATGTCATCGAAGAAACCGGAGACGAAAGGTTCATCATTGAATCGGAACCATATGAGAGGGACGAGAACGTCGATCGCAATTTGGATTCACCGACTCCGATGGATGAGAATGAATCGGAAGCAGATGGTGTCGATCAACATGTCATTGAATCAGAGCCGTACTACTCGGAAGCTCATGATGAAGCCCGAATTGATTCGCCGACAAGAGAGGAGCGATTCGAAGAAGCACCATATGTCATCGAATCCCATGAAACTGATCAGGATGACATCAAAGAAGAAGAGCCACTCACGCATCATGAACAATATGTGATCGAGTCGCATGAATATGAACGAGATTCCGAACCCGAGCTGAAGGAAGAAGAACCGGATAAGCATATCATCGAATCTCAGCCCTACAACACTGATGACATCGTCGAGACCGAAAACTATCAGGAAAAGGAGCATGACGACATCCCACATGCGCCAGAAGTAGTGGAAAGCGAGCCATACCATCATGAGTCGCCGACAACTCAATTCGAAGAGCATCATTCGGAGCATCTTCCGATGGAACGAGAGCAATTCAGTCAACAGCAATATGAAGAGATCGGCGATGATGAGAAGGAGAGCCTTGGAGATAAGATGCTCGGATTCGCAATGAAGGCTGGAATGGTGGCCGGCGGAATTGTCGCAGCTCCAGTTGCACTGGCTGCTGTTGGAGCCAAGACTGCCTATGATGCGCTGACCAAGGAGGATGAAGATCGTCAGGAGTTGGGACATGAATTCCCCACAGAATACCATGAATCCGAGATGACCTCAAGCCAACATGAAATCACTCACTCCGAACTTCGTACTGGATCTCCTGCTGCCCATCATGAAGAGAAGGTTCTCGAAGAAGAACATCGCGAGAGTCCAACATCCACTGAATACTCGGATCATCCTCATCAGTCTCATGAGTTCCCAACCGAATACCATGAATCGGAAATGATCTCCAGCCAACACGAAATCACACATTCCGAACTCCGCTCAGGATCACCAACGATCCAGCAAGAGCAAAAAGAATTCATTGGAGATGACGACGACGACAAGCCGAATGAACTTAGTCCGACGTCAACTGAACATGCTGAATTCCCTGAGAAGTCGCATGAGTTCCCCACGGAATACCATGAGTCGGAGATCGGATTCACTCAACATGAGATCCCACACACCGAGCTCACGCACTCAGTCGATGATAAAGATGAGAAATCTGAAACATTCCCAGAGGAGCCAATTGAAATGTCGCACGATCTTTCAAGAAGAGAAGTCCACGCCGACATCGTCACCTCGGAAGTTTCGGAGCCAGAACGGCAGGAGGGTAGTCCAACATCAGAAGCTGCCTCTCATCAAGAAGCGTCACACGAGTTCCCAACCGAATACCATGAATCGGAAATGATCTCCAGCCAACACGAAATCACACATTCCGAACTCCGCTCAGGATCACCAACGATCCAGCAAGAGCAAAAAGAATTCATTGGAGATGACGACGACGACAAGCCGAATGAACTTAGTCCGACGTCAACTGAACATGCTGAATTCCCTGAGAAGTCGCATGAGTTCCCCACGGAATACCATGAGTCGGAGATCGGATTCACTCAACATGAGATCCCACACACCGAGCTCACGCACTCAGTCGATGATAAAGATGAGAAATCTGAAACATTCCCAGAGGAGCCAATTGAAATGTCGCACGATCTTTCAAGAAGAGAAGTCCACGCCGACATCGTCACCTCGGAAGTTTCGGAGCCAGAACGGCAGGAGGGTAGTCCAACATCAGAAGCTGCCTCTCATCAAGAAGCGTCACACGAGTTCCCAACCGAATATCATGAATCCGAGATGACCTCAAGCCAACATGAGATCACTCATTCCGAACTTCACTCGGGATCCCCAACAGCCCATCATGAAGAGAAGGTTCTCGAAGAAGAACAACGCGAGAGTCCAACATCCACTGAATACTCGGATCATCCTCATCAGTCTCATGAGTTCCCAACCGAATACCATGAATCCGAGATGATTTCCAGCCAACACGAGATCACACATTCCGAACTCCGCTCAGGATCCCCAACGATCCAGCAAGAGCAAAAGGAATTCATTGGAGATGACGACGAACAACATCGAGATGAATTTAAGCCAGAAGATCGTCAAATCAGTCTAGAATCATCCGAATTGGCTTCTCCAACTGAGCCGACCCATCAGTTCCCAACTGAATACCACGAGTCGGAAACCGGTTTGAGTCATGATGAGATCCCACACACCGATCTCGAAACCACAGTTCCATCGGTCAACAGAGATGCTCTCCATGATATCCAAGACGATGGTGCTTCTGTCGAAGTCATCTCGGAATCGGATCGTCAAACCGGAGACGACGATGAAGAAATGAGGGCATCGAGTCTGGACGCCGTTCAAGGATCAACGCAAAACATCCAAGATCTTGATGAAGTCAAAGATTCGATTGACATCGAGGAAGGTGCAATCATCGATTCGCATTCTTATGAGTTGCCGGAAGATGAGCAACAGGATTTCGATCAAGGCTATCCCGCAGAAGTCAGCGAATTGGATTACAACAAAGAGCAGGAACGTCATCAGCGTGACGCTTCTGACGAGCTGAAGACAACAACCGCGGGTGGACAAGAAGATGACGATGAAGATGGATTTGAGCACATCAGCAATCAAGAAGCATCCGAATCGCAAGAACCAGTTCAGCTCACCACTGAACCGGTCGGCATCAGCCAGCAAGAACATTATGAACTCGAAGATGATGATCAAGAAGGTCTTGGCGACAAGATGCTTGGATTCGCGAAGAAGGCTGGAATGGTGGCGGGCGGAATCGTCGCAGCTCCAGTCGCACTGGCTGCTGTTGGAGCCAAGACTGCCTATGATGCGCTGACCAAGGAAGATGAAGATCGTCAGGAGTCGGGACATGAATTCCCCACAGAATACCATGAGTCAGAGATGACTTCAAGCCAACATGAGATCACGCATTCCGAACTTCGCACAGGATCCCCAATAGTTCATCAGGAAGAGACCATTTTAACCAAGGATGATGAAGAACGTCCGGAATTCTACGAGGAGGTCAAACAGAAGACTCCAGAATCCTTTGATGGTCATCCAGCCGAAGAGACAGCTCAACAAATAATCTCAGGTGTATTCGATCCATTGGAGCGTCATCTCATCGAGTCAACCGAATTTCGCGCTTCATTCGAGCCGTCGAGCATTGATGAAGATGCCGAGCGGAAGAAGTCTATCGAGAATTTGAGCACCGAAGCGCTCGGCAATGTCTCGCGCGTTAGCTACGGTGAAGAGGAGAACGACGAGGACGACGATTGGAAGGTGTACGATCGACACGGCGAAGTTCTTGAGGAGTTCTCGACGCAACTCTCGGAAGACGTCGTGCATGCCGCCGAAGAAGATGCCGCCAGCGAGGTGATGACGTCGGTGCCAGAAGACAAACGAAGCAAATTCTTGAAGCAGGAATCGTGTCAGGAGATCTCCAACGAGCCCGAAGTCGACTACTATTCAGACCTTCAGGAGAAGCTGAACATTCTTGCCAATGAAGGCCAGACATCGCTCTCATCGCTGCCAGAAGAGGAGCCATCGAGCGGACACTCGGATCAACTCGACGTGATCCACGAATCTGACAAGGAAGGCAACGAGGAAGACGAGGCAGCAGATCAGACTGCCGCGCAGCTCGTCGACGATGTGATGAGCAAGGTGCTCAATGAGATTTCGAATGAGGACGAGCAGAAGACGGTGACGTCTGATGTGTATCAGACGGCCACCGAGCAATCCAAAGACGATCAGTATGATACGTGTGTGACGTCACAGGAAGACGCGTATGATTCGGCGCAAGGTTGGACTTCGCAAGATTCCGAATACACCACGGCGACGAGCGGCGCTCCGAGTCGCCTCAGCGACGCTGATAGACAAGAGGCGTCGACGCCACAGGCTGTTCTATCGCCCGTCGATTCCGATCGCAACTTCACCGTTTCGCAGGACGTCGACCCGCCGATGATTCGCGCGTTTGACGTCGACGATCTGAGCAGCACGACGGCTCGCAGCACACCCGACGTGCCGATTCAAGTCACCATCGAGGAGGAGGACGAGTCCGACGACAAGCTGCCGATCAGCCCGAGCGGTGTCCTATTGCCGCCGACCGCCGATCCCGGAAGACCGATCTCGCCTGTGCCGCCACGCACGGGAGCCGAGGAGACGTTCGTGTACACGACGACGACGACAACAACGGAGAGTGGTAGCATCCATGGTATAGCTATGGAGGCAACGTCCGATTCAGCCAGCGAATCTCGTTACTCGCGCCAACTGTCGGACATGTCGTCGGAGAGCCACGCGGACACCGTCATCCACAAGGAAGAGACGCTGAAGAATGACGCCGACGGATCAACGGATTCGATCAGCGAGGGATCGGTGATCGTCAGAGAGTCGCCGGAGCACGCGAATGACTCGTCGGAGCATCGCGAAGCCGAAGAGCTCGGATTCGAAGTGTACGACGAGGAGCAGCCAAAGTCGGAGGAGTTGGAAACGGTCGAAGAGGAGCCAGAGGATTCGGACTCGTTGAATGGCGGAAGCGGGCATTCGTCGGTTGGTGTGCCGGCCGACACGTTGGCGATGATCGGCAAATATCGACATACGAGCAGCGACAATTTGTCGTTGACGAGCCTTCAGGAGTTCGAGAGGCTCGAACGCGAGATCGGAACACGAGGCGATGGAAGTCTCACGCGAAGCGAGCTCGAGCTGCTCGTCGCCGGCAAAATGAGCCGCTCCGGCGAGGGTTCGGTGAGCTCGCTTCAAGAGTTCGAGCGGCTCGAGAAGGAGATGGCCGAGAATCAATCGCCGCCCGAAGAGGTCATGATGTTGTCGGATATTCGCGAGGAGTCGGAAGCGGAAGACATGAGCATTCGCGACGACGACGAAGAAGCGATGGGTTCCGACGCGGAGATGAAAACGCAACCGGTTCAGGAGGAGGACATTCGAGGCGTCACACCATTGGCGACGTCGCCGACCGACTCATTGGAGCACAACGTCATCACGGCGACACAGATGCACTATTTGGAGACGAGCACCGATTCGTTGGAGCCGACGTTCCAGGAGATTGAGGTTGAGCAGCGGCCGGACAGCGTTGACGACAATTCGCTGACCGAGTATGAAGTGGTGCCGAAGGCCATGGAGGCCAGTATTACGGATTCACTAGACACCAGATTGGATAAGGTAAGCTGGAATTCAGAATTGATTATGAATGATCTGTTGCAGGACTCACTTCTTGAGGGCGCCAGTCAGGGTCCTGAAAGCCAGGACACCCATGGATTGCTTAGTGGCGACACGGTTGGAACATTGGCGGAGGACGACGACAAGGATTCGCTGGACGGCGAGATGGGTCGAATGCTTCGCACCTATCCGACAACGCTGACGACGTTCCAGACGACGTCCGTCTCGCCGGACGGTGTCGTTCAAACGATCTCGCGACGCGTTGAGACCAGGGTAGGCGGTTTGAACGTAATGGAGAAATTTAACCCAATAATTAAAGGTTACCGATCCGATAGTGAGCCATGTGATGTTCACTGGAACCGAGAGTCAAGAGCGACTCGATCAATTGCCAGATGAGGAACAATTTGAGACGGTTGACGCCGAGGGGAATGTGACGAGAACTACATTCCGCAGGCAGCACCAACATCAATGAAATGGTGGGTTCACGCGATTTCAAAAACTTTTTTGATCCGCGCCTTTCACCTGAAATAATTTTTCTATTATTTGAAAATAATAAAAAAAAGAAACTCTTTAAAATAGTACAAATTGATTAGAAACAGTGTGTCTACCCGGGACGAAGTTTCCCGGGAATTTCCGGGTTCCCGGGAAATTCCCGGGAAAATTTTCCCGGGACCCGGGACTCATTGAAACTTAATTTCCCGGGATCCCGGGATCCCGGGAAATTCGTTTCCCGGGAAACGCGGGATCCCGGGATCCCGGGAAATTCATTTCCCGGGTTTCCCGGGAAATTCCCGGGACACCCGGGACAATCCCGGGACAATCCCGGGAAAGTCTGCAAACACCGCGCGCGCAAACGCACACTCTTCGAATATTGCGTATTGTCGTTTTTTTTCGAAATTTTATGAGTTTTCTTATTTTCTTTGTCATTCTGATTCGCGACATATTCAAATCGAATCTTTTCAGTCAGTCTTTTCAGATCGAATCAGCGATATTATTTATTATTATAATTTATTGTTTACTTGATCGATCTTCAATAAGTTTTTTCGTTGAAAAAAGTCTATTGAAAAAAGTTTAAAACCATTATTTCGTATAAAATTCTTGCTAATTTGGAAAAATCGTTATTTGCACATTTCAATTGTACTCATTTTTCTGCCAAATTTTAAAAATTCCAAATAGGGACTTCCTACGCCATTTTCTAAGCATTGGAATCTTTTTAAAATAAGAAAATTCATTAAAAAGAAACGAGAATACGCAATATATTGCAAGAGTGTGCGTTTGCGCGCGCGGTGTTTGCAGACTTTCCCGGGATTGTCCCGGGATTGTCCCGGGTTTCCCGGGAATTTCCCGGGAAACCCGGGAATTTCCCGGATTTCCCGGGAACCCGCTCATCCCGGGAAATGAATTTCCCGGGATCCCGGGATCCCGAGATACCGGGATCCCGGGTAGTTGCGGGACGAAACCGGGACGAGACCCGGGATTGGAGTCCCGGGATTTCCCGGATAAACCCGGGAAACGAAATTCCCGGGATCCCGGGAAATCCTGTCCCGGGTAGATACACTGATTAGAAATGACAATTATTTTTATTTTAAGCAATTAATCGCTTCAAAATTACTGTAGGGCAGTGTAGTCCGCAACACACCACGACGATAATTTACACACTTTTTTTTAAATTTCAGGCAGCCGAAATTCGACAGAAATTCAATGATATTGAATAATTCTTTCCTTTCTCGTTTTTTTTTTTGTTTGATTTTCCCCAATTTTAGCATTATACCACTGTTGCAAACATTCCCATTTTAACCAGTGAGCTTTTTGAAGGCATTCTATCATTCTACAGCTTTTCTTCTTTCCCATCCCCGAAAAAAACAATTTGCGCGTTTCGTTTTTCTTGTTTTTTTTTCTCATTTTCTCATAATAATGGCTGAAACGACTCGCCCCAAGTCCGCCAGTCAAATTTGTGTCGAAAATTCGCATAAATTCTTCACACCCCATCCAAGATTCGCCCCAAATCTTTGAAGAAGGCCCCCATCAGAAAAATTGAGTCGCCCCAACTCAGATTTTTCCAATTTTCGCACAAATTTCTTTCTTTTTCATGTTTTTTTTTTGAGAAAAAAACCCATTTTTTCGAGCTTTAAATCAATTTTCCATTCCTACCCGTTTCATGTTTAAAATCTAAAAAAAAATTGAATTCCTGCTTGTTAACCTGCTTCGAGCTTTTCCCCCCAAAATCATTTTTTATTGTTTTTTTATTCAATTGTAGCGGGCATAGTCATTAACTTATTTATCTTGTTCCCCTCCAACTAATAATAATAATAATATCTAGTCTATAGAATAATTTTCCCAAAAAAAGAAACAAGAAAACGCCCCTGTTATTGTGATCGTTGTGAAATTTCTAATCGCTAATGAAGCTTTTGCTTAATAATATAAATTTTATGCGAAATACACTCAAAGAAGAGGAACCTGTACAAAATACATGCTAAATACAATATAAAGAAACCCAAATAAGTCGAATTTTATATTAAATTAATCTCTAGGGCTATCGCAGAGAGGAAGTTGCGCACTAGTTTCGGTCCACTGCAAAAAATTAAAATTTTTCGAGCAACTTCAATTTTTTTTACCGTTTTCGTGTCAACGTCATACGAATAAATCGTCGAATCACAATGATAAGCTCTCGGCGTGAGCTTCACCAACGAATGAAGCGGTATATCAATATAAGGTAGTTCCGAGAGTGGCCGATCGTAGAAGTAGGCGAGAATGCAGCGGAGCACAGCCTGATGCGAGACCACCAGCACATTTGCCTGGAAATTGCGAATTGGGCGTATACAAATGAAGGACGACTTGCCTGTCTCTCAAGCTCCATGATCACGGGCTCCAATCTTGAGACAACGTCTTCATACGATTCTCCAGACGGATATCGATAGTGATATTTGTCCTTGGCACGATCATCAGCCTGCTTCGGATACCTTTGCTGAATGTCATCATAAGTCAATCCCTCGCAGATGCCCGCGTCGATTTCATCCAGCGCCTTCCAATACTCCGTGTGGAAGTCGGGCTTAAGATGTTGCGCCGTCTGCGCGGCTCGAACCTTCTGCGAGCACCAAATCCGAAGGCCGGGCACTTGCTCGTGATCGAAAAACTCGGCGAGCGCCAACGCATATTGTTGCCCGTTGCTCGTCAACGGCGAATCGCCGCCGAGTCGTCCCATCGCGTTGTACTCGCTCTGGCCGTGCTGAAAACAAAAATTGGGGAAACGCTTGGAAAATCGAGCAGAGCAGCTCACGCGTGTCAAATAAATGCTTCTCGGAAGCAAGTGAATGTTCATCAAGAAATACACCACACGACTCTGCACATGCCCCCGAACTTGATGCACTTTGAACGATTTGCCAGCATTGATCACCTAGAAATCGAGGTTTCGACATTCAAAATAATCCAATCACCTTTATAAAACTCATATGCTCATTTTCAGATTCTTCGAGCGGCTCATACTGCTTCTTATAGTTTTCGATGCGATTCATGAAATCCTCTTTCGCCTGCTCGGCATTCATAACACCTTTGTAATCCGGCGAATTGACCTGAAAAAATTATTTGCTATTGGAAAAACCTATAGAGAATTCCATTCGCACCTTGACATCGGTCACGTTGCTGTCGATGATCGCCGGATCGTCGCAAACCGATTCAATGAAAAAACAGCGGAATCTACAATCAACTCGACGTGGGTGCCGACGGCGAGGAATTGAACTCACCTTTTAAGGCGGCAAAAATCGATGAGCAGTTTTCGGCGCTCTTTGGTGGTATTGGTGGCGTCGAATATCGCCACATTGCCGGCCGCGCTGTTCAGATAATCCGCCATATCCTCCATTGCCCTTCGCGCGGATTCCCTAGAATGATACGGTTTTGATTGATTTGAAACAAGAAGGGACGACTAAGAAGATTACGCTCGGACTCGTAGAGCATCGGCGTTGTCGGGACTGAAGAATGAGGCATTCGCGCCATGCACCGCGTCGGCAGCATTCGCCTCGGTTCGACGATACTCGCCGACGTTGAACACTGCAAACTAGCGTTTATAGGAGCTCGGCGAGCATTTTTGGGCACCTTTCGTCTTGAAGCCGGTCCATTTCAGATACCTACACAATTTTTTCGAGATGTATGTTTTGCCGCGTGCCGGCAAACCAACCATGACAATCACATTTGGCACGCGGACCTGGTCTGAATCAAAGAACATTGTGTTTTCAATTTGTTTTTCGTATTTTATTTTTTTTTTCGTGGAGCGTGGGAAAAAATGATTTTTGATGGGAAGAACGCTTATTTTTGGATTTCCGCTGTTTGAAAAAGAAAACAAAAAACTTTTAATTCGAAATTTATACACTGGAAAATATAATTATTGTTTCAGCAACAAATTACCTGAAAACCCGTGTTCATCGGAATGCGCCACTTTTCGCTTGGTGCTCTCCACCATCGGAGTAGCTTGAGGTGCAGAATCAGCCATCTGAAAAAGTAACTATAAAAATTAACTGGAATATAATAGCAATAATAATGAAGCGGAACGAGAATTGTTTATAATTTGTTCGCCGACCTTTTCTCTATTCTATTGTTATGTTGTAGTCGAGTACAAAAATAAATATATAAACAGGTATCAAAATTATTTGAAAGAATCCACAATTCATATCATTGACGCGATTGCCCGAAGCAACTTAAGCAGTAAGAGAGGAAAAAGACGGAAAGAAACGAAAAAATGCGGAAAAAAAAAGAACCCGAGGGGCGAGAACTCCGTTGGGGGGAAGATTAGCTCCTCTCGTGTTTCCTGGATGTCCGTTTTGTCTCGATATTTTGTTGCCGCTATTTATTTATTTTTGTTTTTTTTTTGTTGGATGAACATCGCCGATTTTCAATTATTTTTTAATTCTTGGGATTAAAATGGGATAAAAAGCGAGGGAAAAAATAATTGGTAGTCCGTGTGGACTACATATTAGGCAAAGTTGGACTAGGAATTTGTAGGCCGCGCGGATCTAATTTTCAAATTTTTGACTTTTAAACTTTGACTCTTCGCGGTTTTTGATAAGCGCCGAAACTGGTTTTTGACCCAAAAAAGGTACCATCGATATTTTGGAAGCGAAATATGAAGAATTTCAAGAGTAGAACCCCCCCCTCTTATATGCATGTATTCGTGCATGCTAATCAAATTCAAGCGCACCTGCCCGCGGGCAAAAAAAAATACGAAATTGAGCGGATTGGCAGCTGTTATATACATGTTACCAATTGTTTGTCAACTTGAGCAATTTTTATCGAACAAGAATTTTTTATTTCGCTGTGAGCTTCCTGAGTGTGTACGTTTTTTTGGCGGCGCGCACATTCTGAATTCGCTTTTTTTGTTTGGCCCCGTCAAAAAAAAAGAGGAAACGAATGGAATGGGTCTGAAGGCGCTTCATCAAGTAATTTCGTTATTTCAGTGAAACGCCATTGGGTCTCATTTAGCCGCGCTCTTTTTGCTATTCAAATTTATGCATTTTTTTCTCTTTCTCAATAAATTTGAGGGCAATTCACGCGAGAAGTTGCCACTAATTTTCTCATTGCAGTTTTTCTATTCCATATGTTTCGAATTTTCGCGCACAATTTTACACCGCACATTCGATTTTTAGTGGGAGAGATGTCGAAAAGAAGGAGCAGCAGGTGAAATGAATGCAATTGCTCCTCTCCGCGCTTAATTTCGCCTATTCATTCCTCAATTGTGGTCTCATTTCGAATTTATGGCGGTTTTGCTCAAAAAAAGAATGAAAGAGAGAGAGAGAGAGCGAAGCCCAAAAAAAGTGCAATGATGGCGTTTTTCTCGGAGCGCGCTGCCGATGCTACTTTACACTAAAAGTCGAAAAGAGCAAAAACAATAATGAAAAAATATTTTATCTCTGTTCAGAGAGCGGCGAGGAAAAAGCAGCGATCATCGGGTTCCACGACAAAATGTCATTTTTTTGGCGGTTTATGAAAAATTCATAAAATTTCCTGGTTTTTTCAATCCACAATTTCAAAAAAATGTCGTTTTCAGTGTGCTTTTGCGGTGATGTCCCTTTAAGTTTCATTGTAGACTCCTTCGAGGTTTGAAAGCTTCTCATGTCCCTTTAAATTCCTTGTGCGAAAATCCAATTTCAAAAATTGGCAGCCCTTTAAAAATAATAATTTTTGAACATCCAAACTTTCAAAAATCGGATTTTTTATTGTAATTTTTGCAAAATTGCTTCGAAATCTTCCATGCTTAATAATCTCAATGTGCCTTTAAAAATTCTGAAATCCGACTTTATGCACCTTTAAAAGAAAATTTCGAGCTCGATTATTATATTGTCAAGCTTGTAGAAGCGATAGTTTAAAGGCGCACACCAAAAAAAAATTTTTTTGGTAATTTCGCCAAGTCGCCTATAATATTTGTTGCTCGCGTTGTCAATAAGTGTACAATTTTTTTCCCAGCCATCGTATGAATATGATTAAAAACAGAGAAAAACTGAAGTGAGAGCTCACCGCGTGTCACTCATTCATTCTTCAAAGACCTTTATTTCAATGTACATCTGGCGAACACACACACACAGACACCAATTATCGTATAAGCATAACGGCCGCGCATAAATAGCAGCTTTTGGATGGCCCGGGGGGGCTCTTTGGCAATTTCTTCACAAAAAAAATAGTTTTCGATCATTTTTCATTTAAAATCTCGATTTTTTGGCTAAAATTTCTCGAAAATCTCTCTTAACAATACTGAATCAGTGATTCATGACCATTCTGCGTCTCATCAATCATTATCGTTTCTTGTTTTCTTTTTTTCCAATTAGCCTTCCGCGCGCCGATCGAATTCGTCATTGTGTGTGTGTTGATGTGTACCCAACCTTTGCAAACATTCCGTTTCACACTGCAAATGTAGTAAAAGAAATTGACTTACATGGTCTCGACGCGATTCTGACCGCATGCGCCTTGAAATTGAACTATTCCTATGTTGCCTTGAAATAGTGGGTCATTCGTCACCAAACCCGTTCTCTATTCGTCTCTCGCCAAATTTTTTTTCTACTTCCTCATCATGACTAAAAAATGTTTGCAGGCCATTTTCATTGATGCGATCGAGTCGGACGGCGTTGCGCTGGTTCAACTCGTTGTGTCGAACGCGTTCGTTGTTCGCCGCGAGGCATCGCCAATGCGGCAGCACCACCACCACGATGGCGGCGGCGGCGAGCACGAGTTTGGAGACGCCGCCATTGGATGTGCGCTTCGAGCGCGGCCTTCCGCTATTGGAGGTGCCGTTGCCGTCGAGAAACGCGGTGTGCCAATTCACGATGAGGCCGCTCAGCGACACCGTCGGCAGTTTTTGCGAGTTCCTCAAACAGGAGGATCGCGGCATCGATTATGTCGCGATTTATGGCAAAAGTGCGTCAACGTCATCGTAGGAAACCTTCTGCACGACACATCTAATTGTAGGCGGTGTGAAGTTGGCGACGTCGACGTCCATCGAGCATTTGTTGCAGTTCGGCGCCTTCCGTCTTCGAATCAATGACAAATTCTTCGAGGTGAACGTGCCGGAGACCGGCGACAACATTTTCAGTAGCGATAGGTTGGCTCGAAATTCGCCACACAATGAGAGAGGGGGTCGTCGTTTCAGGCTCCGCCAACTCGACGATCTTCGAGCCACCGTGGCGACACTTCACGCGGCGCTCTGCGTCGACGAGTACAAATTGTCGCGCGAGAGGAACCTGTTGGTGAAGCTCGAAAACGCCGAGACACTCCTGAAGCCGCTCCACGAGGTTTGGCGAACTCGACGGCTGATGGAATCGCTGAATTTGGTTGCAGGAGAAGCAGTGCATCGAGAAGGAGTGCGAGGAGCACGCCGAACGCGTCATGTGGGCGGGATTCGCGGCGATGGGCGTGCAGACGGGATTGTTCGCGCGGCTCACCTGGTGGGAGTACTCGTGGGACATCATGGAGCCGGTCACCTATTTTGCCACCTACTCGACGGTCGTCGCCACGTTTGGCTACTATTTATACACAAAACAGGTGTGTCGCGATTTTTTTTTGTGAGCCAAAAAACGAAAAAAAAATTGGATGCGTTTTGTAGAATTTCGAGTACCCGACGGCTCGCGAGCGCGTCTACACCAAACAATTCTATCGTCGAGCGCTGAAGCGCGGCTTCGACATTGAGAAGTACAATCGGCTGGTGACGGAAGTCGAAGAGTTGCGCGCACAACTCCATCGCATTCGCGACCCGCTATTCCAGCATCTGCCTGTCAGCTATTTGTCGAAACTCGAACAGTAATTGTCATTGCCTCAACACGCATCTAGTCACATTCTTTCGCTTCTTGCCCATCGCGTTCGCCCAAATTAGGAAATTTTGTTGTTTAATTGCCGGTCGCCACTGAGAACACTTGAACCAAAAAAAAAGAAACCAATGTATATTGATTTATGATGATCGTAATAATATTAATTATAATAATAAGAGACATTTATTCTTTTTTTGAGCTTCTTGAATATGGCCTAGTACTGAATCGCTGAATCGTACGTCAATCGGCCACAATCTGGAGAGGGTCGATCGTCCGAGATTCGAAATGTTGAATGAAGATGAAAAATGTGTCTGAAGCAATCATTTTACGGACAAATCTCCGGGTTCTTTTTTTTCGAGTATACTTATTTTAGGGTTAAAGGCGCAGTGAGACCTCCTTTTAATTTTTTTGGAACTTTGCCACTATTTCGAAGTCGGGCGACTTTCACAATAGTAACATTTTCGATGAATTTTTGTATAATTACTAAATAGAAAAAATGCGATTCGTGGCCGTGGCCTAACATTCTTGCAGGCCGGCAATATGAAAATTGTGGTTTTTTTCTGAAATTTGGCGCGCCTTTCACATTTCATTTTATTAATTATTTAATCATGTTTTAAGCAACGTCAAACATTCATTTTTTGAGCTTCTCCAATGGTCTTTGATATAATTCGCGCCGAAGGATCGTTCGAATTGCAGAATGAAGGTCGTATTCAACAAAATCCGGCTAAGGGCAAAAAAATTGAATATTATCAAGGATGAAATGCGCAAAATTGATACCCGATTTAGACTAATCTGCTCGCCGGGCGACAAATTATCGATGAGCGCCGATATCGGCTTCACCACTCCGTTTATTTTTCGATTCTCTCAAGAATCAAAAAAATTGATTTGCTATAATGAATGATGGGGGAATGGTACCTTGATAAACGCCGGTCTCGACGAGAATACTAACACAACGCTCCATTATATTCCTGGTTCGCACATTCGGATACTCGCCGTCGTCCTTCTCAAACACATCCAAATTGAGATGATCGAATCTGCCGCGTCCGCCATGTCTCAAGTAGCGATCGAATAGTCGCGAACCGAGCACATCCGACATCGGATTGTCGCCGACAACATACATATATTTGACATCGTCAAGGTTCATTTCGCGAGCTCGCCGCTGAATCTTGTGAGCCGCGTGCAGATAGCTGACTTCTGTCGGCTTCCCAAGCACCGCCTTATATTGCAAATGGTGTCCGGTCATTTTCTCGTAAAGCGATTCCAGCGTATGAATGAAGACGCCATGACCGATTCTGATGGATGACACATTTAAAACCGAAATCGTTAAAGCCTTTAGTTTACCTGGGCAGCTGAGAAGCGACATCAGCCATCCATACAAGATCAACATTGCACGCGACGATGGGAAGATGGTCCCTTCCAAAAGGGGTGTCCGGGCGTTGAGGGGCCGCCAACGAATCCATATCTGAATCAATCTGATTCGATGGCGATGCAATGAAGATTCAAGCTCACATCCATTGGTTAGTATGCAATCGAGAAGCAATTGAAGCGATGTTTCCCAACGATTGGGCTCGCCGAGCAAAATGATCGCTGGAATTTGTCGTAGATAGCCTAGAAATTGTCGGCGGCTACCTTCGATTGGCCGAAATTTGGCGCGTCGATGAGCCGTCTCTTTGGGATCGACGATTTTGCGCGAGAAGTCGGTGCAGTCCAAATGCGGAAACCAGCTGCGAAGATCGTCGATCGTCGTGACCTTTTTGAAGCCGCAACTACAAAAATCGAACGGGTCGATGCCGAACGCGGTTACCTCTTCGCAATCGTTTTGCCATTCTTCTGACTAACGACGAGAACCTGCTTCTCATGAAGTTCGGTGAACATTTTCAACGGACTATGCGCCAAAATCATGCATTCCGGATCAATCTGGAATCAATTGAGAATTGGAGACGAGCGCGTGGAGGTCAGGGCTTTTTTTCATACAATACCAATGAAAATTAAATTTAATTCAAAAAACGTTTGAAGAAACCTTTTTTTTTCAATTTCCTTTTCAAGCAACAATTCCTATCGATTTTAAAGGCAAACGGGGAGAATCCGAAAAATGTTAAGCAGCGAAAAATAATTTTCAAAATTTCTGTTGAATTTTTGTCATGTTTTTGTTTAAAAAAAAATAATTAACTTCTAGCAAAAATCAAACAAAAATTTCCTGGGTTTTGGGCCCGGTGAAAAGTGTTCCGGAAAATTTTCTGAAGCTTAGTTCCCGCCGGAGCTGCATGACACTTAAATTTTCTGAAAATCGAAGACGGGTCAGAAATTTTTAAGCAGAAAATGTGAAGTAATACGAAATTCCGTTTTACTTTAGTCTCCATATTAGCTGATTTTCACCATCTTAAAAAATAACTAACCAAAATCGAAAAAAATAATCAAACTTTGAAAATCCAAAAGGAATGTGTTCACTTTTGCGTAATATTCACTGATTACGTACTTTACTATACTACAGTAACGCACAAAAAAAAGGAAGGCAATTATAGAAATGATTTTTGGTTCACGATAATTACGGAGAACGAATGAAAAATTTCTGATTGAAGACAGAAGCTGTTTTCCCCGCCTACCCTGAATCCTAGTCGTTCGCTTAGCTGGCCAGCCTTCTCCGATTGTGTGCTATTCGTGCCATTCGTCAGAAACACCTACATTTTCATTTTTTTTTTCAGCTCAAAAAATTCCGCAAGCTAAACCGTTGGCACTATAAAATTGCCATGATGATCGGTGATCAATTTGAACGCTTCTTTCACACGCGGCAATAAGGTCCTGCCGCGAAAAAGCACACCGTCAATGTCGAGTACAATTCCAAAAGGATGCTAAACTCGATTTTCCACAAAAAAAAAACTCTACAATTGCAAGAAAAATGAAAAAAAAAAATTCACCGCATGCCCGCGCTTATGAGCGAATCGTCGGAAAATTTTCAGCATTTCTCTCTGCAAACAAAATTTCGCGCTCTCGATTTTAGGCGCCTTCCTACACTGTTCGAGAAGCACGCACGAGAGAAAAACAATTATTGGAAATGACAATGAGCATTTATCGAGATAATCATCAATTAAATAATTATTAATTCAAGGAATTTTTCTGGTTACGTTTTTGTGAGAGCGCGGGATGAAACCGTAAACGAGATTTTTCGTCAAAATTGTGCATAAAATGGGCGGGGCTTTGTTAGATACACGTCACGTCGATGGTGCCATTCTGATCTAAAAAGTCCTTCCAGTTCACCGACAAATTTCCGACTTTGATCATTGTGAGCAATATGAAAGCTTCACCACTAGCCGGCTCCAACACCTAGAAAGTACAAAGTCCATTGTTTTCGCGTCCGCAGATGCCTCAACAACAACATACCTCGAATTCGGCGCTGTCCGGATTAATCGCTGTTGGGAACTTCTTCACCTCGCACACAAAACGATCCACTCGATTGCCATTGCCTGGAATACCAAATAAGGACCATCGACACAATGCCTCTCCCAATGCAAATACCTTTCTTCTTCTTCTTGTCGGTCTGAACCTCGAGATTGAACCGAAGCGAGTTCTCATTGAGCACGAACTCTGTGAATTTTCCATTGGCTAGTAGGCGTGATGGCTGGTGAGGCTGGAAATTCGATTGGATCGGATCAACTCGGATCAAATCGGATTACCTTTTTAAATACGGTAACTAGAGAGTGTAAAAGGCTCTTCTTCTTTTTTAATCCATGTGCCTTCAAAATCAATTCTACCTAAATATGTGAACGGATTAAGGAAGATGAAGGATCAGAATTGGATCAACCTTCGATCCACTGTCTCGTAGCACTGAAACCGCGACCGATCGTGTTCCAGAATCTTCATCTGACGAGTTTGACTTTTGCGAGTTTCGTCGTGGTGGACTCATTTCTGCAAAAAGAAAATTGAAATTTTTGAGAAAAAAAAAATGATTTTTTGAAGTTTTTGTCGCCAATAAAAAAACTAAAATTGTCCTCATTTTTCACATGCGCCTTTAAAGGCAAAAATTCAAGTTTATCCTTTTTTTGAATAAAAATTTGCCAAGAAATCTGCTTCAATTTTCTTATAATGTCGCAAAAAAAAAGGTTTAAAAATTGTGGGTTTTGGTGCAAAATTAATAAATGTTTGCATGCGCCTCGGCTTTTTTTTCAATGAATTTTCTATTCGATCAAGACGAATTCGATTAAAAAGACCATTTCATACATTTATAATTTCAAAAAATAAATATTATCCAAAAAATGTCTTAACCAGTCACAATTTTCCTTCAAAAAATCTTTTGAAATGCCATTTTTTGGATTTTAGAGACCACTTACGCTCGTTTGATCTACCGGAAACAGTTTTTGTCGGCGAGTGCAGCGGCGATGGAAGCGGTTGAGCGTGCGTCTGATCGATCGACGTCCTCGTTTTCCTCTCGTAGTTCTGCTCAACAATTCCACGATCGCGCGCGAGCGCCTGGATTTTTTCTGCAGAAACGAGAAATCGATTGCGAGATTTCGAAATTCAATGTCTTTCTTTTTTTCTCGACGAGTAATAACGTTTATCAAACAAAAATTGGCGAAAAGCATGCGGTTGAAAAAAAAAGAAGAGGCCACACAAAACCGAAATAAATAAAAATCATGGATGTTTACCTTGATTGAGCTCCTCGTCGGTTCGATAGTAGTGACTCGATGCCATCACAAAATTCACACTGTATTATTGAAAAGTTATTCGAAGATAAAGCAAAAAAAAAAACAACAACAACAACAAGAAAAAAGACGGAGAGGAAGACGAAAATTGGCAAAAACCAAGAGCTGGGCGATAGGGGGCGGTTGGATGAACATCTGGCAGAGTGCGCGAACGCGAAATTGGCACCAACAGGATGGATGCGGCCCCGATAATTCACGGCATTTTTGATGTGGTTTCGAAATTTCTTGAGAATCTTGCCAATTTTCCATGATGAACAGGTGAATTCGAGAGGGGTTGCCTGGCGACGAATCGCCATCGAATGTAAGCGAAGCAAGTTTGAGGTGAAGCTGGCTGAAGCGAAGAGAAAAAATGCCCGGCGATGCGCCTTTAACATGTTCTTTTTTTTTCAATCAGACTTGTCGCCAATTTGCAACTTTTCGTCTTCGCTTAAAAACTTTAAAAATTAGGTAGAAGCTGGAGCAAAGAGTAGAAAATGAAAATTTAAAAAAACCGGGTGATGCGCCTTTAAATAGACTTATTTCCAACAAAAAAAAAAAAACAATTTTTTTGGTCAATTAATTAATATTGGGTTTCGAAGCGACTTTTCGTTTTCTATAACAAAAAAAAATCGATTGTGCGCCTTTAAAACCTAATATTTAACGAACAAATATGGGGTTACTCTATCATTTTCATCTAGGGTCTCATATGGAAAAAAACTGTAAGGAGCGAGTTTTGTTCAATTTTTAAACAATGCTAATGAGAAACTTTAATTTTTAGAATGCATTTTGAACACATTGGTTATTTTAAAAGGAATTTCTTTGCAAGACGTTTTGGTTTCAACGCGTCGGCATGCGCCTTTAAGAAGCCCCCTGTCGTACAACAAATGTCATTGTGCTATTTTTTTTTGGTTCGGAGCATCAAATTGGTGAGTCAGCTATTTGAAACACGCCCAAACTTTCGACACCATCAACCGTTTAGGTGAAAGGGCGCGAAGAATCGGAAGAAGCGACAAAGAGCAAATTGCGCAACTCGCGAAATTTAATCTTGTGCACAAATAATGTGCAGAATACGGAATATATTGGTTATTTAGTTTCGCATCGGCGAGAGACGAGGTGGGCGTGTCGAGATGCGGCGGCATTGTTCATCAAGTGCTCTTCACCAATGTAACGCATACCTGTAGATCAACATGACTCACGTTGATGGTTTCGAAATGCGCGTCGCCCCGTTATTATCGATCGCATTTACAGCCGGCTGTGTCAACGCACGCGAAAAAATGAAAGGGGAATGAGAAGAAGGCAACAACAAAAAAAAACATAGTAGTTTGGGCTCTTCGAGAGCAACTCACAAAATCAAATTAAATTAACGAAACGACTTCAGCGGGTCCCCGCCGTTGTCGTCCAAAATCAATAGCGTGTTTATTTTCGACACGGCGGATTATCGCAGGAAATTGAAAATGAGAGAAAATGAATGGGTTGGAGGCAGGTGGGAAAAAAATAAACCTCATATATGCACCTAGTGATTAGGCAATGAGTCAAGAGCTTCATTTCAGACAATAAAAGTAAAAATCAAATGTGAATTTTATGGGGGCTCTCATATTTGCTTTCCGGCAATGAAAATTCTACTATTTGAGTATACCATAGAAAAATTGTCTCGAACCATTTATGGAATCCATTTTTAAAACAAAAAAATTCAAAAATCGTGTAATTTTTACATTTTCTATTGCGTTCGTTAAAAGGTCGATTAAGAAAATCGCCTTTTAAAGGCGTATAGGTCTCATCGCGAAAAAGAATGTTTCATTTCGAAACTACCATATAATAAGAGAAACCCGTTTCTTTTTTCTCGTCCTAACAAACCGTTAATCGTATTTTCTTCCATAAAACGCGAAAACTAATCCGTACAGCACTATGCCAGAAGTCGAGGTGGGGGGGGGGTCCGACAATTCTATAGCATTGTATTGTTTTTTTTTGTTGTCAAAATGATTCAATCATGGGAAACACCAACATTTTGGCAAGGCACAAAAAAAGGAAGCGGCGTGTATGGAAAACTAATTACTCCTTTCACCAAGGCCCCCTTTGATAATTATTATTCGAATAAAACCACTAGTATTATATTCTCGACACCCCCCGAGGACGACATCTCAATTAACATCGGGGTGACATCGAGTGTCCGAGTAGCGTTGAAGGACATATTACCTATTATGGAATTGGTTATACCTACTTCGACATGACAATTCCAAAAATCCCATCTGCTGGGTTTGAAAATTTTAGAACGAATGGAGACAATATTTTTTGTTAAATTCAACACGCGGAAATTAGGGTTCTTGTGCTCAATTGTCCACAATTTTAATAGTTTTCTTTTTTGAAAATTCATAAAAATAAATGCATGGAAAAATTGTTTGAGAATTTCGTCATAAAACGGGGCAACAGACACCCAAATAAGGGCACTTCTAGGAGATATCAATCCCGGTTCACATGCCATTTTTTATAAAACAATATGAATCGATGAAAAGACAATTCAGGGGCTATTAAAAACCAATAAATATTTTATATTAGTGAGGGTCCGCACACTTCAAAACGCATTGATTCTCAAATACCCTAATAAGTCCATTATTTTTTCAATAGAAAGTTGAATTCAATAAAAATGGGGATTGTCGTCGTCGATGAAATACGAGAATTGTATGCGGCGAATCGATAAGCATGCCTCAACAACAAACAACATCGCAATAAAACATGCTCCCAAAAAGTGGAATTGACAAGACGAAGCAAGCCAAGAAAGCAAGGAATATATTAAGCTTGGACATGAATGTGGAAAGGGGTCCGTGTTGCGTGAAAGCGGCGGGCGGGTCCCAATAGAGGCAAACACACACACACACAGACAGACATTCGCCTCAAAGTATTACAAATTCATTTTTCGCGCGTCACCGAGCCGCGCCATAAATGGGAAACGCGAATCGAATCGATTGCGGGGCGACAATTTTTCCGTGTCTACAGTTATTCGTCACTAATCGCATTGATATCGCTCGTAATTAATGAGTCACTATCTTCGGGGAATCCGAGACGATTGCGAAAATTGCCAATTTTTGGCTGTTTTGAAATGAATGAAAACCGAATAGTGGGCGATTAGCGAACGTAATCCGAAATAATCGATGAACATGGCCGCCATCATCGTCATCATCATCATTGACGGCGATTTGAAGTGATAAAAACGGGCATTGACGGCGAAATTGTGCGCGTGATCTGGAGGGACGAGAGAAATTGAATGGTAAGGTCACTTTGAATTTTCGCATAAAAAGCGGGATGAGGGGGGGGGATAAACTGATAACAACGATGGGCGGCGCTCACCGCGCGTTGATCAAGATGAATAGGCTAATTGACAGTTTCGAAGCGATCGCTATCTGTCTTTTTTTTGAGTGACAAATCGCTCGCAGAATTTCACCACCGTAATTTATCGGACGGATTTTAGTGACATCTAAATACGACGGATTAGATTGATTTCGCGCAAGCATTTTTAGAAATGGGAAAATGAAAATTAATCGGTTTCGAAAGCATATTGAATCGAATCGACTAAAAAAAAGTTCGAAATAAATCAATATTAATTTACCAATTTGAATTATTCTTCGAGAATTCAATTGATTTTACTTGTCGGGTATTTTTTTCGAAAAAAAAACGTTTAAAAAATGAAATCATATAAAATTATACCTATTTTTAGGCGCTTTTCATAAATATCATAATTTTTACCGAATTCAAGAGCTTCTCTGGCTAAAACATGCTAAATCGCATAAAAAAGACGCATCGAAAATAAAAATGGCATCAAATGGGCCGCAATTACCGTAACGCACAATTGCACCATTCGACTGCCTACAGTAGCAAAATGAATAATTAGCCGACGCGCGCATTCTCATACCGTAAAACGATTAGCAGGCGTAAAATGTGGTAAATCAGTATGTAGGACATAAAAACACATCGGAAATAGTGTGCAAAACGTCAGAGAGGGGAGTCCGCGACGTCGGCGGCGGCGGCGAAATTTCAAAAGCAAACGGTGGTGTCATCGCAATTTTGTCCTTCGCGTTTCCACTTGATTTGAAGCATCGAATGAAATGCGAGCCGTCCGAACTGTATGAGAGGGACAAACCAAATGCACTCAACTATTATTTATTATATCGGCACACATTAATAAAATACAATTCGAATACAATCTCATTTCAATTAAATTTTGGTTTCAATTCTTCAAAATGCTTGCTTTGAAAAAAAAACAATCGATAATGTTTTTTTTAGAAGAAAAATCGCCACAAATTTCGCAGTCTCGTCCTATACGAGATTTCTCGATATTCTTCATGTGAGCATGTCCTACAAATATGGGGATTTTTCTCAAAAATCATTCTTTCAACAATTCGTTTTTACGTTGTTTCCGTTCTCGCCTCTCGTCGCTTCTTCCGAATCTCCTCAATAGTGGTAGTATCGCTAGAAATCTAGAAATGAACAAAACCCCTCCTTATTTGGATTTTTCTTTTGGCTCATTACTTGTCTCAATTGTATCAAAGCGATATTCGAAAATGCGGCGATATGAGGAACTGTGATGACCGCATAAATAATCACCATCCCGTTTTGCTGAATGGTTTCGACTGGAAAAAAATAGTGAATGCATCATATTCCACGCAAAATCGCACAACTTCCCTACCAGCACCTAATTTCTTTGTGGTTTCGACAAGAAAAATGATCAAAATCGCCAAAAATGTGGTGCAGTAGATCAGGCACGATAATAATAGGCCGACAAAAATTCGCAAATTCTGCCGATAGATGCACTTTTTCACCCAGGGACAATGATGGTCAAATTCGCGAACGCATCTGAATCGAATATAGCATTGATTGAGGAACGCTTGCTGCGGACAGCCCACCGGTTGCAAATTCGACAATGGTGCGAGTTTTTCGGCTTCGGCACCCAACACGTGAAGCAGAATTTGCCGTCGGTCGGATCGCTTTCGAGCCATTTCACGAATTGCTCGCGCGGGTTACGATAGAGCGGAATTACACCGGAATTGTCAATGGACAACCTGAAATTGAAAAAAAAGTATATAAATATCCGAATTGTCGTCAAACAAAACGCACAAGGAACGCATTAAAAGTCTTAAATTTTTTAGAATGTCGTCAATTCAAATGCATTAGGTGTAAACACACGCCTAGATTCGACGATAATCTGCACAAGTCGCAAAATAGATTTTTTAATTTTTATATATTTTAAATAGTATTTTTTTGTTTCAGCTAGTTCACTTAAAAAAATGCCTACCATATAAACAAGATGGCTGAGATGGTGTACAAAATTCCAACGGGAACGATCATATACCATGTTGAGAAATTTTCAGCGTTGAAAATCCTATAACAACAATTCGTTCGTTTAAAATTGCGCCGCGAATCCCAACATCAATACAATTTTCGAGGTGCCCATTGTGATGAAATACATCACCGGAAAATGAGTGGCGTCGTCGATCGAGAATTGAAAATAAATGACGCAAATGATGTCGATCGAAATGAATAAGAGTCCAATGGCGATGAGATATTGGCCGAATTCGAGAAGCGCGAATAAGGCGGATAGCAAAAGTAGGGGAAGAATGGAGACAGCGGCATCGAGAAGAAAGTCCCTTGATAGCACCTTCTGCGGTATGGTGCCATACTTTTCCAGCCTCGTTCGTTTCACCCCATCTAAACAACAATAAATTGCATCTGCGGTCATTGAATCTTCTAAATATATACTTGTCACATATCTGAGCTTCTTCTTGTCAAGCACACATAACGCCGTGTTTCCCGCATGATTCGAAATTGTTGTATCCGCGCCAGCAGCTATAAGTTCTCTAGAAACAATTACGATATTATTTGAGGCGTCAAAAATAAATTTACATTGCTCCAATATAATTCGACCTTTTTATCGCCTTATGAAGCGCTGTTTCATGTTTCCGCTCATCGGCGAAATCGAGAAAAACGTTGAATTGCAGAAAGATGCGTATCGGAAACATGCCGTGGCTTTCGCGCGCCACTATCATCAACGCCGACATGCCTTAAATAGATTCGATTTCATTTTTTTTTGCTTCAATTTTTTTTGTTTTACCACAATTGTCGCGAGCGTCTTTTAAATGCTCGAATTTCGTTAGCAAATATGCCAAGATTGTGGAGTTTGCTGAATGCGCTGCCACGTGGATTGCCGTCTCGCCGTTGGTGTTGCGAATTCCGGCGTCGGCGCCATTCTGAAAATAAAAAATCGAATTATTTTTCAAACAACGATTTGAGAAAGAAAACATGCATTTCTGTAAAAAATTTAAAATAGAAAATTTTTCGAATTAAAAAATCATCTAGTCGCGTGTTTACACCAAGTGCATTGTATCTGACGACAATTTGCACACTGTGCAAATTTCACGCCATTTTCCACATAATTTTTAGGTTGTTTCTACCGAAAAAAAAAACAATTTTTGAATGTTTTCCTGACCAATTAAAATTAAAAAAAAACTGTTTGAGGAATGATACCATCACTAAACAAACGATGGCATTCAAGTGGCCGACGTGGCACGCCCAATGAAGTGGTGTCGATTTCAAATTGCCGCCTATTTTGTTGATGCTCGCGCCGTGTTTGATCAAACTGAATGATGATGACACGTAATTTAAAGGGGGAAAATTTGTTTTAAAATTCTTTACAGTTCTATTATATCCACATTGTTGTTGATTGAAGCCCAATGAAGCATCGTGCATTGTTCCTGAACGTTGAAAATTTCGAGAAAAGGAAAATAGGCAAAAATCGAAATTTGAGAAATTCGTTTGAATTTTTTTTTTGCCAAAACAGTATACTGATATGGAAGATGGTTTGCTCTGTATGTCGTCGGACGCGTTGCGGCTCGCGTGTAGATCACAAAAAAAATTCGAAATACGCGAACCGCGACGCGTCGGGCGACATAGATAAATCGCTTCTTTTTCAAGAAATAAAAGTCTGGAAATTTCAGAAATGTTGAGTTTCCCTAAAATATTACATCCAGTTTTTGTTGCTTGAGGCAGGTCTCGCCGTCAGAATTTGAAAAAAAATCGCGGCGAGACCAATTTGAAATCATTTTGGCACGCTTTGCTCTTTTTTTTCTTTTTGGAATCGACTCATTGATTTCGAATAGCCCAAACCTCATCATACTCATTCGGCGGCAAATTCTCATCGAGCACCTTTCTCACCATGGCGATATCGCCAATTTGGCACGCTTTGACGGCCGCCTCAATTTTTGCGTCGCCGTGTTGTCGCCTAGACCGAAAATGAGCACAAATTGTCGCGTTTGTGCAGCGGAGCGCGACAAAAACATAAAAGGCAAACACCCACTTGCGGTGAACTGGAACAAACGCATTGTTGGCCGCCGTCGTCGCCGACGTCGACGAGTCGTCCGATGACACGGAAGAAGGCGTCGACGCCACGCTCATTATTGCTCGCCTCCGTCTTTTTTTTTTTTTTTCTTGGAAATGAGACACACATGAGCGCGTCAAATTTATTTTTTGAAAAGTTTTTCCCAAAAATTTTGAATTTTGAATGAAATGCCGCAAAAACAATTTCATCTGCGGACATTTTCTTTGTTGGCGGCAATTCAAAAATAGGCCACCTCTGGAGGCCAGAATTCTTCCCATCACGGTTACGGTAGCACTCGTTTCAGCTGTGTGGCATCCCAAGATGTGATTTTTTCTGCAATGAGCTATTAAAGAAGACTTTTTTAAAGGCGCATGCATCATATTTTCTTCCCTGGCATAAAACAAACGAATAGGTTTTCTTTAAAGGAAAAAAGTTGCTTAACAAAAAATCCTTTAAGACCAATTTAAAGGCGCATTACTCGATTTCGATTTGTGGCATTTTGCAAGTATTTCCTTCTCGGTAAAATCCAAAACCGAATAGGGAAGCTTAAAGACCACATTAAAGGCGCATACACTATCAATGTTATATACTGCAGCTTTTCCATAGCTAGACGCTCATTAAAGGCGCACAACCATAAGCATGTGCTCCGACGAGAATAGAATAATTAGGACAATCCAGTCGGGACCAAAACGAAATTTTTGGTGCTCATTGGGTTTTGTCTCTAATTTCGAAAAGTTTTCCTCAATGGCTTGATTTCAGAGGTCAAATTTAGGCCATCAATAATTTGTTAGAAATATTTTTTTTTTTCAAATTTGAAGAGCCCCCAGAATTCGTTTGTCTTCATCAAACAGAGAGAGAGAAAAAAAACATTTCCATCATGTCTATATTTGGATATCTCGAAGCGAAAAAAAAAGAATGAAGAGTCGCAAATCGCATTTTTTTTTCTCTTCGCCGCCGCTCACCTCGTTAGAAGAAATCTTGTCAGCAGCACAAGTTGTTCTTCTCCACCCCCTTTTTATTTTCTCCCCGCATTTTCTTTTTTTTTTTTCATTTATTTATGCCTCGCTATTCTTTCTTCTCGTCGTCCCATTTTTCGTATTGCCGGCAACCGGAAGACTGTCCGCAGATGCGCTTTAAGATCCCCCGTTAAATTCGAATCCGAAATTTCGACCCATTATTTGTCCGCAGATGATTTTCCATAATTCGATTTGAGATTCTTGAGCGGCCTAGAAGAAATCGTCCCGTAAATTGTCCGCAGCACAACGTTGACATATCGCATTTGTGTAATCCCACAAGGTGTCCGCAGCATGTTTAGGATATTATGGCTGCTAGCGCTGGACTTCATTCTCTCACGAATATTTCTAAATACTGACCGGAATGCCAATTTTCTGAAGCGATGCTCATTTTCAAAGTTTGGTGACATGAAAATTGGCGAAAATTCGAATATATAATTTTCATTTCGAGAAGATTGACTCCAAAATTGGTAATGCACGCCGTCAATTTCAAATAGTCGAGTCTCACATCCATTTTTTTTTTTGCTTTTGGCGTTGAATCTCGCGATCATTTAAAAGGATGAACTGGTGAAGGTCAGCAGCTTCATCGAAGTATCAATTATTCATTATTCGGACCCGCGAATACATCGTTCAAGGGTTCCGCTCGTCGGTATCGATTTTAGCTCAAGGATTAATTAGTCTTGGAAAAGTGCACGCCAAAAAACCACCCAATTTGATGGGCTTTAGGCTAAAGCTGACGAATTTCGCGTCCTCTCTTCAATTTTTTTTTCTTCGACTATATGAAATTTTCATGCTGCGGACAATGATCGGGGTTTGTCGCTAGCCGAATTTAAACCAAAAAAAGTCATTTTTTAACAAAAGGTTCTATTTTTTTTTGCTAAATAATAGATAATTTAAAAAAGAGCACATTTTAAAGGGGGAGTAGATCAAAAATCGATAAGCTCTTCGACGGTTGCCTTGCGGCGAAATATGAACAAATTGATGGGAGCAACAAAAAAAAACACACACGCATTTTTTTCCCACATATTCAATCCATGCTTTTGTGCGAAATAATGTATTGTATGTGTATTGGCAGCCGCATCTTTTTCTTTTTTTTCCCCCTATTGAAAATTGAGATATCGAAGTTTGCTCGAGATTCCTAATTAGGCACCTTCCACACATTCGTGAAAAGCGTCAATTTGCGGTATGAAAACAATTTTGTTGAAATTTTTGATACTCGCAAACCTCAAAAAATTTTTTTTCCTTCCATTGTTTTGATTTTTATGGCTAATCTCTGCTGCGGACATTTCATGGTAATTCGTTTTGATGGCCACTCAAATATAAATCATGCTGCGGACATATTTTGGGATATGTCTTTGGGGGAGAATTTCAATAGTAAGCGATCAGCGGACCATCAAGGGGTTCGCAAATTGTCCGCAGATTGAAATGAATAATGCATGCCGCTTCCTCATTCGTCGGAAAACAATTGAAGACGTCGTTCTCGAATGATTAAACATCAACAAAATGAAATTGTTGGGGGGTTTTTTCAACGTCAAATCGAATTCGCCCCCGTCGCAATTTTCTTGTGTGCTCTTGATTCATGCCCAAATTTGGTTGTTTTGAGTTGAAATCGACATTATAAATTATTCGGCGCCCCACATTTTCGATTAATTTCGTCTCGCGTCGCAAAACAACCCGCAACGTTGTCCGCATGTCGAGTTTGATAAGACACTTTCAATTTTTTTTGTGTTGTTAAATACTATTTTTTTTTTAATTTTGTCGTTTAGTAGTTTAGGAAAAATTGGCTAATTTAATTTAGGCTCAAATGAAACCAATAATTTAATCTTGTTAATAGATTCACAATTAAAATTCTCTGTGCATTTGTGCGTCAAAGTGTGTACGGTACCGCTTGACACAATCGCGTGTATTATGTTTTGATCTACCAGCAATTCAATCAATATTGCTTTGTGAAAAAGGCTATTGTCGGAAAAAAATTGGCAAGCTGCCAAAAAATCTAAAAAGAGGTCTCAGTGTACGCCTTTAACATATAGGCCCGTAAATATACACTTCTAGTTTCCCGTCAAGACCATTTTTATTGGATTTTTGGCTTTACAATGGGTAGTGCTATTTAGAGAGAGAGAGGAGAGAGAGAGAGAGAGAGAGAGAGAGAGAAGATTTTACACTCGAGATATCATCACGTTGCCGTTGGAGCAGTTGTGGCAAAGTGGGAAACGCGCAGGTGCGCGAGTTTTTTGTCCAGGGTTCGACACTTCATAGGTGTTAAACATTTTTGCTAGCTCATTCTTTTTTCTATAATTGTTCCAGCACCCGATTCGCGAGTCACTGCATAAGAGCCTTAGCCAATTTTGGGACAAAAACGAATTGCATCAAAACCCTGCTTAGTTATTTTTTAATTATAAATAATATTTTTTTCAATAAAAAATACCTATTGGATTTCTTGGAAAAAATAATGCAAAAAAAAACGAAAAACCTCAATTTGTTTTGCATTTTCGAAAATTATAGGGTTTTTTTTCTTCGGGGAAAAAAACGTGTCGAATAAACCGGTAGTCTTAATTTGATTGCGAATTTTGTTGTTGTTTGCTTTTTTTTTCTTCTCGACGCCTTCAACCACCCCTCTTCAAATTTTTTTAGTCGTCTTTCTTCGTCCAAAAACAAAACTCTCATTGATTGGCCGCAAAAAAAAAGGTATTCGGTCGAAATCGAATTACGCATAGTCAGCGATTTCGAGAATATTGACTCATTTAATTAGAATGATTTTGTTGGCGCTTTTTTTGTGCAACAAAAAAAAATAAATACTTGAGTATCATCTTCAAAATATTTGAGATTTCTTGGAACTTGTTTTGTTTTCTTCTCGTCGCTCCTTATTTACATTGACGCAATTTTTTTCTTCTTGGGATTTTATTTTTTCTTTGCCAATTTGCTCGGGCTACGGTAGTTTAAATGAGCAGTTTTGAGGGACCCCCTTCTACTGAAAAAAAAAGATATGAAAAGAAAAACAACCGGTTGCTATAATGGAGGGACCATTATGAATTGTTTCAAGACCCATTTTTTTGCCAGAATGGATTTTGAAGGGTAGCCTAAGATGGTTCCATTGAACTGAAACTTGACTAGAAAATTTTTGAACGTCTGAAAACGCTAAAAACGAGGCAAATCGTGAAAATCAAAGCCAATCGAATTTGAATTGCCGCCAATTATTTTTTTTCCTAGAATTTCTTTCAAATTTATTGGCATCTCAAACCACTGAAGAAAATTTGAAAAAAAAAATTATTGGCTGTGTGCCAATGCGTCTCGAGACTGCGTACAATGCATTATAGCGTACGCGCATTTATGTAATATTCAATCAACACTGATTTCGCGAATTCGATGTTCCTTTGACCCCCGATAAATGGAAATTTAAATAATGGGAAAATTATGAAAAATTTTAAAAAAGAATAATGGAAAATAAAAGAAAATAAATTTTTATTTTTTGAAATAAAGAATTGAAATAGAAAACAAAAAAATCTAAATTTTTTTCTAGATTTTCAGAAAAAAAGACAGTTGCGCGAAACCCGGGAGACTGTCCGCATATGCGTTTCATAATATATAATACGTTTCTAGCTTACATCTAATTCTAGTATCGATGTGTTTCGAAATATTTAATCCCGTAAATTGTCCGCAGATGGTTTCCGATAATTCTCATTGGGATTTCTGTCAAAGCAACCCAATAAATTGTCCGCAGCATTTTTCTGGAAATCCAAGAGCGTATTTAAAAAATATTTCAAAAAAATTAAACCTACACATAATCCGATGAACTTTGTCAATTTTTTCTTCTCGTTTCCCATCAGCCTCCCACTCGGCCGATTCTTGACCTTTATCGTACATTCAATTAGCGAATCATATTGTTCATTTGTTGAAATTCCTTGGCCGAAATTCAATCAGCGATTAAAATTGATTTGACGAGTCGCTTCGTGACGAGACCCAAATATTTTGATTCGTCATCTATCCATCCATAAAAGGTGTGGAATCAACAGCAAAAAACAACAAACACACGAAAAATGGAATTAATTGGCAGCTCATTCGGCGGGCTCACGCCCCGAATGCAATTTAGTCGGCCGCCTCTCGCGCATTTTTTTTATTCGCATATATCGATTTTTTTGTTGGTTGAATTTGAATTGAAGAATAAGTGGGTCTCGCAGCGATTCTCACTACCGTCTTCCGATGACTACACTTGAAACACTCGTCCACTTTGACTGCTTCCACAAAAAAAAATAATTCAATTTTTTGTTCTTAACAAATTTTGCGTGCGCCTTTGACGTATACTGTAGTTTTTTTTTCAATGATTTCATTTTTAATTATTTCTTGAATCACATTTTTATTAGAATTGTTTTTTGTTCTTCCTTTGGGAACGAAATTTTATAATTAATTATGATTCATTGGAAGCTTAATTGCCGCTTGTAGAAATTGTTCAAATTTTGTGCCAAAAGGGTCTTCCAACATTATGGATTACTGTAGCTATAATTCTTAAAGGGTGTGTTTTTTTTAATGTATGAATATAAATTCTGACGTTTCGAATTTCGAAGCAACCAATCGTCGAAGAAAGGTGTGAACCGTTGAGAATCGAAATTTTTGATCTACATACCAATTAAGGCATCCTACACTTCAATTCTATTTATGAGAGTATAACCGACCCACCACTGAGCCACAACTGTTTGCCAAATAAGGATATAAGCACGATATAAGGCATCCCATTATTTCAAATTTCTATAGTTGGCTTCCGGCGACTGCTGTACGCGGGTAGATTTACGGGGAATGCGTCTTTCCAAATGGTCCCGCAACGACTAACAGGTTATTTCAAATTTTATGGACCAGCTCGATAATTAAAAAAAATGCAAAACTCGTCGAGAAAAATGAAGCAGTTCACGTGAAAACAAGCATTCACGCGTGGCGAGACCTTTTTTCAAGGCGCATGCGCGTAAATCTACAGCAGTCGCCGACTATATGCGAAATTCACGTGGGGACGGCCTAAAACTTTGATGGTCCATATCTAGAAGTTTGCGCCGGTAGGGACCCGGCTCATTCGATTGGAAATTTTCTAAAGAATCTGTACGCAAGAATAAAAAAAATTTTTCAGCAAAATGACCTCCCTTGCCCCTCCCCCTCCTCCCCCCCTCCTCTCTGGGAGGGAAGCCGCTGTGGCGAAATGAATCTGTCTCAAATTTCGACACATTTTCGCATTGAGAACACGTAATTTAACACCGGCTTCTTGATTTTTGGCAAACGAGAAGCGAAAAAAAAAGTAGCCGCCAGCAATTCCCGTCGAGAATGATTTATTTTGGTCGCCAATCCAACCCCTCCAATTATCGTTTTTTGTTTTTTTCCCCCCTCTTCTGCTTGTTATTTGCTCATTGGCTTCTAATTTGCGTTTTCAGCATCGATTTTTGGAATGCCGGACTCGAGCGTCGTCGGCCCGTCGATTCCGACGACCATCGTCAAAAAGTCGGCGTTGAAGACGACGTTGTCGGTCGGCGAGAGTGCGGCGAGCTCGTCGACGTCGACGACGTGTCCCGTCGAGACCACCAAGAAGAAGCGGTTTAGTTTGGTGCCGATGTCGAGGCAGGATCGAAGGGTCACTATTAGGCCCTATGAGAGTTTTAGGTATGTCGAAAATTCGCTCCATTGACACTTTTTGATCTACTTGGATTTTTCTTAAATTGAAATGAAATGGTTTTTTTCTAAAAATTTGACTTTTTAATTAATGTAGAAAATTCGCTCCATTGGTACTTTTTTTGATCTACACCGATTTTCCGTAATTTAAAATTTAATGGTTTTTTCCCTGGAAATCAGATGTTTAATAATGATGCGGAAAATGTGCTCCATTGACAATTTTTGATCTACTTCGGTATTCGTTAAAAAAAAAGTTTTTTTCTAGAAATCAGATTTTTAAATAAAGCAAAAAATGCGCCCCATTGAAACTTTTTTGATCTATGTTTGTTTTTCTTTAAATTAAAAAAAAAGTCGTTTAAATGTGATTTTTATTTAATAACCCAGTAGATAGTGCGCTCTATTGCACAACTTTGATCTACTTAATTTTTTTTCTTAAACAATCCGGTTTTGTCAAGAAAATTCAAAAAGGAATTGGAAATGAACTTCATTATTTGATCTACTTAGTTTTTCTGTTAACATCGAAAAATGAATGTGCAAATGCGCTCCATTGCCCTTTTTGATCTACTTGAGTTTTTAATACCAGTTTGTTGATGAAAAATTGAAAAAAAAAATGCGCTCCATTGAACTCGTTTTGATCTACCAATTTAATGATCTACCAATTTTAAAAAAAGTTTTGATCTACCAATTTAAAAAACCTAGAAAATTTTTTAAACCAACAAGAATTCAATAAAAATTCAATGGAGCGCATTAACTCTCAAAAATTCAATGGTCGAATAAACTCTTAAAGCGGTTTTCATCAAATTCATAATTGTCAATCTGCGGACAATTTCAGGGAGCGGAAAGACGAAAAAGACGACGGCATCACGTTCGGCTACGCGGCGCTGAGCGCAAACGAGGATGACTCGAAACGAAGTGTGCAATATGAAGGCGAGGATTACGGTAGCGGCAAATCGATTACGGTAGTCTTATTTTCAGATCGACCCGAATCGCCGGCGCCTTCAATATTCTCGATATATGGCGATGAGCCGGGACCATCAACGGTGCGATTTTTTTAACAAAATTTCGAATGCCCCGACTTGAATTCTAGATTTGCGAGCAGCCGATTGGCGCGCAAGCCGACGTCTTCATCGCATCATTGGGCGAGAAGAAGCTGAACCAGATGAAGAAGTTCCTTGAGAATAATCCAAGAGAGGAGCACATGTACTTCTTATGGGTCAAAGAAGCCAAAAGCAACAAGGTAAGCAATTTTAAAGGCGCATCAATCAACGACACCCTATTGAGCTCACTGTCATATCAATCAAAACCTTGGAGAACCATTTCAAATCGAATAATCGCATTCGTCGTGTGAAATGGAGGCATTTGTCGTCGGAGAGGGTCTCGATATATCGATACAGCTTGCCGGCGATCACCTATGAGGTAATGAGGCTCTCAATGATTGAATCAAGCTTCTCGCGTTCGCTCCAGAAATCGAAATTGTGTCGCGAATGCGTTTGCCGACACAAGAAGTTGTTTCTGCTTCTCGTCTGGCTCGCGTTCGTCCTATTCCTCTGCCTAGTTGTGGTCCTTGGATCACTATCGCCTGAGGATCGGACCCATCCATTCGTCCACTATCATTTGCGAAACAATTCAATTCCGCTGGCAAACGCTTCAATCATCGGGTGACGAGGCGAAAATCGAATTCAATATATTTATAAATATAATAATGTATATAATATTGGTGATTATTACTGTTAGACAGCGCGAGGTATTGTCTCTCAATAAAAGAAAACGTAATTGATTGCGTTTAACCTCGCGGGATTGTCGCCACGCCTGTCTTGTAAACCTTCTCGGGCTCGCCGAGCACAACGCGATCGATGAACTCTTTGCCTTGCATGAAGCAGTGGTCTTGATTCGAGACCTCGTATTTCCAGCCGCCGAAACGCCCGCGCGAATAGATTTGGTTTTTTTCGAGCTCGGTGTGAGCGCGCGCCAATTCCTGATCTCGTTTCGGCGTTGGAATCGGATAGCCGTATGGAAGGGTGACGGAATAGACGGATTCGATCGCCTCTCGAGTGATCATGTCCTTGAGAACGAGTCCATCGAGAGTTTGCTTCACGATTTCTTCCTCGGTGACCTGAAAACATCAATTTTTAGGGAGGAGAAGAAATTTGAAAATTTGAAAAAAAAAATCGTGTGCAGTTTTACTCCGCGGTGTTTACACACTCGCATTTAAACCGACGAAAATTGATTTTTATTGTCCATTTTTTTCTCAAATAAATTTGTTATTTTCGTCAATTTTCAATCAATTTTCACATTTTCTTCAGAAATAAAATCAATTACCGTGTCATCAATTGGTCTGGCGCACTCGCACATCACCGACCAGTACTTGTCGCTGTCTGGCGTCACCTCACCATACCGGCACAAAATCGTGACACGGAAGAACGGCACATTTCGATCCGGGAAATACAACCAGGTGTAATTTTCAAGGAACGGCGTCATCGGCTTGCGGAGACCAACTCCCACAATGAACACCTTGTTGTATTTAATGTCCAATGGTCCGGTGACTTGAGTGCTCTTGATGAGCTGATCGATTGGAGCCGTGTTGAGCAAAACGTCATATTCAACCTTTTTCGGCGTCTCTTGGTCCTTTTCAATGACCTCGATGGTCTTTTCTTTTGCATCCACACCGACAACCTTGCTATTGAATTTGAACCAGTTGTTCGGCAATTTCTTCGCCATCGAGTTCCACACGTTACCAGTTCCTCCGTATTTCGGGAAAGTGAAGTAAGAGTTTGGTCCCCAGCCGAAGTCGGCATTCTTCAAAAAATAAAAAATGTGAAATTTTGCGATTTTTTTAGACATACGGCAAGCTCATTCTGATCCATCGCGCACAATTCCTCAAGCTTCTCCTGTGGGAGTTTGGCGACACGAGTTCCAACCCAATTCGGTGACATCTTTAATGGCTCAACCGTCCAGACCTTCAAGATTATTGGGTAATCATCGAAAATTATGTATTTGAATCACCTTTTTGGTGTAAGGCTTGAAGAACGTGTTCAAAATAGTTGGTCCAAAGTGCTGAAGAACCCATTCCTCAAAATTCTCCGGCGCTGTGGTTGTATGGTCCCGCTCATAGCGCTCCTTCAAATCGACAAGGCAGGCGTTCTTGACAGGCTCTGGGAACAGCGGAACAGCGAATTGCGCTGGATATGGGACCTGTAAGTTGAGTTGACGATCCAGATTGTGAGTCAATCAATCGCTCGCTCACCAAATGGATTCCCTTCTTATCGAACACATAGTTCATATCAACCATGCAGTTTCTCGCCAGCTTGTTCCATTCATCTACAGCCCATTTCGTCGCCTTCTCATAGTACGGGAAATTGTGATTGAACGTGATATGACCGCCCATATCCCATAGGAAACCCTTGTCGTCGGTGACGGTGCACGACAAACCGCCGGCGTGATTCTCCTAGAAATCGACGGCAATTGCGAAGCGTGATTTGAAAATAGGATTACCTGCTCAATGAGCAAAATCTCGGTGTTCATCGCCGCCTCATTGCCCTCGCTCTGAAGCTCGTTGAGCCGATAGGCGGCGCCGAGCGCTGTCGGAGCGGCACCAATGCACACGATCTTCATTTTCTGGAATTCGAATTGAGAAGCGAGGCTCAAAAATTGGAAATGGATTTTATATGGAAATGGATCGCGCCGGTGGGTGAGTGAACGTTCTCTCGAGATTTGTGACCCAGATAATGCCGGGGAATTTCGCTTTCATTCTGATAAAACCGCGCCGATGCCCGCCTCGTCTCGACGGAATATAGCATTTGAGATGAGATGTTTGAAATCGAGACGAATATTTCGATCTTGTTTTTATGATTTCGGTTCAAGTGTTCAGATTTCAGCCATCGATTGTCTGCCAAGCATGTCTATCTAGTTTGTACCCCCCTCTCGATCATGAATGCCGATTGTGATCTGGTTTTTTGGAATTTGACGAAGGGAAAATCAATTGAGATCAAAATTTGTGATGTCTGGACCTTGCAAATTTTCAATCTCAAGATTCTTGAAAGCTGCAAAATAATGGTGCACGGAATTCCGTTTTCTGTGGAAGCTTTTTCTTCCGTTGGAAGGAAAATTTCTTCAAAATATATATTGTCGACGTCGTGCGACTGTGAAAAATTGGCTTAATGCCAAAAAGGTGCGCACCTTTAACCTATCCTTATATTGACAACACACCCCGTAAATCTACACTTTGAATTTCACGCCAAGACCATTGCCATTGTTTTCTTGGCATTTAGCCAATTTTCCGACGCCGACAATATAAAAATTGCTATTTTTCGGCTTTTTTTTTTCGCATTTTTCCCCATCACTCGATTAAAGGCGCAGAGCTTCATCTAGTGAATCTAGCCGCTTTTGTTGTTCAAATGTTGAGATCCTTGATTCCGATTCGGTTCAATATTTGGCAGATTCTTCGACAAGATATGAATTCGAAAGTTGAATCAACGATTCGCTGAACTATTGATTTCACGCGAATGCCAAATGCTTCCTCATTTTTATATTCAATTGATTTTGAAATGCTAGGTTTGTAAGAAATACAGCCACGGAAAAAAATGATGCGATTCATTTATAATTTGAATTGCCGCCTTCGGGGTCTCATATGGAAAAAACAACTGCGAGGGGGGGAATTTTGTCAATGAGCAAAATTTTGAAATTGAATTTTATGAGACCTTGGTAGCGCGCGAAATTCAAAATCAAATTTCGTCGATAAAACAAAAAATTTTATATTTCGATTTAGGTTTTCTTGTCAGAACATTACTTCAGTTCTTACTATTTAAATGTATTACGTTATACGCGAATCGAACATTAAACATGTGCTCGAAAAATGTAGGAAGGCGTCAAATTTTCGAGCAAATCGCAATTTTTAGGAACCGATCGTTGATCATATCTGCTTGGAACTGATATGCTACCAACTCGAAGACTACGATCCGATGCTGAGAGCCGCTCCATTGTGAGTCGGAAAATGTGAGACATCAATTTTTGGGATTTTTGCAGACTCTTCTCAACACCCCATTATATTTGCCTCATTTTCGTTGGATTCTTTCTTTTGATTGGCATCAGCTTATACGTGAAACTCTGTTTTATGGGGAGTGATAGTGGTAAATCAAATCCGATTCATGAGAATGAAAATTGTTTGCAGGCGACCCCGAACGATTCGATGATAGCATCACTGAAGCAAGCACCCATCGAGATTTGGGATCGCTGATGTCGACGCAGTCGAGCCGCCTTCGGAATCAGTACGTGACGAGCTTGCAGAAGATGAAAAGTTTTCGGGAAGCTCAAGGAGCCCACGCGAAGCATCGTGACTTTATCATAAGGAAAGTGGTGGGTGAAGGTTCGTATGATATTTATTCGATTGATCGTTGAAGCTGGATGAGATGAATGAGGAGAAGACTGATGTGAATCTTGAGCGGCAGAAGGTGCACATTTCAGGGAATTTAAAAAATTCGGATGTGAGAATACTTGATACGAAAGAAGAAATAGGAAATTTCCAGTTCGTCTCGAGTTCCAGTCCACATGAAGCGCAAGTGATCCTTCGCAAGGTGTTCTACGATCCATCACAGAATGAGGTGTTCGATATTGGAACCGACGTGGATCTGATAAGCGCGAGCCGCGGCAAGACGAAAAAACGAATGCCGAAATCGTCGGTGTGTCAATCGATCACGACGCAGGCGTCGGCGCCGCCGAGCTCCGCACCGATGAAGCTCAAATCGGCGCGATCGTCGGTGATCGAGGTGACGCAAAAGTCGAGCAATGATTGAACGGACCATGGTCCCAATTAATATTACATAGTTGCAATAAAATTGTTGAAAATTGAATGACGCGTGTTCTTTGAACATTTGAGAACCTCATTTTTTATTAATTCTCGTTATTGAAATGACAGGTTCCAATTTTTTCTTTTGGGTTTTCATTGAAATCCATTCATCTTCAGGATTCCTTACAAAATTACCAAGTCAATTACTTCTTTTGAATTTGATTGTGTTCAGCGATGGTCTTGAAGTGGACGATGAGCGCGTAAGTAGGTCAATAGTGCAAAACGCGCTCCATTGATATTTAGGAGAATGCGACGAGCTTCTTTCTCGATTGCCCCGGAACGGTGATATTTGCGAAAAAAAATTGCTAGCAATTTTCCAATAATTATTTTTTTAGATCGATTTGGCATTTCCGAATGAAACCGAATGCCTCGTTTATTGTGAGAAGCTTCGCGTTTATTGGGACCAAATTGAGATGGAAAATGAGGGTCAAACGTGGGCGAATTGCGCTCCATTGCGAAATGTAGATCAATGATTGAAGGCCGGTGATTTTCTACACGTATGGAGTTTGGGAGATTGCTTTGACGGTGATTATTGCGATTCTTTGCTTTCTAGCAGCCCTAATGGTTCTAATTTTGGCGAAAGTTCGAACGGAAGGTGGCCCGCAGATGGTTTTGAGGAGATTCTTTTTTTGATTTTTACAGAAACGGTATATTTCTCAGACGATGATGCGTCACTTATTGAGGAGCATGATGATTGTTGTGAAAAGAAGGAGCCGAGGAAAGATTTCAGATATACGGCGAGCATAAGGGAGAAGCATCGCGATTTTATACGAAGAAAAATTGTAATTTTTTTTTAATTTTGAAAAAATTCCCTATTCTAGAAAGAGGAGAAAGAAGAAGAAAAGTCTGATGTGAAAATCGCCCATCAGAAAATTTATATACCGTATGACTTGAAGGATTCAGATGTAAGAAAAAAAATTGTTGAATCGCCGTTCAAAAAACTTCCAGTTTGTTGTGAAATCGAATAGTAGTCGAGAGCGGATCTCGTTGAAGAAGGTATTCTACGATCCCGGCCAGAATGAGGTGTTCGACATTGGCACCGATGTCGATGATATCGTCAATGAGCCTTCGAAGATGCCGGCGAGCACCCAACAGGCGACGATCGTCGCGAACAAGGAGCAGGAGAACTCGAACAAAACCGCGAACGAAATGTCGACGAAGACGATGTTCAGCCCCGAAATGGCGAATATTGAAACTACTCAGCCTTCTATATGTTAATTGTTCACTATTAAATAGTTGAAATAAATGTGCTACTCGCTTGGTGCAGCAAATGCGCTCCAACTCAAACGAGTCGACAATATTTATTTAATGCACTCATTTCTTCATCATTTACCGTTATTATCAAAAGAAATATACGGTTTTGGGTTTAAACTGCGTAAAATCAATAAAAATTGATATATTTTGCCAAAGAAATTGTGAAAAAATACGAGTTCTGCTGAAAAAAAGATGTCTTTCGCAATATTTTGAAAAAAATTCATACCGTAATTATTTCAAAGGCGCATTATCACAGTTTGTCGTTGGTCTTTTCACGATTGAGTACTGTAATTTATTTTAATGCTCGCCAATTTTTTTTTTTCAGATTTTTCCATTGATTAGGCATGTCATTTGAAGTCGGGGCACGGGTTGAGACCGCTGCCACCGGCAAAGGAACTGTAGCATTCTGCGGCACGACGAAATTCGCGGAAGGTTTGTAGGAAATGAACGAGAATTTGAAATAGAAAAACGAAATCCTTCAGGTGAATGGGTTGGCATTATTCTCGATGAAGCGAAAGGAAAGAACAATGGGAGTGTGCAAGGCGTCGCGTATTTCGAATGCGAGCCGAACTTTGGGCTTTTTGTCAGGCCCAATCAGGTTGAAAAAAAATTTCTTAGAAATTTTTAATAAATCCAACTTGTTATAGTTGAAACTTGAAGGAGCCGCCGCTCCAAAAAAATCTACGGGAATCCGGCCGCCATCATCAGCAATGAGCCGGTCTGGAAGCGCAAAACCGTCACCAGGGGTTTGAAAATTCAAAAAAAAATGCTGGTAATAAATGAATAATGATTTAGGCAAGTCCAGGAATTTCGCCAGCCGTTTCCACTGATCAACTAGCATCAAGGCAAACTGGAATGGGAGCTCGAACCAAATCGAAATTGGCTGATCCCAGCGAGGTATTTATAATAGGCAAAATGATATTCTTTTTTTTAATTGAAAAGAAATTCTGGAAAGTGTGTTTTAAAAAATTCAGCGAAAAATGTCAACCCCACAAAAAGCGCGCTCACCAGCGCCACCAAAATCATCGGTAAATCTTCCGCTTTCTGTTGCCATTTTAATTCAGCTTTTTGCTTTCATTTTGTTCTTAATATCAAATAACACCTTCTACATATTTTTCGCGTCGAAACCTATTTGTCGTTTTTTTTTTCTAGTCGCGAATGGTCCGTGAGTCTTCCAATTTGTCCGTGTCGTCTGTCGCTTCTACTCGTACTGGTGTGGCAAAGCCTAGGGTGTGCTTAACGTTTCCCCATTTCTCATCGTTCGACTCGTTTTCAGCAGTCCATTGCTCCGGAAGCGAATCGAAGAACATCAATGGCTCCTCCGCGAAAATCGTCGGCAGCCGTTTCGACGACAGCAATGAAAGCTCCAGCTCCACCGAAGGCAGAAGCTGATCCAGTAGCTCCGCAACAAGCAATGACGGCATCTGGAACCGAGTTGCCTACGGAAAGTGTGCTCTCAAAGGCGAAAAAAATCGATGACGTAAACGTTTCTAATTCAAATTCTCACCTCAAAATTGTTTCGTTTAGACCGGCGCCACTCCGATGTCCCCAATTGCTACAACAGCGGCAGCAGCTGCTGTCCATCCACCTCAAACAGCGGCCACGGCAGATCATTCGACGGAACTCGAGTACTTGAGACTTCAAGTTAAAGAGCTCACCGATAAGCTGGAGAATACTCGAGCGAAGCGGCAAGAAGATCACGCGAAACTTCTAGAATATGAGCGGATTTCAATTGAATACAGAACCCTTCAAGTACGATTTTTTGCATGACTGATCCATAATCATCAAGCTTCCAGGAAGTCAAAGGTCGCTTAAATGATAAAGTCGTTGATTTGGAGCGGCAACTTCTCGAGGAGCGAAAAGCCTGTGAAGACTTGAAAGCGTTCCACGAGAATAACAAGGACGCCTATTTGGAGCAGAAGGACATGATCGAAATGGCGGTTATCGAGAAGGAGCTCGCTGAGGAGAAGGCCGACTTCCTTCAGCAAGAAGTCACCTCGCTGACGGAGAAAATGGAAGAAATGCAAGCTGAATTGGAGATTTTGAAGGAAGAAATGGCGTCGTCTGGAGGTGAATTCGTTGATTGTGAATTGTTTTCACATTTTTGAATCACAGGTGGAGTCCCAGTTGGCAACAGTGTCCAAATGAAGCAAATTCAGCAGCAGAATGAGAAGCTCAGAGATGCATTGATCAAACTGAGGGATTTGAACGGACAAGCGACATTGGATAAGCAGAAGGCGCAAGAGGAAGCGGAGAAGTTGAGGAATGAGAATGTTGAGCTCGTGAGAGTCGCTGAGGTTCTCAAACGGCAGGCGGAGCTCGCCGAATCGAAAATAGCCGGATTCCAAGAGCAGGTGAGTGTTGAAAATCGAGAAAAATATGGGTTGAAGATGGGATTCATCTAATATTTCCATATTTGTCTGTGTCCATTGTGTGTTGCAGATGGAATTTTCGAGTTTGTGGGAAGAGGTAGATTTCTTTGAAATTAGTGATCTTTTTGTGGTTCGTCCCCAAATATTGTGCGTTCTCTTCGGAATTTTTTCGATTGAAAAGCTTGCCAACTATCCAACTATTATCTATATTACATACATATAGTTAACTGGCGGTGGTGGAATTGATTGCGATATTTCAGATTGACGCCGCCATGGGCGCTGAGGAAATGGTCACGCAGTTGACAAATAAGAATTTCGATTTGGAGGAGAAAATTGCGTAGGAATTTTGTTTTGAGCAATTTTCTCGAAATTGAATTTTGTCATTTTTCCAGAAAGCTTGAAGAAGTCATTGAGGATTTGGAAGAGGCTCGCGATTTGGATGAGCAACTTGCCGAAGTTCAGAAGCAGCAGGAGAAGGATCTGATGAAGGAGATTGAAGATTTGAAGATCACGATTCATGAGCTGAACGGACGGATACGCGATGAGCAGAAGCACTCGGTGGAGCTCTCGCAGACGATTCTCAAGTTTAGAGAGCGAATCGCCGCGCTGAACGCGCAAGTGCAGGATCACAAGGATTTGGTGAGGATTTCGGAGCGTCGTCTAGAAAAAAAAAGAATTGACAAAATGGTTTTTGTAGATTTTGAACCTTGAGGAGGAGCTTCACGGTTATAAACGCGAAGACTATGATCAAGCGTCGATGTTGAGCCAACTTCAAATCACGGCCCATAAGAATTTCGCGGAAGCTGTTGAGCGTCAACTTCTCGCCATTGAGCTCGAGTTCACTCGCCGACAAGCTGGATATCTGAAAGCGTTCCTTCCCGACAATTTCGCCAAAATTGGTGGCGACAACGAGTCGGTGAATATGGTGGTGATGTTTCCACGATTATCATCAAAGGCGAAATTGTTCGCCAAATTGGCGATGGATTGTGTAAGTCGCCATATTCGAAATACACTAATCTTGATGTCATTTTTCAACAGTACCCTCAAGTGTCCGGCGGAATGCGAAGAGAGCATGTGACGAAATCGCATAAAGCCGAACAATGGGCGCATGTGTTCCGTGTGGATTACATCGCGAAATCGTTGATCGCCGTTTTGGGACAATTTGAAAGGCACCAAATTCGACTTGGAGCAATTGAAACCAATAATTGTTTTTAGCGCTGTCAATGAAACCACTGTCGAGGTGCTAATGAAGCTCACATCCATGTATGGTGAGATGTCGACGCACGAGAGAGCTGTCGATCAATATTTGGAATTGTTAAAAATTGCGCGATTCGACGAGAACACGTCGCTGGAGAATTTCGAGAAACCCGTGCTTTATTTCCAGGCACTGCGCAATTTTGAGAGAGAACTCTTCTGAAATTCGCGATTTGTCTTTTTTTTAGAATGTCTTCTCGGTTCATATTGGTGGCGACGATTTTAATACGTCTCAATGGGTCTCGAATATATGCGCGGCGCTTTTGGCGGGATTCGCGTATTGCAAAGTGAATGTGCAGCGGATTGGCTACTTTTTGCAGGTTTTCTCAATTCGTGCTTCTTTTTCCACACCTTAGCCGAGTTCTTTTAAGGAAAGTGTGACCGGTGGAGAAGTTGTGACGCTTTTGAAATCGATGGGCGATGAGATTGCGGCGTGCGAGGCGGTTATTGTGAAGGCGTCGAAGTTGATTCCCAACGATCCGAAGAAGGTGTTGAAGATTGACAACGAGTTCACCGAGGAGTTGCTCAATTCGGTTGCTCAATTGGATCGAATCTCGTCGGTGCTTCGTGAGACGGGAAGCACGGGAGCGATGCAGATTGGCGGAATTTCAGGTTTTTATTTTGAGGAAAAGCTGTTCTAGCGAGCGTATGATTTTCTGTTCAGAATCCGAGGGATTCGATGAGAAGAGGGTCAAGGAAATGATTCATGGTGTCGTTGTGAAGCATAATGGTTGGATTGCCGTTGAGAATGCGTTTGAGCCGATTCGCAAAAATATGAACTCGCTGAGAGACAGCTTGGAGAAGGTGCACAGCGCGCTGGAAACCGGCAGAATGGAGAAGGCGGCGCCCGAGAAGAAGAACTTCCCGCCGCTTCTTGATCGTGCTCATCATCGGAAGCAAGCGGCGTCGGAGGCGGAAGGTCTCCGTTGGCAAATGGAGAAGAAGGATAATGAGATGCTTGAGCTCAGGAAGCAGATTAAAGCGCGTATTGAGGATGTTTCCAATTACAAGGTTGACGCCTTGGTCGACATGCTCCTTTAAATTTGAATGTTTTAGCTTCGTCTGGAAATGGTCGAGTCTCGAATTCATTCGACCGATAAGGCAGAGAATGATAAGGTGAAGCATCTTGAGGAGAAGCTTAATCAATTGGTTGCTGATCAGAAGAGGCAACAGATGTGAGTTGTTTTTTGTGGGATTTTTGAAATTGAGATTTCGGCTCAATTTTTTAGCGAGTATGATGAAACTATGGATGCGCTGAGATTGGAGATGAAGGAGATTGAGAAGGAGAATATGGAGCTTAAGCAAAGAGCAAGCAAAATCAGCAAGGAGGCGCTTTACAATGTAGTTTTGTGGGATTTATGCCTGAAAATGTTGAATTTTTTTAGAGCATTCAATCAATGGAATCGAGGCCGCTTACGAATCATTCATTGAATGAGGACAACTCGGCGACGAGAGGAGAAGTGGTCTTTCTTGAGCATCGCCTCAATAAGCAGACTGATGCTCGGAAGCGGGCTGAGCTTGAGGTTATGAAGCTCAGGGTGAGTGGACTCTTGAGTAATGCCTTTGATGAATTTTGCGGGATTTTCTAGTCGGAACTTGCACAAACTGGACTGAAACGATTTGGACCGGTGCCGGGCTTGATTTCGGGTCCGATATCGTTGGAGGCTCAATCGCGACTCGATCACCTTCTCAAATTGTTCGATAAGCTTCATGACGAATGGTTGAGATTGAAGAGGGTTTGGGTTGTTGTTCTCGAATTGAGGCTTTAATCAAATGATCGTAGGAGGAGAACAAACACTTGGTGTATGTGCCATCGAATCCGAAAGTGTCGACGGCGAAGATGATGGAAGAAATGGAAGCGTTCAATCGGAATCGCGACGACTTCTATGATCGCCTGAACTCGGTGAATCGGCAAATGTCGCGAGTGTGGTTCGACGCGTTTGGCGAACAATATCCGCTGTCGATGCCGGTCAAGACGTCGTGCAAAGACGAATCGCCGGAGAGGCTCGCGCAAGTCTGTGCCAAATGGGGATTATCATTGTAGCGAGTCGAACGGGTAGTCGAGAGGACAAGTGCGCTTAAATTTTTATTTCCAGACACCCCTGAATTCTTTAATTTTTGGCGGCTTCTTGTATTATAGACTTCAATTATTTATGATGTCCGATTGTCTGTTTTCTTTCCAGTTTCATATTTATTATTGACGTGTGCGAATTATGAATAAATTCATCATTTATATTTTTGATTTTTACAATGACGGGTTTGAAAATTTTGAGTTTTTTGGGCCGAATTAACGATTTGAATTCAGGATTTTCGTTGTTTTTTATAATTATTCTGCTTCAAATTTTGTTGAATTCTAATGCGATGAGTTATTTGCAATTTTTATTAGCGAGCGCTGACTTTGAGAATTTCAGTTGATGAGGATGAGATGCTCGAATCGGAGGACTTTGAAGGTATCTTAAAAATTGAGTTGTCTGTTTCGGATGGTGTCATATTTTTTTTCTCATTTTCCAAAATGTGTTATTAAGACCCCAACGCGCCTGACGGTCGATTCTGCTAGCCGACTAAATTTTTGCAATTTTGGGAAAAAAGGCTTTAATAAATTATAGTCGGTGCCCGGCGACTGATATACGCGGGTAGATTTACGAGCACGCGCCTTTCTGGGTCTCGCGCGGAGTTCGCTTCACATTCTGTTTTTTTTTTTGACGTTAGATAATCAAGAAACAAATAGTTTCACGTATTAATAGCAAAATAGTCAAAAAGAGAGAAAAAAATTTGATTTTAGAATTTTTTCATTAATCTGCATATTTTACAATAGTGAGAAATAGAAAATAATAATAGAGAAAATTTTGAGGCAGAAAAAAAAAAGAAAAATAATTTGTTCCTTTTGCGCCATAAAAATGATTATTTTTCTTTTCTGCTGCATTGAAATGTTTTCTTTTTTTAGTTTTTCACCGCATTGCCCTAAAACGGGACAAAACCAACCACTGATAATTGATATTTCGATTCAGATGAGATTACGTCGCTTTTGACCAATTTTTCGCGGAGTGATTTGAGAAAACCGACAAAAATGAATATTACATCAAAGACTCGAACGAAGAAGCCAAAAATAAAAGGGAATTATACGATTGATCAGGATTTGAATGAGAATATTACCACGAAGGCGACGACGAAGAAAATTGCGATTACAACCATCATCACTAAACCTCCGACGACTGAAACTACAACTACTAAGAGAACCACTACCACATCCACCACCACCTTCACCACCACCACTACCACTACCGCTGCCGCTACCACTACCACTACCACCACATCGACCACCATGGCAACGACAATGGCGCCAAGTACTAGTCGTTCCACCACCACCACCACAGCCGCCACTACTAGCACCAGCACCACCACTAGACTCGCGGTTTCCGAGAATCCGTACGCAAATATCAGTTATACTTGCGATCAGGTTGTTGCGAATCTGGTGCAACAAGAAGATCCGATATGCTATTCGATTTGCTTTGTGCCAATATTGACAACGAATCGCGAGGCGTTGATGGAGAGGAAGAGGTTTCGGCAGGCCGATATAATTGAAATCTACTCCACGATTTTCAGCGGCGAAAATTTCATCGAGACTCGAAACATCTTGATTGGCGCACTGGTCGTCGCACTAATCATTTTAATGATTGTCCTCGTCACGATCATCACAATAACGAAGCGTTTGCGTCAAAAACCCAATTCGATTTGATTTGTGAGACTCGCGAAATTGATTTCAGACAAGGAGACGAGGGAGATGGACGCCGAAACACCGCCGAAAACGCCGCCGGTGAAAAAGTCGACGGGTGGTGGTGGTGGCGGCGCGCCTCTCGTTGGCGACGAGGAGACGGCGAAATCGTTCGAGCCGAGAATGCGCGTTCGAGCCGCGCAATTCAATCCACAAATTCGCGCCAAACATCGCAAATTCATAATTAATCGAAGGAAACGCGAGATTGAGGACGCGAGATCGGACAAATTCCATAAAAGGGGAGCGATTTTCATTCCGCGCGAGATCAATGATGATGATGTGAGTATTCTTTGTTGATCTGAATTTACGATTCCATCAGATTGCCAAAAAATGCGAGGATCCGGATAATATCATTCTAGAAAAGGTGTTCTATGATGAGCGCAACAATGAGCAATTCGATATTGGCTCGGAAATTGATGAAGTTGAAGTATGTGCAATTTTGCGTAAGGTCTGGCGTATTTAATGCTCTTCCAGTTGGCTCCTAGTACGGTAGTCACATTGACGGAAGATGCTAGAAGCAAAATGAAGTCGGAGAGCCTGCCGAAGTCGGTTATGAAGCAAAAGACCACTAAAACACAGGAAATTGAATCTGAAAGGGTATCTCAAATTTATTTTTCGAAAATCCCGTTTTCTTTTTCTAGAAAGGCTCCAAATAACCTTAATTCTTTGTTGTTGTTTTGTTTTTTTTTGTATTACATTAATGAATAATGATTATTTTTATTCTATATATATATACCTTCGTAAAAAAATTAAATTATACATTTGAAAGCTTTTTTTTGCAATTATGAAAATAGGAAACCCATAGAGTTGTATATGCACTTATTATGATATTTGATGACTAAGATTGGTTTTAGAGGAACGGAAAAATCACATTTGAAAACAAAAGAACCCCGAAAAGATATAACAATTTGAACAAATCTAATCGAATTTTCCCTTTCGTAACACCTTGCCGATTTTTGAGTTTTCTTCGAATAGCGAGCGAATCATGTAAACTTGAATTGCGGCGACGCCGAGCATCACCAGCGTGTGCATTAGACTCCAGAACGTCACGCGATCATAGTTGGCTGACATGATGGCGCGGTCACGAGCTTCATGGGCTCGAAGCAGTGCTTGATGGTACTCGACCTTGTTCAAGTTGTTCTTGATGGCATAGGCGCGCTTCTAGAAATATTGTTCAATTCACTAATACCAGTTTTATATTTAATTTTACGTGAAAATCTTCGATGGTAACACCCAGAGCGTTCATTCTTTGCTGCAATTCGGAATCCGTCTTCGCCATTGCTGATAAATCGTGTTCGTCGAGATTACCGTTGGCGTCGAACAGGAAGATCTCGAAGAAGACAACCTTCCTTGTTTGGTAGCTAAAGGAATTGTCGAAGCACACTTGATAATCGCCTGGCTGATTCAGCTCTAAACGATGGCTTCCGTCGGTTTTCAATTGGTCTTGAACTAGAATATTGGCGCCGTGAAGAATCATGAAATTGATGTTCAAATCGCCGCCATCAATTACCTAGAAATTGCTATTTTAATAGAAGATTCATGAAATTCCGGAAATTACCTGATAATCTACTTCAATAGTTTTATGCTTGGCCAGATCGACAGGCTGGAAGAAGCATTGGAATTTTCCAGCGGCAACTTCGACTGTAAAATCATATTCTCCTGCATGTGAGGAGCAGAATATGAGGGATAACAAAAGAAATGCTACGGAAATCATACCCATATCTGAAATAATTGAATCTTCTTGATGAATGAAAACAGAGCGAAGAATTTAAAAAAAAAAATTGCGATACGGTAGCCAAAAGTTGTAAACTCTGCGTATTTTAGGAAGTACAGTAATCAAAAATTCAAAACATTTGCTTCTTTTTCGTTTTTCAAAACAAATTTTAATTTTTGTGGGAATTTTCTCACTTTAATAACCGAAATCATCATTAAAAAACGTACTAATAAAGAAAATAGTCGTACGCAACTGTGTAGCCTTTATTACCAATAAAAATTTATTAGCTATTAAATGGAATATCTAATTTAATTTATTAGTACTCATGGCATCACGAATCTATATTTGACTATGTCAGAATTATTTTCGAAGGAAATTATGCAATTATAATCTTCATATTAAAAGCTTAAACATATTTGAAGTTAACAATACAAAGTCTACTGCAGACGTGTATATTGGGGGGATAATGTGTGCAGTGGAGCGCGTTTGCCTCACTGCGTTTCGCGGGGACACCGCGTGCGTAATATCCATTCCCAATTCTGGTGTCCATTTGTGTATAGTCCGCGTTTCTATTGACAATTTAAGCCAAATAAATTTCGACTCCTCTATTTATAGCATTTGCGTTCGATTTTTGACTAGCATCCGCAATATTTTCACGTTTCACAAAATCGTCGTTTCATTATAATGTATATATTTCGAATTAATCTGATTTTCTTTCAGTAATGCCTGCCAGGGGTGACGGATTGTCGCCGCACAAAAATCTGCGGCGATCGTCGCGCGACCACGCGAGGCTTTACTCGAGCCTTAAAGAGAATCAGCTCGGCGTCAGCGATCGCGAAATCGAGCGCATTTTCGGTCGCAGTTCGGATTATCGGACGCACTCCGTACGTTATACAAGATCAGGCAGGAAAATCAACGACAATCCATATTATGCATATGACGGGTTCTCATCGGATGATGATGAGGTGGTGCGTCGTCCAGAGCGAAGGTAATTTCAGACTTTAATAATAAATAAGATTGTTTCTCTAAAACACTCAATTTTATTAAAAAAAAGAGTCATTATTTAAAAAAAATAAATGTAGGCTCACTTATCGTCAGCAAATGGCTGCTGCGATGGAACAGTCGGCCAAAATTGCAACGAGTGGAATGGAACGACGAAATAGCGACTCACGACGACGAAAGCGGGTTTATCTCGACGAGGATGATCTTGATGAGCCAATTCCTGAGACGAGCGAGCCCAAGGAGGATCAGATTCCGACTAGGAGAAGTACTAGGCAGCGAAGTGTGCAAGCTGATAGCGCCGAGCAGGAGCAGGATAAAGATTGTAAATATTATTTTTTTTAATGCATTTCCAATCTTAAGCTTCTTCTAGATAAAGAACTTTCTTCCTCGCCGACGAGACCTCGAAGAAATACGAGGAATCGAAGTAGAATAAGGCTTGAAAGTGAGGAGCCTAAGGATGAGAATGGTGTGAAGGAGGAAGCTGAGGGCGAACTACAGGAGACCTCCGAAGAGCCTGAGACTGGCGAGCCGAAAAATGAGCCCGAAACTGAGCCTCCCGAGCAACCTATTGAAGAAGAAGAAGAGGAGGAGGAGAAAGACGAGGAGGAAGAGGATGAGGAGGACACCGAGGAGGAGGAGGAATTTCAGCAGAAACGACGAACCTATAGTTTGCGTCAGAGACGACCTGCAGTGGTGACGTTCAGACAAGAGCAAGATCGGGAGCTTCGCGAGCGGAGAAGTGTGCGAAATCAGCAGCGAGAAGAGCGTGCGAATCGCCGAAGTCGACGATCGCATAGAAGTCTCGGCGGTGGGAGCAGACATCGACAGAGAAGCGACACGGACTCATCGGGTGATGATGGTCCCAGATATGATAGGAAAGGGCGAATTCATTTGGACAGAACGCGATTCATGCCGATCAACATGTCGGAGAAGGAGCTGGCCTCGACGAGTCACGTTTTGCACGATCGAATAAGGAAGGCCGGTTGCGGCGCCGGCTCGAGCGACATCGATCCGATGAGTTTAGATGAGAGCGTCACATTCGAACAGGTAGCCGGATTCGAGAGACAATTTTTTTTTTGAGAGAAATCAATTCGATTCAGGTTGGAGGTCTTTCGAGCCATATTCAATGCCTCAAAGAGATGATATTATTTCCGATGCTCTACCCGGAAATCTTTTCGACATTCAACATCAATCCGCCGAAAGGCGTGATATTCTATGGGCCGCCGGGAACCGGCAAAACGCTCGTCGCGCGTGCGCTCGCCAATGAGTGCCGAAAAGGCGCCAACAAGGTGGCGTTTTTCATGAGAAAAGGTGCCGACTGCTTGAGCAAATGGGTTGGCGAATCGGAACGACAATTGAGGTTTGAATGAGTTCTTTTTTTTGACTAATTATTTATTTATATAAATATGCCTGTTTGTTTAGGCTTCTGTTCGATCAGGCCTACTCGATGAGACCGTCGATTATATTCTTTGATGAGATTGATGGATTGGCGCCGGTTCGATCATCGAAACAGGATCAAATCCATGCTAGTATTGTGAGCACACTTCTCGCATTGATGGACGGTTTGGATTCGAGAGGTGAGGTGGTTGTCATCGGCGCCACGAATCGTCTCGACACCATTGATCCGGCGCTTCGGCGACCGGGGCGATTTGATCGCGAGCTGCGATTCTCGTTGCCCGATGTGAACGCGCGACGACAGATTTTGAACATCCACACGTCGAAATGGGAGAACAATAAGCCGAGCGATGAGACGATTGAGGCGATCACGGATGCCACTAGTGGATATTGCGGTGCCGATTTGAAGTTTCTGTGCACCGAAGCGGTTCTGATCGCCCTCCGGCTGAGATATCCTCATATTTACATGAGCTCGGAGAGATTGCGATTAAATGTTGGGACCATTAAAGTGGAGAAGGAGCATTTTATGCATGCGATGAGAAGAATCACACCGGCATCTAGACGAGGTATGCAATATTCTGATTCCACGTGATATTCGATGATGTTTTAGACTTGACGATTCCTTCTCGACCTCTTGACGAACGCACATCGATACTTCTTGAGGATGTGGTTAATAATTTGATAAGCACTAGAATCCCGCAGGGGTATAAAACTCTTGACTCACTCGAAAGCTCGACGACCACCGAACTTGAGAAGGTCGTTCGCGCTCTTGAACCGCATCCGACTGTTCCGGCGGTACGATTATTGATATGCGGTTCGCTGGCGGTTGCCGATGGTGGACAGACGTCGTATGTGTTGCCGGCGGTGTTGTCGCGTCTCGACCATCTTCCCGTCTTCTCGTTGTCGGTGTCGAGCTTATTGTCGGATGGACGGCCTGAAGAAGCGTTCTCTCATGTGGTTCAGGCAGCGCTGAGAGCCTCGACAACGGGACCATGCATTTTGTTGATACCGTCGATTGATGAATGGCAGGAGGTGGTGCCGGTGGCTGTTCAGCAAATGTTGATCACATTTCTGGAATCGATGACCGGATTCACGCCGATCTTGTTCTTGGCCTCATTGAATTCGTCGTTTGAAGACGCTTCGGATTACGTTCGTGATATTTTTCGACATGGGAATTGTGTGGCGTGAGCGATTCTTCTTTTTCCTTTTAATCGTCTTCAAAATTAATCAATTCCAGAATGCCGTCGGCACGCCGAACACTTCGTGAGAGATATTTCGAGCACGTCACTGCTCCGGCGTTTGTGCCGCCGAAAGTTTTTGATGGTAATGTTTTGGATCGCCAATTTTTACTATCAATTTTTATTATAGCTTCGAAATATGAGAAACCCGACGTTGAAACTGACGCGAACGCACCAGAAGCGACGCGAAAACTAAGCGAGCCTGAAGCGAGAGAGCTGGAGAAGATGTACATGTCGCTTCTCCGACAGCTTCGCATATTCCTGCGTGATCGATTGAGTAGGAGAAGCTCGATGAGCCGCCGCGTCTGTTGATTGTACTTTTGGGATTTTAGATCGACTTGCTCGCGATCGCCGATTTGCTGACTTCTACGCGCCTGTTAAAGAATCGGACGCTGAGGACTACTATGAGATTATCAAGAATCCAATGTGTTTGACGGATATGATGGACAAGCTTGATAGGAAGGCTTATAATCATGCCGACGAGTTTCTTGCTGATATTCGACTAATTACGGATAATGCTTTGGAGTATAATCCATCGGATACCGCTGATGGTCGTCTGATTCGTCATATGGCGGCCGGATTACGCGATGTGGCGATTGAGCTTCTTGATTCGGAGCTTGATGAGAATTTTGTCGAAAATCTTGAGGTTTCACTTTTCGTTTCTTTTTTTAAATTACATTTAGCCTCAAATTTGTTTTTCAGAACACGTCTCGACTTTTGCAAGAAGCTGGAATCACGCCGGAAGAGGAGAAGCTGATTGAGATGCCGCGAGGATTTGTGCGCAAAGCGCCGTGGTCGGTGAAAAACTCGCTGAAGAATGAGATTGAGCGATGGGCGAAGGAGCGCGAGAAGGAGGCGAAGAAGAATGGAACGACGGTGACGACGATGGCTCCAGAAGTTGGCACGCCGGTTCGAAGTCATAAGAGGAAACGATCGAAATCGTATAACCTGCCAGGATGCAAAAAGAGGAAAACTGTAAAGCATGAGTATGTCTGAATTACACCATATAATTGGAATTTGTTGGTTTTTTTTTCCAGCGATAATGAGGAAGACGAGGAAACTGGGGATGATGAGGAGATGGAGGAAGTCGAAGTGGAAGTCAAAGAGAACACGGAAGAGGTTTCGAATTCTGACGAGGTTTGTCGAAATTGGCGATTTCGTGATGATGGAATTTGTGAATTTCTCAGCCGCATGTGTCGCCTTCAGCTACCGATAGTCCGAATGTGGTTGTTGAAAAGGAGCCGGAGTTGGTGATTTCGAAGCACGAGATTGATGTGTTGATTGAAAAGGTGAGAAATGTCCGCAGATGATTTCATTGAAAATCTCGACGAGTTGACTTTGAAATCTACGAGGAGTGTTTGTAATTCCCAAATAAGTTGCGTCATTAAAATGCTGAATCTTTCGATTTTTAGTTAAAGGATTCTGAAACCAATTTTTGCATTAATTTTAGAAATAATACTGTGATGCTCCTTTTAATCTGACACAAATTAAAGGAGTCTAGTATTATTGAAACGATTAACTTGATTGGATTGTTTTCAGTGCGTTAACAAATCGGAAGGATGGTCCGTAAGCGAGCTGGAGCGTCTGGCGCCGGTAATGTCGCACAAAATTGAGCAATATAGGTTTGGATTGAGGATTTTTTTGTTGTCATTGGCGAATTGTTTAAAGGAATGAATGGGATCGTACGAGTCTGCCGTCGCAACTCATGGAAATCGTTGATGAATGGCAGCCGCGCATTTCGGAGTCTGTTCAGCAAGCGCCGACAAAAAACGGGATAATGAATGGACATTAATCACACTTAATTATGATAATCATTAATGCAAATCTCACGATTTTGATTTGATCAAGACCGCCCAGCAAATCGCAATTTTTTTTTCATTTTTTTGGATACTCATTTAGTACTGTAATATTTCGAAACAGACGGAAAACGGTTCTTTCGAGCAGCTACAAAATTTCATATTATTTTCTCTTAATTTTTTTTTACCTCTCTGAGTACCCTCCATCAATTTTTCTTCATGTTTTTATCTTGTTTATTAGGAATTGCTATTTCTCTCCCTCTCTTTTTATGGTGATTTTCTATTTGATGATTATTGTGTCGTATTATTTTATTTATTTATTTATTTCTTATTTTTTTGCCCAATGAGATGGTTTTTTGAATCGACTTTTTCATTTTTTTGTTCGGAGTATTTCGCTTTTTATTTGCGATTTTATACCTTTTTTCCATTTTCAGGACGGTTTTTTTTATTTAGAAATATTGCATTTCAGATGGATTTTCAAAATCGAGCTGGTGGAAAAACTGGAAGTGGAGGCGTTGCTTCGGCGGCTGACGCGGGAGTTGATCGAAGGGAAAGATTGAGGTGAGGTTTTGACCGATGTGAAATTGAAAAAAATTAGATTTTGGGACTAATGAGAAGAAGAATTGGATTTTAATTATGTTTTGAAAATTTTTTGACCGATTTTCTGCAATTTTACTCATTTCCAGACAACTCGCGCTTGAAACAATCGATTTGAACAAGGATCCGTATTTTATGCGGAATCACATTGGAACTTATGAATGCAAATTGTGTCTGACGCTTCATAATAATGAAGGATCGTATTTGGCGCATACTCAAGGTAATTTCCATTTTGAATTAATCCTGAATTGTTTTTTCTTTTCAGGAAAAAAGCATCAGGCGAATTTGGCACGCCGCGCGGCGAAAGAAGCTTCCGAGCAGCCGTTTTTGCCGGCTCCGCAACAGACGAAAGTCGAAGTGAAGAAATTTGTGAAAATTGGACGGCCCGGTTATAAGGTGACACGCGAACGCGATCCGGCCACCGGCCAACAGGCGTTGCTCTTCCAAATCGATTATCCGGAAATCGCCGACGGAATCGCGCCGCGACACCGATTCATGTCGGCGTACGAGCAGAAGATTCAGCCGCCTGACAAGAGATGGCAGTATTTGTTGTTCGCCGCTGAGCCGTACGAGACGATTGCATTCAAGATTCCATCGAGGTGAGTGAATTGGAGAATTAAGATATTTGCATCTTGATCAAATTGAAGATTTTTGCTAATTTTTGTCTTTTTCGTTTTTAAAAGTAATGTTTTTCTTTATTTTCTCGCAAAGAAGATTTTCAGAAAGAAATACGATCTATCTGAAATGTTTTTCTGACAAAGTGCGGCTGATAATTTCAGCTTTATTAATATTTAAGAATTCGCTGGTTTTATAGCTCCTCCCCCGTCCCATTTGATTACTGCAGGCTTATTTTGAGGATTTGAGTAATATTTTTCAGAGAAGTCGACAAATCTGAAAAATTCTGGACGATGTGGAATAAGGACACAAAACAATTTTTCCTTCAAGTTGCGTTCCGTTTGGAACGACATGAAGAGCAATCAATGTATTACTAATTAATCAAACTTAATTATCTTGTTTTAATCTGTTTCCTTTTTTGGATCTCTTCATTCGAAGCGATTCCAGCTGTTGATTTCCATTTCTCAGGCTTAAATTCGGGCCCGAGAAATTTGAATTTTTGCTGGAACTGCAATCAATCATTATTTATATATGAAAATAAATGTTTTGTCCATTTGCAACATTTCTTAATTGCATATTTGAGTTTCGGACCCTCTTCAAGTTTATTTGAAACAACTTTTTTTCATTGAAATAACCAATTTTGGGGTTTTAGATGGTGAAGAAGGTGATTAAAAGGAAGAAAGAAGCCAAGGAGGAGAAGGTGGCTGATGAGCAGCCGAAAGAGAAGAAGAACAAAATGGAGGAATCGGCGGTGGAGTATCAGGCGGGAGGATTGGCTAGTCTGTTTGGAAAGTCGACTGATGGCGGTATGAAGGATTTTTGCGCTTAAAAATGTTGAAAATTGCAAATTTTGAGGCAAAATTGAGTTACATGCTTTAAAATTTTAATATTTTGTCAAAAATATTTTCTTAAATCTAGTAGTTGGGTTCTAGCTGTCGTCGCTGAAGAGGTTGTTCATGGAGATACGGTCATTGAGAAGCCGAAAAAGCGTTCATTTGTAGCAAAAGTTGAAGAAACCGCAAAAGAATCGGAGGTATTTTGGGTCTTCAAACGAACGAACGAAAAATTATTGAATTTTTGAAGGCCGGTGCGGATGGAGAAGTTGCGACGAAGGAGCCGACAAGTTTCAGGAAGTGTCAGAGGTTTGGAATAATGCGGCTGCCGACAATTTTGCGGGTCTCGTCACTATGTGAATTTCAGAGAGAATCGGAAGAAATTGAAGGAAACTCGCAAGAATGTCGATGAGAGTGCGCAGACGATTTTTGTTGGAAACGTGCCATTAACGATGAACGTGAAGAAGATTCGGAAGATTTTTACGAAATTTGGCAAGGTTTTTTTTGGTTTTCAGCCCAATAATTGGTTTAATGCCAACTTCATTCGGAAAATTCAGATTGATTCGATTCGAATGCGAGGAATTATTCCGAAAACCGAGAAGGTGTCGAAAAGAGTTGCTCACATGACCGGAAAATTCAATGAGAATCAGAATTCGCTGATATTCTATGTGAAATTCAACGAGGTTGAATCGGTTGAGAAGGCGTTGGAATAGTGAGTCGAATTGAATTGCCGCCTCTTGGGTCTCGTATGGAATAATACTTTGGACCGAGTTTTGGTTAATTTGACCAACAAAATATGAAAGAGCACAATTTTCTATGAATTTTAAGCGGTTTGGTTATTTTTTTAAGTTTAAAATGGCTGAGAATGAGCACATTTAGTTTTAAGGGACCCAATGAATTGGAAATTTCGATTTTTTTCAAAATCGTTCACAAAATCGTTGACAATATTTTTGAGTTGTGAGATTTTTGCAGTAATGGCACGAATTTGGACGATCACATCATTCGGGTTGACAAGTGTACCGGAAAAACGGAATTCTCGAAAGATGTCGCGGTTTTTGTTGGTATTTTTTTTCTTATTTTGAAATATATTTTCGCATTGATTCGATTTAATTGTTGGTCGCAGGAAATTTGCCATTCGAGCTCACCGACGAAGCGCTTTTCAAGTTTTTCGATGAGAATGTTGGTCCGGTCGCATCGGTACGAATTGTGCGCGATCCGGCGACCGGCAAGGGCAAAGGATTCGCGTTTGTCAATTTCAAGGTGAGGTCTTGAAGCGATGTTTTCGATTTTTATTTTCTTGGTTGAAATTTTTGCAGGATGACGCGTCGGCAAGTCTCGCTCTTGGAATGGAGACGATCAAAATGGACAAACGCGTGATTCGAATCACGCGAATTCTCAAAAAGCCGAAAATTCAGGTAAATTTTTTCCATTAATTTTTGTTTGAACCGTTTTTGTTTCAGAAAATTGCTGCTGCCAAGAAGCGAGCGCCGAAGGACAAGGCGAATGTTGAGATTGAAGGGAAATTGAAGAATTTCAAATTTTCGACGAAAAAAACGAGGTACATCATTTTTTTTTTGCCGATACGGTAATTAAAGGCGCACGCAGTTTTTGATGTTGAGTCTCGAGATAGCGCGCGCGCGCGCGCGCCAGTCGATCAACACTTAAACGATGAGTGAGAGGCGGACGCTCCAAGGGGGGTGGTGGTTAACCGCGTTGTCGCGGGTCTGGCGTGCGAGAGGTCGCGAGTTCGAAGCACGAGACACTATCTGCGGCGGTTTTGTGCCGCTCGCGGATTCTCAGTGCGAAATGATATGTTGGGTCCTCCGTGTGGGTGTCACCGTTAATGGGCAGCCACTCCGTTGATCAACCAACATTTTCATGAAAAATTTTGGTGTTTTGAAGGACTGATGAGCAGAATGAGCGGCGAGCGATGAAGAAATCGCAGAAGAAGGCGATTCGGAAGAAGATGAATGCGAAGAAAGGAAGATTGATGAGCTAATTGCCGATCCCTTGGTTTTTGTTTTACTTTGCGTTGTTGTTGGTTTTTTTGTTTTGTTTTTTGTTGGAATTTGTTTCACATGAAAAAAAAAATTTTTAAATCTTTTGTGTAGTTTTAGCAGAAATCTATCTGCGAACAAATTAGCATGTTTCCATCGATCATATTTGATTTTACACTCGTTCGTCCTTCTCGTTTGCCCCTCGTCTTCAATTTCGATTTTCTCGTCGCCCGGAAACGATTTTACACTATTTCGACGTTCAATTCTCACCCGAACCTCGCGTTTTCATTTTTAGCCGCTTGTTTCAACGATTTTTGTTTTTTGCAAGTTGTCCGCAGATGGGTTTCACCTAATGAAATTGGAAAAGTTGTTTACAATTTTTTTAGTGGCCATTTTAGTGGAAGATGGAAATCAAAATTGACATTTTCCGATTATTAAATTGTATTATCAGTTTTCTGAATATTGTCCGCAGATGGGTTGATTTGAAAACCGCGCGCGCAATTAGGAACGCCTCATTTAACCATGTCGCTGGCCGGTTGGGTAATCAATTCGCAATCCAATTTGCCGTCAGTCACTTGTTTCGCATTTTTTCTCCACCGCCGATGCATCGGACCTGTCAAGTTGTAACGCGACTCATATTTATCACGACGGGGGAAAAAAAACGAATTGGCACTACGCCACAAGTTTGAGCAACAGTTGGTTTTGCGGAAGGTCAACGACATGATTCGATGTTGTGTTCACCCTCATCGGTCGTCGAGTCGACGAATTAATTCGTAATCGATCCTCGACCGATGTCCGCAGCACGCGTTCCATAAATCATTGTTAGGAAATTGGAGTTTCCGGTCATTTTCGCTCGAGCGCCCACAACAATTTTTTCGGGACCCGCCTTTTGTGTGTCATCGCGACCGCCATAAAAGGCGTCCACCCTCTCCACATTTATGTCATTTTTTTTGCCCCAAATGCCAGAAAATTTTGAAAAAGAAAGCAAGCAAACAAGAGGAATCTGAAAATTATTATTGTTTTCCTCCACCGCTCCCTTATATTTGTATTTAAGCTTGTCGCATCTCGTTGAGTCAAAATGTGTATACATCGGACCCCCCCCCTGTTCTTTACTAGAAAACCTAATGAGTACGAACATCTGTTGACCTTCTGGCTAACTATTTCGCATAATCAATATATATATATGCATAGTTAGTATAATGATTAGAATGATGATAAGTGGAAACGGAGGGGAAAATGAGGAGGGGTCCGAATATTTGTTCAGGTGGGTCGCATATGTATACTTTTCACTTCGAGGGAGGCCAGTTCTCATTTCGTTCGCAAATTTCATGAATTTCACATCGTCACGAGATGTTTGATTGCACATTGGGACCACCCTCATCGTTAATTGGTCTCCTGCACTCTTCGCTCAATCGGTTGTTTTTTTGTTTCTCGCCCCCAGATTGACATGGTCCGTTTGGCGAATCACCGCATCACATTACTCGCCCGACATGATGGACCATTTTATTTCGTTCATGTGTAAAAGGGCGGCCCTTCATTCGTTTCGCTTTCCTCCGCTATCTCGCTGGAGCTGGGTGCCCAGCGGACGGCCGGGCCCCGATTTGATGGATCGCCGACATCGACGTCTCGCGTTTGTCCGTTATCTCTCGTTGTCCATGCGGACCTGTGTCCACTCATCTTCTTATTCCAGTACATCGTAGTCATCATGATTGCCGATTGCTGGAAGTTTTTGAATTCGTTCGAAATTTGAATTTTATCGCGCTTCTGGTGTAAACACCGCGGCGCCGAAATGCACACCGCGTTTGGTTTTGTTTTTTTTTTTTTTAATTTCATTCCATTTTTTCGCAATAATTTGCTTTGAATGTTACTTTATTTGAAAAATTATTCACAATTTTGCAGGAAATTCGCAGTTTTTCAGATGAAAATGTTCAGTTTTGAAGAACGATTGCGAAATTTCGCGATTTTTGTCTTGTTTTTTTTTTTGCCGTGTATTTATCCAAAAATTCGGCAAACGGAAATTCGTTGTTATTATCACCTCGACGCAATAACATTGGAAATTTGCAAATTTGGCAGCCATATCAAATCGTGTTCGAAAACTTGCTTGCTTTTTTTTTTTCATGCCGCCCGTCTGATCACGCCTCGTTTACCTTGTCGTCGATCATATGACCTTCATTGATTGATTACTCGATGATGACTGAAAAACGCGTGAAAAAAAAAAGAAAATTCGAAAAAATTTGCGCGAACAAAAAACGAAACGAAGCGATGAGTCGGTTTTCATAGTTGCGTTCATTGTCATCGATGCCATTTCGCCATTTCGTACGCTCTCTGGCGCCTCTCAATTCGCGCCGCATTGCTGCGGCCAATTCAAAACGAGAAAAAAAAACGCCTGTCCATTTCATTCATTCGGGTCCAACAAAAATGTATTTTCTCGCATTTTTTTTTTTGATTTGTTTGTTATGTGCTAACGAAATGAAATGCGATTTTCAGACGACACGCTGGCCGATGAGGGAAGGCGCGGAGAACGGCGGCGGCGGCGGCGGCAGCGGCGATCAGACGCTCACCCGACTACTACACGCGTGCGATTTATCAGGGTAACCACAAAACGATTTTCGTTTATTGCAAAAATCATATTTGCTTTTCGTCGGCCTCCATCTAAAAACATTCATAATGTAAACAACAAGCGCGTTGTTTATTAGAAATGTGCAAAGCCCACTCAAAGTTATTACATTTTGAGTTTTTTTTCCTGATTTATCGAAATTCCCCAAGTGAAGAAACAAATGGTTTTTGAGATATTTTCGAAAAAAAATTTTTTTGAACAGGCATCAATGTTTTCATCATTTCCAAAAAAATGCAACATTGATTACGCGTAATTAGTTGTATTATTTTTATTTTTTGAGAAGAATTTGTGTTTGAATTTATTTATTTTTCAAAATTCCAACTTTTTTTCGTTTTTCCACACTATTAATTTTCAGTTATGAGGCCGATTTACGCAAAAAGCTCAAACTCCGCAATGCTGGCGATTTGCAATACGTTGAAGAGGTCGACCTTTCCTCAATCGGTACGCTTCTTATCATTCATGCCTCCCAAAAATGTGTGTTTTCGTCGTCGTTTATTATTATTTCTTCTTCTTCTTCTTCTTATTTTTTTATTGAGAAGAGCAGCATGCATGTTTGCTCACAAACTATTCTTCTTGGTGTGTGTGTTCTCGACCCATATTTGTCGATTCCATGATAATTTTTTTTGTCGCTTATAGGAATGAGTCGACCCGAGCAGAAGCGGCTACGCAAAGAATACACGAAAATGTTTCCAAGCGGGATTTTCGGCAAAGTGCGAAAAGTGTTCAAAAGGTCCGAGAGTAATGATAGGAAGAATTCGGCGAATTCCGGATGCCGTGAGGATGATGAGCAGCATGTGATACCGTTGGAGAAGTAAGTTCGACGAGCACACGGCTGCAGTCATTTTTAGCTTTAATGAGAGCTACGCGCCTTTAAAATTTAATCCTCAAACAAACTATAATAGTTTTCTTCAAAAAAAAAAAAAGGTTTTCGCGCTGAGACCATTAAAAAATTATCTGGATCTATGGATCTCTTCGAATATTTTTTTCTCTCAATTTTCCATCTTATGCGCTTTTAAAAAGTGTCGTGATGCGAGAAATTTGAATTTTTTTCTTTGAAGACTACACTTAATTTTGAACCAATTTCAAGAATCGCATTATGCAAAGAGCTCGGCCACGGCGAATTCGGTGCGGTTTGGCAAGCGTCGTGGCGAAACGGCGGCAACGATGTGACGCAGGTGGCGGTGAAATGTGTCGAATCGAGCAAACTGCTCGCCTCATCGACGAGTTTCCTTCAAGAAGCGGCGATAATGACGAAAATGCGGCACGAGCACGTTGTGCGGCTCTACGGCGTCGTGTTGGACACGAAAAAAATCATGATGGTAGGCTGAAAATGGCGCCCGATTGACAGTGATCAATTTCGAAATGTCAGGTGTCCGAATTGGCGACGTGCGGCTCATTATTGGAATGCCTTCATAAGCCGGCACTTCGCGATTCGTTTCCGGTTCACGTGTTGTGCGAATATGCCGAGCAAATCGCATTGGTAGGTTGCCATCACAATCATCACTATCGTCGTTTGTTATTTTTCTTTTTTCAAGGGAATGGCTTATTTGGAATCGCAACGATTGATTCATCGCGATCTGGCGGCGAGAAATGTGCTCGTTTTCAGCCCGAAATTGGTATTGCCAAAAAATTTTGGCTGTTTTTTGGAAATTCTTCCTCCATTTTTCAGGTGAAAATATCGGATTTCGGCCTGTCGAGAAGTCTTGGCGTCGGCGAGGATTATTATCGAAGCGAGTTCACGCCGAATTTGAAGTTGCCGATCGCGTGGTGCGCGCCGGAATGCATCAATTTCCTCAAGGTATTTGAAAATGCTCGTCGGCGGACGTTTTGTGAGATTCGACAATGTCCGCAGATGGGGGGTTTTTTTTTTGACTGGTACATTAAAAACGGGGTTGTTTTTTTCCAGTTCACATCGAAATCGGATGTTTGGGCGTATGGTGTCACTCTGTGGGAGATGTTCTCGTATGGCGAAATGCCGTGGAAATCGAAAAGCGGCGCTCAGATTCTTGAGCTCATTGATCGAAAGTAGGCTTTTCGGGGCGCCATTTTCTTTTCATTTTTGAATTTGGCAATTTATTTTAGAAAGGAACTCCTTCCGAGACCGACGGCTTGTCCGGAAGACATGTACGATATGATGGTTGAAACTTGGACGCATCAATATCAGGATCGGCCGACGTTCGCCGAAATTGTTGAGAAGTTCCCGGAGCGGCGAGCGCAATCCGTGCGCGCCATCGTCGATTGCCGCGACGCCGCCGATGATCATTTGCACTTCAAAAAGGATGATCTGATTGTGGTGATCAGTCGCTCGCCGCCGGCCTACCCGGATGGCTACTATTGGTTCGGTTCGCTGCGAAATGGCAAACTCGGACTATTTCGGCCGACGGACACGGTGGCGCATTTGGGCTCGGAGCCGCCGTGCAGCAACGGCGCGTTCGAGGGCATCGTCGAGAAGAAGGAGGAGAAGGCGAAGAAGGGCAAAAAGGATAAAGACGGGGAGCGCGAGAGGAAGAAGCTGATGATTAGCGAGCCCGTCGGCGATGTTCGCCACACTTGTCACGTTGGAATCGACGGCACCGCGTTCGGGCTTCTCCAACTCGACAAGAAGGCGATGTGTGCGACGTCGTCGTCGCCGTCGACGTCGCGATTGTCGCAAACGTCGCCGGCGCCATCGCAGACGTCGTCGTCGACGGCGTCATCGGTGCACATGAGGGACTCGGTGGCGCGGTACGGTGTGCCGTTGAAGGAGACGATGTCGTTGAGAGACGTCGGACCATTGAGCCGCGACGCCATCAAATTGCGCGACGCGATCTCGCCGCCGCAATCGCGAGCGCCGACGCACTCGAGGAACTCGTCGGGCTCGATGAATCATGTGAGCGAAATTTCTCAGCGTCGATTCAACCAATTAGGTTTTCAAGGTGTCGTCCCTCAATGGATATGATCCATTCAGCTCATTGGAGCGAACGAGGCTCCGAGGAAGTGTCACGCCAACGGCTCCGCCCCTTACAGTAAGATCAAGGTCCCTGTATTTCTCAAATTTCCGTTGTGGATTTGTAGGCATCTGCGGCTAGTTCGCTGAAAAATCCACTTCAAGGGATCTCGCTGGCCATCGGAGTCAATGATTATATAGGTAAGACCCCCCTCCCCCACTCCGATCTTTTGTCCATATTTGAATAACTCTAGATGGTCCGAAGTCGCCGTCAACTCTATCGACATCGACAACGCTGACGAGTATCTCGACGACGAGGGGACCGATTCCGGCTCCGCGGGGACCAATTGCGGCCGCGTTCAACTCGAAACTCACCAAAGAGGATGCGGCTCTTTGCGAGGAGTTGGACCATCTCAATCGCGACTTGACCAACTACTCGTTGAGCACGATTTCCGATTTTTCCGATGAGCGGCCACTTTTGGATTCGTTCAATCGGCAAGGGACGTCGAAAATTCCAGTGGAAAGGTTCGGCACTAATTAAAGGCGCATACCGTAATCTATTTGGTGTTGCTGTTTTTTTCAGTAAAGATGAAGCCCGGATACGATTTATGACTAACGATGAGATAAAGAAGATGAATGAGAAATCGGTGAAAGAGCATCGAAAGACGGAGGAGATGCTGAAAGAGGAGAGGAATCGCGAGAGGAAGTTTGCGACGTTGAACGAGGCGCCGAATGAGGATGAGGAGATCAAGTAAGGATCTTGAATATGTAGTGGTATAGCTCATGCTCATACTTCAGAACGAATGGATTCTCGGCTAGTCGGCAGAAGGAGCTCGAGCAGGAATGGTCGGCGACGGCTCAGGAGGCGTACAAGTTGCTCGTCGAGTGTCGGACGAATCTGAAGGAGTTGTCGCAATCGCCGCCGTCGTCGAAGCCGATGTCGCCGATTGTCGAGCGTGTCTCGCCGGCGCCGCCGCGTCCGGCGACACCGCCGCTCGCCTCGCGCTCGCCGGACGCCATCACAATGCTTCGACGGCCGCCGTACGAAGCCGTCGAGCAGGTGACAATTGAAGAGAACTCGCCGAAGCGTGTGCACATCATCGAGACGAAGCTCGTCGACGGTCCGGCGCGCGGTCTGAGTCCGGTGCCCGATCACGTGCCGGCGTTCACGACGCCGATGTCGTCGCGAAAACCGCCGCCGCCGCCGATTCCGACGCCGGGACGGCCGCCGAAAACGCGACAATTCCCGTTGGTGATCGACGAGCGCAATTTGGCGTACGACAATTTGAACGGATTCGGAGCCGGCGCGAAAGTGGGCCCTCCGGTGCCGCCGAAGCCCAAAGTTAGGTAGGAGGTTCTCGTATTTTCTTGTTTTTTTTTTGGGTGGGGTTGAATAATGAGAAAAATCGGCGCATTTTTTTTGGTTGAAATTGAGCATGCTTTTTCGAGCATGAATTTGAAAAAAAAAACTAGGATATTTCGCGCCTTGATTTCCTGTTTTTCGACTCGAACTTCCGGAACCACTCGATTGTTTCAGCTTCGCCGATGAGACGGAGAAAGCGTCAAACTAATAGCAAATAATGTCTCTTTTTTTCTGTTGTGTACATACTTATTTGAAACTAACTCGATTCGGAAGCCCCCGTCGGATTTGATTAAATGCCAATAATGTGTTACCGGTGTCTGACTATTTTTTTCGGCCTTGTGTTCTTTTTGAAATCGTTTTTTTTTTTGCGCTCCGCCTGTCTTTTTTTTACGCATTAATTATTGAATTCTTGTCATATTTCCTATTATTCAGTATTTCGTCTAGTCATAATTGCACTCTTGTATTGTTTCGTTTGTTTTTGTTCTTGTTGATTTATTATGAAATATTGGTTATTGTTGCAAACGCGCCCCGTTGCACACATTGGAGAGCGCTAGACGAGAGACGAAATGACCCAAACACTTTGAAGTGAAAAAAAAGCAAAAAAAATTGATAAAATATTTGAAGCGGCAAGTTATGCTTAAAGGATCATTGCTATTTGAAGCATGAAATTGCACCCGTTGCAGCTGCACTTTTCTTGGAGTTCAAAAGCAATTTGTTTAATAGCAAGAGGTGTACGAGTTTTTGCTAAAAGGCAATTATTCGCATCTGCGGACATTTTAGACGGTTTTGACATTTGAAGAAGCTGCGGACAAATTTGGGTGGGGCAGATCATTTTTTTTTTTTTGAATTTCGAAACGAAATTATGAAAAACGCGTGTGCGCCTTTAAAAATTGTGTTGGCGGAAATAATGGAAACGACATGCGTGGCAAAAAAAAAACGGCGACACCTGGACGACAAACTGATTCAATTAATTTCGCCGACCCCCCAACCCCCCAGCGATAATGTTTTATTTTTATTTTTCCTGCTGCCTAGTTCAAGCTTCTCCTCCAATTTTCTCATTTTCCCAACATTCAAGCCAGCTTTTGGCATTTTTATTCAACAATTTTTTTTTTGCGCCCGCTTCTCCTCGAACACCGTGTATTTAAAAATATGCTGTCTTCAATATTTATTGGCTTGACAGAAAATTTCGATTTTGGTTTCGTTGCTTTCATTCCTCTCATTTTTTGATCTATTTTAAAGGATCATGAACACCGATAGCTGGCAGAAAATTGTATGGGTCCTGGCGCGAAAAGAAAACAATTTTTTTTTGACGTTTAACTTTTTTTTAAATATATTTTTTGCTCGTAATTTCCACTCCCATTTGTTTTTCGCGCGTCGCATTCGATTTAATGAAAAAAAAAAACGAAGAAGGCCTCTCCGTGTTTTTCTTGTCCCAAAAATGGGCATTTCATTTGAGTCGTTGAATAATTTATTAATTATGCATAATTTAGAGCTCACTTTCGATTTTTTTGATTCCAATGTATTATTCTAGCTGCGGACATTCTCGAAATCCGAAATTACAAAAAATTAATGTCCAGCTTTCAAGCCGACGCTTTTTTTTTAAAATTGCGAATTTCAAGTGTTTTCCTTGCGATTTTTAATGAAATTTGGGGAAGCCAATTTCATCTGCGGACAATTTTCGAATTATAATTCAATCGACTCATCGCATTTAATTGGCTCCTCAACAAATTCAAATTTGGCTCTCGACTTTATGAGCCTTGTTTTTTGGCGACGTCAATCCCGAAAATTGGAATCGCCCAACGTCATGCGCCTTTAAATTTCGACCATTTGAATGTGTCCGCAGATGAAATCGCACAAGATCGCCCGCTCGATGGGCGGGACATTGCTGTTTGACGCCTCACATATTCAAAAAGTGCATCCATCCCATATTTGGACAATGATGCATTCTTCCGTCCATCCATTCTTCTCTCATATCCATATTAGCGAAACTAATAAGATTTTAGCACAAGGATTATCCACTCTTTTGTCTTTTCCGCCCATCTAAGACCCTGATATTTGTGTCGCGCATTTTTGTTGTCCGACAAAAAACAAAAAACGAGACCATACACACATATTTCCTTTTTCGGAGCCAGTATAAAGTTATTCATATTATATTTTTCATCCATTTTTCACACTTGTTTTTTTCGCGCTATTTTTTCCAGGCGGACATCTTTCGAGGGATTCGATTAGGACGACTACCAAATTTGAGGATAATTCGATTTCGAGCCAACCGAATATGGTATATTCAATTATTAATGCTTCTTTGCACTGATTGGGGGACCCCTCAGAGATTAGGCTCGATTTTGAGAGACCCCCCACCACCCCCTTTCCTCTAAATTGATGTACCAGCGTGGTCCACTGGTTGTCCTTTTTTAATGGAGAGATTCCGTTATAAGGAAGTAAGGGTGCTTCCATTATTGCTATTTATGGATGAGAAATTTAAAAAAATGCATCTGCGGACAATTTCGATTTACTGATTCACCATCTGCGGACATTTTGCGGGCCGCGAAACAACTCGTCTTTTAAAGTTCGCAATTTCAAAAGCTTTTGTAGAGAAGCAGCTTTAAATTTCACATCTGCGGACATCTTGCGGGACACCTTAAAAAATTTGGAATTTCCTGCCGGTTTTTATAGAAATTTAATTTTTCATTTTTCATCTGCGGACATCATGCGGGCAGCGAAAGAGCACACCTTAAAAGCAATCAATTTTATAGATCTTAGGAAAAAAAATTAAGTTTCTCATCTGCGGACATCTTGCGGGACACCTTAAAAAGTTGGAAATTTAATCCCGGTCTTCATAGAAATTCAATTTCAAATTTTTCATCTGCGGACATCTTGCGGGTCGCGAAAAAGCACATCTTGAAAAATTAGCAACTTCAGAGTTTTTTTTTTGTAAAAAAAAACAAATAACAACAATTTCAATTTGCGCATCTGCGGACAATTTTGCGGGCCCCTAGAAAAAAAATTGTTTGAAGCGTCATCACATTCATAATAAGAGAGGTGGAGACTTGAAAAAAAAAATGCAATTTCCGAATTGTGGCGCGAATAATTGCCATTTTTTTCGGGGGCTAAAATAGGACAAATTCATACACACATTTCATATTATTGCTTCGCGCCAAAAACGATAGCTGTCGAGTAAGAGATGTCGAGTATCATCGTAAGTTTTTGTCGAATTCGTTGCGAGACCCAATCAAGCTTATGCGAGTTGTCTGCTGCAAATGACATACAATATTGAATCCCTCCCACCCCCATCTGCGGACAACTCGCGGTCGTGAGATTTGAGACCGCAAGCATGTCCGCAGATGGAAATTAACAAGTGTTTCTAACGAGCGCATTATTGAGCCAATTTTTTGAAGGAATGTTTTTTCCCCGTAGGCCACGCCCACTTTTTGCGCTTCTGCTAACCCTGGTTTTTGATGATTGCATCAAGCTTCTAGAGCTTCATTAAGGGCTTCGTGATCATCAAAAAGCGCAAAATTCGAGAATTTCGAATTTCTTAAAGCGAGCGTCGCTGGGGGATTTTTTCGGGAAGACGAATTGGGTGAAAAACAATGAATTTTATTATTTTTGGCAAAAGAATGCTGAAATTCGAAATTTGCCACAAAAATTGCGGATTTTCGATTGAAGTCCGACTCGCAGTGAAATTTTGTGCAAAAATTTTCAATTCGTTTTTTTTTTTCGAAAACGACATGTCAAAACCAAACAATAATTGAATCGTCTGGGCGTTATTCATTTATTCCCATATTTGGCTTGTCGCGTGCCAAACTTGTTGTGGCTCAATCGCATATTTTCGACCCCCCCCCCTCAGGGCCAATTCATTCATTTCCATTTTTTTTCTTCGCCTCACACCAAAGCCAAAAAGTCAAATATGTGTGTGGGATGTGAGTTTCTTTTTTTGGTTCTCCGTTTCACCCGCTCCTAATAAGGCAGCGGTGAATTGAATTTCGCCGGAAGCGATGTCTCACACGGTCTTAATTGGCCCAAAACAAAACACTCACTCGTCTTCGGTTTTTTTTTTCTCTCAAAACGAACATACTAGCAGTTCTCTCTCTCTCTCTCTCTCTTTAAAGGCGCATTTGATTTTTTTTCGCCAAAAAGAACTGTATGCACCTTTAAAATGTGATTGCGCCTTGAAATTCAACACCAAAAAATATGATGCTCCTTTAAAAACCTGCGGCTCTTTCAAAATATTGAAAGCGAATATCATGCGCCTTTCAATTTTCGTATGAGCAATTCCAACCCCATGCGCCTTTAAAATGTCAAGCCCTATTGGTCTATGCGCCTTTAAAAAATATTTTTTTGGCAATTTTTGTTTCAAATTTCAAATATCCACTTGTTTTTTCCAAAAAAACCGTCCAGCACGCTATGCGCCTTTAAATTCTTATCAAACGTGTGCACCTGGAACGATTTCCACGCAAGACCATCGGCGCTTCGAAAAGTGTTCTCATCTTCCAATGCGCCTTTAAATTGCCCCCCAAACTCGTCCCCGATTTTCGATGGTCCGAAATCATATAAACGTCGACATGGGCAGCGATCCCGTCCAAATTTGGCAAAATCGAATCCGACAAGAGACGAGCTTGTCATAATCAATTAATTTGAAAAATTCTGCCCCCTAGATCGCCAATTTTTTTCGAAAAGTTGGTACCAATCGGGGACCACTCGAAAATGGTTGGAATTCTGGGTTTCAAACCAAAAAGAAAAAATCGACGCCGAAGAAACTTTTATATACATGGCAAATCTTGATTGAGATAAACGCTCTTTTCCTCCATTTTTTTTCGTTTTTCTTCTGGTGGCGAGCAAAAAAAAACGGAGAAGAGGAGCGAGGTATTCGAGTCATTTTTTGTTCTTTTTTGACAACGCACAACCCTAATATGGCAGCTCTTCCCCAACCATCCGGCTTGTTTTTCTATTCATTTCTCTCTGAATATCGAATCCGATGCGTCATTGTTGTCTGCCGACAATCATCGAGGCGCTGTCGACCGGGCCCGCTAGGATGTCCGCAGCAAGATTCGCATATTCCCATTTTTTGAGTCATCCTCAAAACAGTCTTTTGAATCGCCCAAAAAAGTTTTTTTCAAGCCACTTATTTATTTTAGGACGTCATGTTCAACATAATCATGTCAATGACGAAGGAGGGCTCCTCCGACGGGTCGCAATTCATTTCGCCGTCAAGTAATCCATGACAAATTTCGCGCCAATAGTTTTTGGTGTGTTTTTTCAGAAACCAGTCGCGATTCGCTCATTTCCACACTGTATCGAATGCATCGAACGCGTTGGAGGATTCTGGATCCATACAGGTGATTGACGAGAAGGTTGAGGTGCTCTCAATTCGCCCCCATTTTGTAGACGCCTTAAAAATGCGCTCAAAAAATTGCAAGAGGATTATTTGAAGTCGAAAGAAGCGAACGCGATCATGCGATACGTGAAATTGGGCCAAAGTGTTCGAGAGGTTTGGGTGCTGTGGGCGAAAAATTGCAAAAATTTGGGTTTTGAGGTCGCCATGCTTGAGAAACAACACTGGAAGCTGCTCAATGTGCCGGCTCAAGGAGCCACAGAAGAGCCGAATTGCTACGTGTTGAGGTTGGCCAAAAAACATGCCTTCTGTTTGCTATTAATGTGTTTTTTTTCAGAATTGTTGAACTTCTGGAAGACTCGAATACACAATTACCGCCGACGCGAGGCATCGGTGCACTACTGCAGTCGACAATGGGAAAACCGAGTGAATCAAATGTCGACACGGCACTTTACGATTCGATTAAAAGTGGGTTTCTTAAATTTTGATTTTAAAAACTTGCAAAACCTTAATTTTTCGTTAAAAATTGCAGAAATTTAAATTCAAAATAATTGTCCGCAAAATTTCGTCACAGTATTGCGGACTTATATTTTTTTCAAATGTCTCGTCATTAATTTTTCATTTCCCGTCATTTTCATTTCATTTTCGATTCAATTTCTGAAATTTAAGTTAAAATTAATGAAAATTATATAATTGATATTATTTTTCGTTAATTTTTAATGATTTTATCACAATTATTACGTTTTCCAATATTGGGCAACAAAAATTAATCATTCAATTGATAATTAATTGAAACGTTTAAAAAATATTAAACTTGTCTGCTTTTTAGGCCGAAAGGGTGATGATCTCGTCAAAGATTGCGAGAATCTCTATTCGCAGCTCTATCGCCTCATCAAAAAGTATCTCGGCCTTCGGCGGCTGATCAAGGTCCCTTTCGCCGTTTCAAAAAATTCCCTTAGCAAATAATTAGTTCATTTCAGGACCTTCACGACAAATACGAAGCTACCCGAATGTTCCCAATTGTTCCCCGCTACGGAATGCTGAAGAACATGATCAAAGCGACACTGCGGGCTCCAGAATTCGCCGACATTTGTCATGAGCAGACCGAATGATCAATTCGCACATAAATCGTTTAATGATTTATCAAAATGCAATATATTGGGTTAGAAAACTAGCCATATCACAATATTCTTAAGGGAATCACAAACACGCCAAAAGAAAATCGAGTTGAATTGCGCCTACTGCGATTGTTGCTTCTTCGCCAAATTCTCGGCAAGCTTGTCCAAAAACTCGAAAGTGTTGAGGTAATCAGAGCGGGTGACATTGGCGAGTCCCTTGATGCAAATGGCGAGATCCTTGGTGAGGAATCCGGCTTCCATCGTCTCGATGCAGGTCGCCTCGAGGTTCTCAGCGAATTTCGCGAGAGCCGCGTTGTTGTCAAGTTTGGCGCGGTGAGCAAGACCGCGAGTCCAGGCGAAGATCGATGCTGAAATAAGAATTGAGCACCATTTTTAGGCGTTCATCCTTACCAATTGGATTGGTCGATGTCTCCTGTCCCTTTTGGTGTTGTCTGTAATGGCGGGTGACGGTTCCATGGGCGGCTTCAGCCTCAACAGTCTTTCCGTCGGGGCAGACCAACACCGAGGTCATGAGTCCAAGGGATCCGTAGCCTTGAGCAACAGAGTCCGACTGGACATCACCATCGTAGTTCTTGCAAGCCCACACGAATCCACCATCGCTCTTCATTGCCTGAGCGACCATGTCGTCGATAAGACGATGCTCGTACCATATTCCGGCGGCCTTGAACTCGGCCTCGTATTGCTGAAGGTCAAACGATTAGAAATTCCTCTTGTAGCCAAGCGTACTGGATAGATCTCGGCGAAGATGTCCTTGAATCGTCCGTCGTACTTCTTCAAAATTGTGTTCTTCGTGGAGAGATAGAGCGGATATTTGCGTTGAAGCGCATACTTGAACGACGCATGCGCGAAATCGCGAATCGACTCGTCGGTGTTGTACATCGACAACGAGACTCCGGGTCCCTTGAAGTCGTAGACGGTCTCCTGGATGGTGGTGGCGCCGTCAGCCGAGACGAATTTGATCTCGAGTTTGCCGGCGCTCGGCACAACGAAATCCGTCGCCTTGTATTGATCGGCGTGCGCGTGTCTACCAAGAATGATCGGCTTCGTCCACGTGTTCACGAGTCTCGGCACGTTCTTCACAATGATCGGCTCGCGGAACACGGTGCCGCCGAGAATGTTGCGGATGGTGCCGTTTGGCGACTTCCACATCTTTTTGAGTTTGAACTCCTCGACGCGTGCCTCATCCGGCGTAATTGTGGCGCACTTGACAGCCACGTTGTACTTGAGGGTGGCGTTGGCGGCGTCGATCGTCACCTGATCGTTGGTGGCGTCGCGATGCTCGATTCCAAGATCGAAGAAGTGAAGGTTCAAGTCCACATATGGCAAGATGAGCTTCTCCTTGATGAGATCCCAGATGATTCTGAAAATCGCATTTTTTTTAAATTTTATTTATTTGACGATTTCGTTTCCAAAGTTCAATTGCATGGCACGATCGCGTGAGTTTTGATAACGCGAGAAAAAAAAACCGATAAGACAAAAACGACGCCAACCTGGTCATCTCATCTCCTTGCATCTCAACGACATCTCCTCCTTGAATTTTCGGCGACATTCTCGACGCGGACAGACCTCTGCAAACGGACAATTGAGCGATTTCAATTAAGCGCGCGCGACAGCGAATGGAAACACGATAACCTGATGACATTTCGCGAAAACGTCGAGCATATCAGAAAAGGTTTCATTGTTTTTTTTTCGGCGTCGACGGCGGCGTTAAAATGAAATTTGCGAGAAATGGGAACTTTTGAAAAAAAAATGACGCGTGCTCCGCGAACACGCGACGCGCTAATGCACTACAAAATGTTTGGCAGCACACACCGTAGTCGAAACTCGAAAAAGGCAAAAATGAAAGAGTCGATCCATGTGTGCGCTACACACACACACCACACTGAACCTTGTGGGAGATGCCAATGCTCAAGGTCGGGCCGATCGAAGATAGATAGCGTGACGAGACGCAGACGGCGTTCGATTACAGAATCGAGAGGCGGAAAACAGGCAAACAATTTTGCGACGGCCCTCTCGAATCATTGCACTATTTTCGAACAAAAAAAATGATTACCAACCAAAATCTGGCGGCGAATTCTTAATTTTGGTTTTCGCGCCGAGACCCAACGCCTACGATTCCATTGACCTGGATCCAATAAAAAAAAGCGGTCCGATTGCAATCTGATGATGCGAATCGAAACGGATACTACACAAGGCCGTTGTCCGCAGATCGTTTTTGTGTCTCGAATGTTCTTGACGGCCAACAAAAAACGATCGCCTGATTATGTTTCATTCGAAATAATCAAACAAAGAGCAATGCACAATGTTTCATTGGAAATTGGAAATTTTGTTAGAAGTAGCGCATCATGCAGTGGTACTCGGCGCTGGCGAACAGGTAGAAGCTGAAAATGAGGGATTCAGGCATTCAAATGGTTTAAAAGTACGTCTACTATTAATAAAGCTATTCATTTGGGAAGAAAAATCGAAAAAAATACATTATTTTCAATGTTTTCTCTTTTTTTTACAATTTTTCTGAATTATTGTTTTTCTCAAAACGAAATCGATCCATTAATCTTTAAATCGACTATTTTTTGAAAATTTCAATAGAGCTATTCCGTTGGGAACAAAAAATGAAAAAGCAAAGAGAAAAAACATTTATTTTCATGTTTTTCCACAACGGAATTGAAATCTTTTCGGAATCCTTGTTTTTCATGGCGTAAATTTCGAGGCAGTGGAGTGAAAAAAAAAAAAAACAAAAATAATCCTTATTTTCTTTAAAAAAATATATTGCTTACTGGTCAATACAGAAAAAATTAAAATATAAAAAAGATTAATTAATATTTATATTGTTTTCTTTTTCTAAATCAAAATTTTTTTTTCAATTTTAAAAGCCCATTTTTTCATTGGCCTCAAGCAAATCAAATAAAATATTTCGAGATTCATTGAGAAACTAACGTGTCTCTATAATATTTTCGATTTTTCTCAATCAATTTTAGAAATTATATTAAAAAATTTTAGAATTTATTGAGATAATTTAGAATTTGCTTAATGAATTTTAGAAAATCTTTTAAGATTAAAAAAAATATTTTTTTTTAAGTATAGCGATTCTCAATAAGTTTCAGAAAATATCAATAAATTTTAGATTTTCTCAAAATATTTTAGAGTTTATTATTGAATATTTTATTTGAGTGGCTTGAGCTGAAAACATTTTTTTCTACAAACACATTGTTTTTCTTTTTTTTTGCATACCGTATATATTTGATAAATTAAAATCATTTCAATAACTCACGCGAACCCATCTTTCTCATTCTTCACATGCATTATAGTATAGGGGTCCGTTTTCAACAGGCGTCTCGCAAATCGCGCGATTTCGCCAATTTTCGATTTCGGCAACTTCATTGTGATTTGGCACGGAAAAACGCGAAACTCGTCGCGAAGCTCAACAAGTTTTTCGAAGAAAATTTCAATATCCGTCATCGTCTCAACAATTAAATGCTCAAAAACCTGAAAAAATGCGCGTTTCTCGGCAATTTCATTACTCATACAAGATTCGACGATGACTCGAATTCGATGAGAATCTCGCGCAACACTCGAAACTCCAATTTTTCCACTTTTCGATAGTTTCCAAGTCCTATTATCGGTTTGGTGTCAACGATCAAATGATCGCAGCCAATCAGTTGAAATTCGGTGGAATTCAGAATTTCAAGCTCGACTTTGAGATTTTCCGACGTTCCGAAAAACAAAAATGTTGTGCATTGAACAAGATGGGATTTGAAAAGCGGATACGAGTTGAAGATTCGATCGGCGACGGGCTCGAGCTTGAAGTACTGGCTCACCGCGCATCGTTCAGTGATTGCCGGGAGTAGTCTAAGAAACTGAAACTCGAGTTCGAATTTAACCAAAACTCCGATTCCTCACTTTTCCATCATCTTCGATTCCTTTCAAATACCTGAGGCTACATCGATCAGCTCTGGAGAATAGGAAAGATCTATCCTGAAATTGGAAAACTGCCTTTTTCCAAGATAATACATACCAAGACTGCATAAGCTTGATCATGCTTAATCCTAAAATGAATAAAGAATAAAATAGAGAATATTAGAAGCCCGATCGATGAGTGATTCATGGAAAAAGCTATTACTAATTTCTACTACTAGCATTTCACAATTCGGCGATAATTATCTAGCAATTTAATCTCATTCAATTTTTTGTCGAGGGGAAAAATAATTTATGTGTATTAAGAAAACAAGTTAACAATATAATTAAAAGGAAACAAACATATATTTGCAAGACGCCGAGATCGAAATGAATCCAACGGTCTAAACACGTCAAAAAATAAAAATTTCTTGAATAGAGAAAAAAGTACATGATAATGAAAGGAACAATGATGACAATCAACCACGGAATGCTGGCGGCGCGCCTCCAGGTTTTGCGACACCTCTAGGAGCTCCCATCGGACCGCCGCGACCAGTCGGCCTTCGGAAAGCCGTTCCGCGACCACGCCCGCGCACCTCGACACCTCCGAGACCCATACCAATGGCTCCCTTTTGAGCACGTCCGATATTTTTGAACATTGGGGCGTTTTTGAGCATGTCCGGCAAAATCATAAAACGAATCTGCAAACGTTGAACAAATGAATCTCGATAAATTTCAAGATATTTTTTTTACCTTGTTTCCACGAACGAAAACATTGTCTAGCTGATGCGTTCGTCCATCCCGGAAAGTAACAATCGCTTCAGCAATTTGGCAATTCATATTATCTTCGGCTTCAATAAGTTTTCCTCTATAAACCTCGCCTAAATTCAAATAATTTAACAAGATGATTATTAGATAATTATATATATATATATATATATATATATATATATATATATATATATATATATATATATATATATATATATACCTGTGACGGTCTCAAGTGTGACAATATGGCCTTCAGCTTCATGAAGAATCTTGATTGGGACTCCAACTGAGGTCATTTTCTGAAACAAAAATTAATTTAGCGAAAAATGAAAGAAAAACAAGAATATAATTATTTACGCAAGAATTTAAGCTATAAAACCGAACAACTAATAAGCAATTTGTTTATTAAACTCAAAAATTTTGTTAAAAATAATAACAAACAATCTCAATTTTAATTTAAAATAGGACAAATGACTATTTACCTATTTTTGCCACAACTTTCTTAGCTAAATGTCATATTTTCGGTATTTTCATTCTAAATTGGAATTTTAAAAATTAAAATTAGAAAGCAAAACAGAAAAATCAAAGAAAACCCAGAGAAACCATAAATGACGCATAATTTTTCGAAATAAAATTTCAAACCAACGCGTCGCGGTCACGCCGCGACGCGTTCGATGGTCCACATTTGCTCTCCTATCCGATTTTTATTTATTTGCTCAATGTTTTAATGTGCACTTTTTCGCTATTAAACGTGGGAAAATATTGACTCATGATTGAAAATCCATGTTTACAGATGTTCCACACAAAAAATCCGTTATTATAGCCAACACAATGAACGCGAAATTCTATATATTCCTAGCCGGTCTACTATTTATTGCAACTTTTGGCATTTCCAGCCTTATTTTTGTACCAACATGTTTCATTTGTTTCATATTAGGGTAAGCAATGGCTGGAAATCATAAAAAATACGCGTAAAAAATTTAGATTTCTGTATGTCGGCTTTCGGCATGGTCAAACAGAAGCTGAAAAACTCGAGCAAAAATTCGCGCAATTCCTAAAGGATTACAAATTCCCGTCGGGAATCGAGCAACTAGTGAAGAACCAAGAGCGTTTCATTGAGCAGAACAACTATCAAGAGCTTCATTCAATGTCAAACTCGCCCGAAATGGATCAAGTCATGGAAAAAGTAGGAAAAATTGGGAGGCAGTTGTGAAAACTTGAAGGGGAATCTTCAGATATTGGAGTACATCATTCGGGATTTTATAACCCATTGGTACAAAACTATATCAAATGACTCGCTTTTCGAGAGAAGCTTGAAAAGGACTGCTAGAAGGTCGATAGCATCACTAGTACAATGGTATCTATAGAATTGTCTTAAAAAAGAAATGATTGTTTTATGAAGCCTCCGAAAAGTGGATTGGGTTCCGTTTCTGACGCGAGACGTCGTCGACGATTTCGCCTCTCATCTTCGACTCTATCGAAAAGCCAAAGAGCGCGCTCAATTCCAGGAAGAGGAGCTCAAAAAGAATGAGAATGCCGACAAGCCGGACCTTCTCGGCAATTTTTTCGATTTCGAACTCGAAATGGAGAAATCGTTGTGCCGCGATCTGCTCTCAACAACGCCGCACTACGAAAATGGTGAAATTAAGAGAAAAAAAATCTGGAAGCAAACATGAGATTTTCAGCTTACCTACACGATCTTGTCGATATTATATTATATTTAATTATGCCACCGGAAGATTTTCGATGCCGTCCGCTACGATTTCTGCTACGAGAAGTGATTGGTAGGTTATTGTTTCATCTCTTTGTTTCAATTCGCAAAATTTCCAGTGAAAAGGGTGATTTTGCCGACGTTGGACTACTTGTCGGACCCCAAAGAGGTGTTCCAGCTGCTTGTTTGGCTATTGAGCGAGGTCGAGCCGAAACCCGAGGATTTCATTGCTTGCATTGAAAATAGCAAAAGTGTTGAGGAGCTCGACGCGGTTTATCAGGCGATAATGGAAGAGAAGACGGTGATGAGAGGAAAAGATTCGGGAGGAGCTGAAGGTGGGCATTTTTCGAGCAAAATTAAATTGGGAAAATTGCGTTTTGGGTCTTGCATGGAAATATTTTGGCGATTATTTTTTTTGAACCAAAATAGTCTATATTTACCATGAAAATTATACTATTTTATTGTCGGCGTCCCGGCGACTGCTGTACGCGGGTAGATTTACTCGCATGCGCCTTGAAAAGGTCTCGCCACGCGTGAATGCTTATTTTGCTGTTTTCACGTGAACTGCTTCATTTTTTTTATGAGTTTCACATTTCCTTGAATTTTCAACGTCGTTCGATTAAAAAATTATCGAACCGGTCCATAAAATTTGAAATAATCAGTTAGTCGTTGCGAGACCATTTCGAAAGACGCATCGCAGTAAATCTACCCGCGTACAGCAGTCACCGGACGCCGACTATAAATTAGAATGATTTTTGAAAATAAAATGAAAAAATCATGAGATTTTGTTAATTTTTTTCAAGAAGTTTTGAAAAAACAGAAAATTTCACAACGTTTCCATATGAAAAAGGGAAACGACAGAATGGAACCAGGCCGATTCCATATATGGTCGCAATTGTTCCCACGCCGAATATGATTCATGCCTCGACTCGTTATAGACACTTTTGTGAAGCAACAATTGGCGAGTTTGCAATATGTCGAGAACGCGATCAAAAGAAAAATGGCGATTTTGACGAATGGCGGCGTCGAGAACGCGAAATTTGGGGTGAATCATCATACATTTTTCGTTTTGAACCATATCCGATTCAGACTCGCCTAAGTGAGGATAATGATCAAATTGTGCAGCTCCCAATTCATGTCGTGCTCACCAACACCATCGCGGTGTCCTATTTCATCGATTTCCTGAAAACTGTCGGCGGTCAAAACTACATCGACTGCTATTTGGCGATTGAGGTGATTTTGAGAGATATCAAATCGCATCTGCGGACATTTTTCTTTTCTTCAGGGCTTCAAAATATCGGTGGAACATCAAATGCGCTCGTTGGCGAACGGCGAACTCGTCGATCGCGACGCGTATGAGACAATCAAAGAGGCCGCCCATTTTATGTATCAGCAATATCTGTCACAGGAAGCGATCACACGCGTTCCGCTTGATGAAGCGCTCATATCGAAATTTCTGTCGCGTCTTCGAAACGACGAGCCGTCGGATTTGTGGTTCGAAGCGATTCAGGAGAAGATTGTCGACATCCTCACGACGGATGATCACTTCTATCCGGAATTCAAAAAATCGCCGATTTACGTGAAAATGCTCACCGAGCTCGGAATCATTGGCGATGAGCGAAGCGAGACGCCGACGTCCGAATCGGGATCATCGATGTCATCGTTCGACAAGGGAATTGAAATGAGGAGGAGGCCGTCGATGGATGAGACGATGCCGATACCGGATGATCAGCCGATTCTGACAGCGACGGTGGAAACTCTAGGAATTGGGCAGCAGGTTCGAAATTGCCTCGGCGATACCCATAATTGGGCACACATTTCCAGGGAAAGCAATCGTTCGCATTGTACAATGTGAGAGTGAGCCGAACGGTGAATGGAAGTAAAGTGAGCAGCTGGAATGTGCTTCGGAGGTACTCCGACTTCCACACACTCCATTCAGCGCTGGTTCAGAAGGTTCATTTTTCTTTTCTTCCGCCCGTCACCACCTCGTTATGATTGCAGTACCCGAAATTGAGTATGCTCTCGTTTCCCGGCAAGAAGACGTTCAACAATTTGGATACGCATTTTCTTGAGAAGCGCACGAAAGCGTTGAACATGTACATGGAATGCATTCTGCAGCCCAACTTTCTCAAATCGTATCCCGAACTCGAGAAGACCGTCTTCGATTTTCTTTCGCAAAAAGAGTATTCGTTTCGCGAGCCGCTCGGCAAAAAAATGATGTCGGCGATGTTCGATCCGATCAAATCGGGCGTCAAAGCGGTTGGGAGTACGGTGATGGCGATGCCCGATCAGGTGTACGGTAGCGTGTCGAAAGTTGGTGCCGGCATCAATAATGCGGCAAAAACGATAATTGTAAGAATTTTTGTTTTTCGGTCGCTCATTTCGTGTTTGAGACACGCGCCAATTTCTAGAATCCGAACGGCTCGAATGCGCCGAATCGACGGCCGACGATGGAAACTGATCGTGTTGCGGCGTCACTAAGCGATACGGTAATCGCGCCAACGCGTTGATCCCCGTTTCGATCGTCTCATTCTAGGAGTCTGAAAACATTCCACTTCGCGTTCTTGTGCTGTTCGTTGATGAAGTGTTTGGGGTGCGCGCGCGAAACGCGTGGTTCCGACGCCAAATGGTCATGGTCCTTCGCCAATTCGTCACCCCATTCGGCACATCGATCAACAAGCGAATTATTGATGTTGTGAATTGGCTGACGTCGGAGCAGCAAGTCACCGGCTATCTGAACGCATTCAAGTATCTGTGTTTTTTTTTAAAGACGCATCATGATGATGATTTGACCGATTAAGAGATTCAATGTGGCCAAATGGTGTCATGTGTGGAGAATATCCGCAAAAACCGGCGGCGTTTCATCATAGGTGTCGAATTCTTGCGAAGACGTTGATGCTTTCCTCGATGCCGGATGAATTGAGGATGGTGCTTGGAGCTGAAACGAGCTATCAAGTAGACCTTTTGTCATATATATATATATATATATATATTTTTTTTTTCTACTAAAGCGCGATGTTCTCTTTGGAAGTAATTGAGGCGTTTTAGGGGATCAACACGATATCGGAAGCGTTGGAGAATAAAAGTCTCAATCGACGGCTGCTTTATGTGCTGCTTGAACGATTATTGATGAAGGTGTTCCCGCAGAATCGATTCGAGAAAATATTTGCGCAATTGCACTCGAAATCGCCAAGAACAAAGAAAATGTAGAAGATTTCGCAATTTATGTACATATTAAGCATGTATTTTATATTCCGCCCCCCCCCCTTGCCCAAATTTGATGAACAACCGGTGCTATAATTTTTTTAGTGTCTCCTAGATTCTTTGTGCCATTCCTTTGAAAGTTGTTGTGCGATAAAATTTTTTTCTCAAAATTCGGAATTATAGCTGTTATTTTTTGTTGATTTACAGTTTTATATTGGTGTGAATCATTGAAATTCACATAGGAGTTGGGATTTTAGATGGAGGACGCTTTGAAAAATGAGCTTGGATTGGAATTTGTTCGAATTTGCGGGCATGGCTATGGCACGAACACCACGGAAACTGTGGAAACGGACAGAGGAAGAATGTTCATCAAATATGGGAAGGGCGAATTTGTAAGATGGATCTGATCAAATTTGAAATTGGAAGTGGTGTTGGATTAAGGCTGAAAAGCTCGCCGTTGGCGAATTTGAGTCATTGAAGGCGATTCTGAACACGCATGCGATTCGGTGTCCGAATCCGATAAGCACAATTCATTTTAAAGGTATTTTTCAATGAATTAAACGGTATTTCGGTTCAATTTTGCAAAAAATAGGCTAAAAATTGAAAGAAGAAAATAAATGTGAAAAATTACAGTAGCGGTGACCTCGAGACCCAACTATAAAATCGTGTGTGCTCCTTTTAATGCGTTACGGTAGCGATTAATTATTTTTCGATTTTTTTTTTCACAATCTTGATTTTTTTCTTTGAAAAAAAACGAAATTATTTTTAGATGATTGGGCTCTTGTCACCTCGTTTGAAACAATGCATAAAGATCATGAAGGAATGGAAAAGTTTGCGGAGAAACTGGCCAGGTAGGAAATTTTAAAATTTTATTTGCGTAATCAACAGCATTTTTATTTTGAGATTACACATGCACAATCCGAGATTGATTGCTGAAAATGAGAAGCGCGATGGTTTTGTTGGGGAAAATGATGAGATGGGTGTTCGACGATTCGGGTTTCATGTGCCGACATGTTGCGGGTCGATACCGCAAAATAATGAATGGGCTGACGATTGGCCGGTAAGCAAATTTTTAAAAAATTTGAAAAATTTTTGAATTTTTAGACGTTTTTTATTCGAAATCGCCTTCAAAGCCAGATTAATCGATTGATTGAGGTAATTCGAAAAGAAAATTCGATAGGAAAATTATTACGCGAATTGCAGAAGGGCGATCGAAGCCTTCTCGACAAACAGGATTTGCTCTATCGCGCCGCCGAAAAGCTGCTGTTGCCCAGAAAAGATATTGCACCAAGTTTGGTGCATGGCGATTTGTGGAGCGGCAATTGGAGTTGCGTCAATAATGAGCCGATCATATTCGACCCGTCGGCGAGCTATTCCGACCCCGAATTTGAGCAAGGCATTATGAATATTTTTGGTGCGCGTTTTGAATTTTCGATTAGAATTGAACGATTTTTGTTTCAGGCGGCGTCACCACCAACTTTTACAGCATTTACTATTCAATAGTTCCCGATCAAATTGGAAGGGAGAGGAGGGTTGAGCTCTATGAGCTGTACCACCTCTTGAATCACTGGTTAGACGCGTTTTTCAACTCGATCAATCATACCAATTGAATTTTGTTGCAGGAATCACTTCGGCTCGGGCTATAAGCGTTCCAGCATGGATGTAATTAATAAATTGATACGACAATGAAAATTCCCGGCCTTTTATTTTTTCTTCTTTATATAATTTTTCAATAATCATGTCTAAATAGTCCCAGAACGAAAAAAACTGGAATAATGTGATGGTACGTAGATTTCCAGGGACCAATTGGATTTGTGATTCTTGGACCACATTAAAAGGGCGGAGATTTTGAGAAAGGAAACCCAAAAATTAAAGAGGTCCGGAAAATTTTGAAAATTTCGGTCATACGATGAAATAGAAAAATTTCAATTTTTCGAAAATCCGTAGTTTCTTAAAAAGAAAGTTGGCTTTTCCACATTTTCAGCGCCACGTTTAAAGGCACATGCTCGAAAAAGTGGAAAGTTGGGCGGAGCCTAATGGGACCATTTCTTCGATAGATGACTCCCATATTATGTGATTAACGTTCTTCCGAATAAAAATTAGAGAGCCGTAAAGTTGGGACCCACAAATTCCGGGTTTTTCAACTCATTTCGAGAATTTTTTAATTTCCGGCGGAGCCGCGCATTTTTCCAACATTGCGGCCCGTAAAGATGTCCGCAGATGGAATTTCATAATACAATTTTTTCCATTATACGAGAGATGGCACTCGATAATAGAGCTCAACGAATTTGTTCATTAATGTGTTTTTGTGTAGACTTTAAAGGCGTACGACGAGAAGAATTCCCGCTGTCTCGTTCTATAAATAGAATTGATGTAGATCATAAAGCAACTCAAAGTCGGGTGTGTGCCGCCCGTGAAACAAATTTAGCGCGGCTTCTCCGTTATTTGGCAACATCACCCGTCAACGCAATAATTTCGCCTTGCTGGTGAAATCAAGAGTCATCTCATTCGGCGCCCCCTCCCCCCCCCATCTCTCGATATTTGTTGCCTCGCTGATTTCGTCGTCAAAAACTGGCGAGGCTGGTGCAGCTCAGGGAGCATGAGTGAACAAATCGAGTTTGTTCTTGAGCTCCTCTCCATTCAATATCATCATCATTGCCACTTGTCCCATCCTTCTTATTTTTATTCGTGTCGAGACCATAGCAAGAATTTCATGCAACGTTTTTCTATATATTTCTAGATGAATTAGCTTCACCCTCCGAACATTTCAAGCTTTTCCCTTATATGGATCCTAGCATCCAAAGGATGATCCTTTTGATCCTTGGATTGTTAGCAAAATTGTCGTATTTTTGGTTTTTTCTCGCGAAAAATGAAAATCGGTGTTTGCGGACTTGCATTATTTGACGCGCAATTTTTGAAATTTATTTTCTCTCTTTTTTTTGATTGTTGATTGAAACCAAATGTTTGAAGAAAATCCCGCTGACCGCAACGAGACCCAACTCATTTTCTAAGCTATGCGCCTTTAATCACAATGAGTAAACTCTCAGAAATTTCAAAAATAGAAAAAATTTTAATTTCACATAAAAATCGCGAAATCAATGGTTTTTAAAGGCGCACGCAGTTTTTGAAACTGAGGTCTCGTCACGATCGATTCCGAAATGAGAAGCGTGCGAAAATGTGTGCAAACACCGCGACGCCAAATCACGTAACAACCGTCTCGTCTGAATTTTTTAAAAATTTTCACCCAAGTTGGAAAATTTTCAGGGAATTTTGCACGTTTAAAGGCACATCGAATTTAGAATGCGCCTTTAATTCGAATCACCAATTCATTATTGGGAAAATGCTCGGCGAGCCGACAAAAAGTGCGCAAATAAAGAATCGCGTTGAAATTGAAAATGAATTTTTTCCTTCTCTCTCTAAATTATTTTTTTTTGATTAAAAATATACGGTGGCACACCAATATTACTATTTTCATAATTTTATTCGTTTTTTCCCCAAATATTGGTTTCTGAGTGAAATTGGGAAAAAACGCACCCCGAAGATTGTCCGCAGATGGAAATTTATATCAATTATTCATTTTTTGCCTCATTAATATAAAACGATGTTTTAAAGAAAAAAACTTTTTCGAATTTTTTATGCATTGAAATATTCTCCATTTTTCCTCCTTTTTTGCTATTGGGTCTTGAAACGAGCAATTGTATGTGCCTTTAAATAGAGAAAAGTTCAAAAATTTATCAAAAACCTCATTTATCTATGCTTGAAGAGCTGAAAGTTGTTCTCGGAAATTTTGAGCTTAATCAATCGAAAACGTCACGCCAATTTTCGAGACAACATTTCAAAATTCTCATCTGCGGACAATTTTCATAAAAATTATAAAAAAAACGGATGAGATTCTTTTTTGCTGAAAAATGAATTATTTAAAAGAGGCACGTGTCAAAAACGCGGAACCCACTTTTGAAAACCGTTTAGATCAATTTAAAGGCGCATACTCAATTTTTAATGTTTTTTCTAAGAATCCTTGCGTTTATAAAAGAGAAATCCCAAACAATTGGGTACTGTGTATTTTTAAAGGCACATTCTCAATAAAAAAATATGTAAATTCCAAATAGAAGGGTCTCGTGTGGAAAATCGAAGTCGCCGCCATTTTCCACCTGCTCATATGATATCGCAAAAGCTCAAAGTCCACGATATTGTCCTTGAAGGACTCCACACATTCTGGGTAGTTTAAGAAAAAAAAAATAAAAAAGAAGAAGGCGTCGTTTCTGATTGAAAAAGAAAATCTGAGCGCGAAATTCAATTTTACTTTTTTTTACGACGTCGTCGGGATGGATTTCTCGACGCACACCTTAAACGTGTGCCACCGTATGCCGGGGTCTCACAGCGATTATCGCCACTACTGTAGTTTTGCATTATTCATGTGTGTCAAATTTCAACGCGAAATTGTCCGCAGCATGAAAATGTTGAATATGCGCGGTTTTGCTTTTTTCTTCGAAATCAATATATCCTCGCTATGATGAATTTTCAGCATGTCGTGCCCAATTATTTTCGGTTCACAACTTTCCCCCCCCCCTTCATCGGCTTCTTCTTTCTTTTCGAGCGTCGTCTTACATCGCTTCTAATGAACACACATTTCGTTCGATTTCCTTCTGAAACCCATCCCACAATTCAATCTTCTTCCTAATTAGGGTAGTGTTTCGAATTATTATTATTATTATGATTTGTGCACTGGCCTATTGCTCCCCCGAGAGGACAACCCACTTCTTTTTTTTTGCGCTCTGAGTAGTTGCATATTTGATTCGTCGCGATGATATTCGATATTCGCGACGGCTTCATTAGGCGTGAAACTTGACGGGTTACGGTAGTTGCTTTATTGCAAAATGTATGCTTATCTGCGGACATTTTTGCCATCCCGTGAGGTGTCCGCAGATTCCACGCGATTTTTGCCATCCCGTGAGGTGTCCGCAGATTCCACGCGATTTTTGCCATCCCGTGAGGTGTCCGCAGATTCCACGCGATTTTTGCCATCCCGCGAGGTGTCCGCAGATTCCACGCGATTTTTGCCATCCCGTGAGGTGTCCGCAGATTCCACGCGATTTTTGCCATCCCGTGAGGTGTCCGCAGATTCCACGCGATTTTTGCCATCCCGTGAGGTGTCCGCAGATTCCACGCGATTTTTGCCATCCCGTGAGGTGTCCGCAGATTCCACGCGATTTTTGCCATCCCGTGAGGTGTCCGCAGATTCCACGCGATTTTTGCCATCCCGTGAGGTGTCCGCAGATTCCACGCGATTTTTGCCATCCCGTGAGGTGTCCGCAGATTCCACGCGATTTTTGCCATCCCGTGAGGTGTCCGCAGATTCCACGCGATTTTTGCCATCCCGTGAGGTGTCCGCAGATTCCACGCGATTTTTGCCGAATTTACCATGAATTGCAGGAAGTTCGTATAGCGAAAAAAAAAAACTGGCAATTAGGACTAATTATAACTAACAAAAATTGCGTTTTCAAAAAAAAAACTAGGTAATTGAAAGTTTAATTTCGTTATTTTTTTTTGTTCAAACAAAACAAATTTAATTTTTTTTTGCTGTCGTAAGTTCCCAAATTTGCACAAAAAATGCCTCGAATCACCGGATGCATTCCATAACCGGAAATTGCGAAAATCACGCGCTTCACGAATTTTCCGTCACTCAAATAAAAAATCCATCTGGGGACACTTTTTTTTATGACTTGGTTGCTCCCCTTCCCTAAAGTGTTAACGAATTCATGCTGCGGACAACTTAAGCGACCCCCTAAAAGCACATACCGCTCATTAATAATTCACAAACATTTCGAGCAAATTTCTTTTTTTTTTCTCATCTCCCACCAGTTTTCTACTAAAATGCTGCCGATTCAGATGGACATCGCAAGCTCAACGGCCATCATTCCCGTGGCGCGAATCAATGAAACTCTTGTCACCGAGCCGGCTGGCGATGATGCTTCGAGAGTTACGCTGAAATTGGCGCTCGTCATCTCCTACTTGGTGCTATTCATTGTTGGAACCGTCGGAAATGGGTAGGCGATTCATTTTTTCCCCGGCTAAAAAATTTTTTTCCCTTGGCTAAAAAAAATTGTTGGTTCGAAATCAAAGATTTTGCTGCAAAACCTTCTAACCACGTTTATTTTTTGGAAATATTCAACCGTCGATTAAAATGCAAAATCCGTAGAGTTTTTGCAGCGTGATTGCACAACTCCACGGCTCGCCACAGTTTATTTTTTCTATTTCTTTTATTCCCCAAAATTTTGACTTTAATTTTGCTATTCGCTTTATTGAAATTACATTTAATTCGTAAACACACAAAATTCATACGTATTCATTCATATCTACTTAATAAAATTAACTAATCCATCAAAAGTGGCCGTGGCTGAACCTAATTTTTGAGGCATATTTTCTAGGCCACACCAGCGTTGCGGCCAACCATGACTCACCTTTTGAATATCGCAACATTTGCAATTTTTGGACCAAAAAATGAAACATTAACGAATATTCTAGAAGTTCATTGCGCTTATTAACCGCTAAAGTTTGGCACTTTTCGAAAATCCTCACGAAATTCATTAAATCATGTGCAAACGCGCTCCATCGCACTGGCGGTTGATTAGTTTTTGTCGCTGGCGAATTTTGGCGAGAAACTCCAATTTCAGCGCGATGACTCCCGATAGGACTTCAAGTAAATGTTGAGAAAAAAAATATATATATTGCAATTCCATGTATCAATATTTCATTTTCAGCACCGTCATCCTAATGATCATCAATGTGCTTTCATCGATGAGCAAAAACGCGTCAACCGGAAAGCGAAAAGTCAACTCAAACACATCGCACGTGTTCATCTACGTTCTAGGTAGTTGTTTAAAGGCGCAATGCGCCTTTGATCATTCCGATTTTCAGGATTATCGATAGTTGACCTTCTCGTCATTCTGCACCTACCATTTCTGGTAGCCGATCTGCTGAAAGGTGCCGACGTTGGAGTTTTGAGGCCAAAAAAAAATAACTGCGAGTTTTAGGCCAATGGCTGTTCGGAATGGCGATGTGCAAGGTTTACTGGTTCGGCGAAAGTGTCAACAAGCTTCTCAGCTCATTTCTGATGACGGTGCTCAGCTGGGACAGATATATGGCGGTGTGCAGCCCGGTGAAGTCGATGAAGTAGGCGGCTAGGGGGGGGGTTTGTTTAAAGGCGCATAGTGCAAATTGTTTCCAGAATTCGGAGCAACGCGACCGCGATGAAAGTGCTCATCGCGTGCACAAGTCTCGCCACCATTCTTCTACTACCGGTGCTCATCGAGGCGAGAGTGTTCAAAATCGACAAGCTTCTAATGATCCCATTGGAGGACGGAAGCGTCGAATTGGAGAAGTCCGATCGCGCCGGCACCACAATGCGCAAATGCATGTTCGACGCCGGCGCGACGTTCACCCTCTACACGTTCGTCATCGGCTTCGCCCTTCCCGCCGTCCTAATCATCATATTTTATGTGAAGGTATGACGCCAAGCGAGACATAATTGAATCGAAATCGCCGTTTAAGGTGATTTTCGCGCTTCAGAAGTCATCGAGAAACGTTCGCGTCACTCGCGGGACCACAATGAAGCCCGACGGCTCGTCGAGCCGCGTCAAAAAGGTCCCATTTTGGGCGAATATTTTTCGAAATCATTATTTTTTACAGGTGACGAAACGCATCGTCGCCGTCATCCTATTCTATTTCCTCTGCTGGACACCGCAATGGACGTTGAATATCATGACGCAATTCAATCTGATTCGCGTCTCATGGATGACGCCAGCACTCTCGGCGATGTTCTTCGTCGCTCATTTATTGGTAATTGATTTTTTTTTTCGATGCCAAACTTCTTCCGATTGTTCAGGTGTGCTTCAATTCGGCGGCAAATCCAATTTTATACGCCTACATTAATCGCGAGCTTCGCAATCAGCACGTCATGGCGATGCATCGAAAGCGGCATTCGGTGATTCAAGATCAGACGAAAATCGCGCAAAAGTGAGACCGCATTTCCAGTCCGATTATGTGTGTGTCTTCTTTTTTTCAGAATCTCTCGCCAATCGCGTCATTCCGATGTGTCGGCGACAATTCTCGGCAAATTCAACGAGCAACATTCGAATGATCGCAAGCTGATTCACCGAATCGGCGACATTCTCGCCTCAATATTGCGCCTCAAAAAATCCGATCAAACGCGTCTCGCCTCAATCAACATCGACGTCCCCTCATCAGTGTCCGACGAATCTCGCGAGAACGAAGACGATTATCTCTAAGCTACGAGTGATTCTTTCATTTCAATTATAAATACTAATCAGTATATTATGCAAAGTGAACTAGATGGGCGGGGGGTTATGCGACAATAATTAGGGTAAGTGCAAATAAATTAAGTATTATAATTATATAGTATATAGCATTTTCTATTTCAATTGTACATAATTGGCTGGAAACAGTCCCGATTTCGATGGATCCGATGCTTTATGCCCCGTCCACCATTCGGCATCGGTCTTCTCCGTTATCTAAAAGCAGGCTTGTTAAGCTTCCGCCATTTGCCGCAATCTTACCACGACAACATCTCCGACTCTCAATGAGAGCTCATCACCTTGACTGGCATCATAGTCAAACATCGCGACCGCTTCGAGCGTCGTCGCGTCGGCGACTCCCGCTTCAACGACTTTCACATACTCGCCGGGGAACCATCCAGCGACGGCAACACCGTTCCGAATCGTCTCGCCTTCCCACCAACCGGCATCGCTCTTCTCGCGCACCTAAAAAAAACAATTTATAGATTTCGCTTTGTTTTTTAAAGGCACATACCTTGATCAGTTCACCAATTTTGATTCCCAACTGATTCGGCGCCGACGCCACAAAATCGACGATCGCTTGCGCATGACAAATGACAGAAGGCGAAGATTGTGTTGGAGCAGCCGCTGAGAAAAAAGAAAGAAATTCACCATTCCCGTAAATTGTCACGAGACTCACCTAAAGGCTGCGATGACGACGTCGGCGATTCCTTCTGAACATACGTCGCCGGGAAGATGCCCTCCTTTCCATTGCATCGTCCTTTCCACCAATCATCATTTCTGCAAACAAATTAAGGCCATCACAGCGTTAAAGAGTAATTTCAAGACGAAGAAAACCTACATCGGTCGCCTTCGTTTGGGCATTTTTCTAATAAAAAATAATAATAACGGCGAGTTTCGCGCGATAAACATCAATCGAACGTGTCAAGAGCAGACACTTGAATTAAATTCGCAGAAAAAAAGAAGAAGAAGAAGAAGACCTACTTCTCAATGACGTGCACTTTATCGCCGACGCGCAGCGCAAGATCGGTTGGCTCGGCGGCTTCGAAATCGAACAGCGCCACATAAATCTCCTCATCGGATCCTATAGAACTTTGTGGCGCTCGATTTGAATGCAATTCCACCTACCTGACGGCTTCGTTGGAATCTCGCCCGGCACGACGTCATATTGTGGAGCCGGTGGCGTTGGTTTGCTCGGCGAGCCGGTTGTCGGCGTCGTCTCGCCGCCGACAACTTTCACATAGCTCTTCGGGAACCAACCACACTCGCCCGTTGACTTCCGGCCCTTCCACTTCATTTCCTGTTTTTCAATAACCTGAATTATGCGTAATACAATCTTTTGGCTTCATGGGTCTCGCTCACGTCGATAACATCGCCTTTCGCGAATGACAGATCATCGTCGTTTCGAGCTCGCCACTGGAATTGAGCCATCACCTGGCATAGGGATGGCTTTGAAGCATCTAACAAAAAATATTTCAGCAGAATTCGAGATCTAAGCTACCCACCAGTCACGCTTAAATTCGGCTTGAGCATCTCCTGCATCTCCTTCTTCATCGCGTTCTCTTCGGGAATTCCGTCCAATGAGCACGACGGCGTCATATTCGGCGGCATATTCTGAATCGGCGGCTCCGTGGACGTTTGCGGTAGTTGGGCAATCGGCTCCACAAATGCTTCGGGAAACCAGCCGACTTTGTCGCGTAGCTGCCCGGCACGCCATCCCGGCTCGGCGGCATGCGACTGGAACACAATGATGACGTCGCCCGGCTCGAAGCTCAGCTCGTCCTCGGTTCGCGCCTCAAACGCGAATAGCGCTCGACATTTGGTCGTCTCTTTGGTGGGATCGATTTGCGACGATGTCGCCACCGAGTTCCTCGATTCCGACGTTGGGATCACCGGATTCGACGCCGGCGGCGGACGAGCCGGAGCCGGTTGAGGTGCCGCCGCCGTCGCACCAAACGCTTCATCAAAATTGGCGAACGCGCTTCCATTCGGAACGTGCCCGTTCGGTTTTCTCGAAGCTTCAAGCTCGGCAATCTTGATTTGCGCCTGCTTCTGAGCATGAACAAGAAGCTCGAACATCTTACGATACTCTTCGCGCTTCGAAAGAAGCTTCGAATAGGATTCCTCTTTATAGGACTCCTCCTTCTTGGCGAGCTCCTCCTTCTGCTTCCTCGTCTTCTCCTTCTCAGCCTCCAAATGAGCTTTGCTTTCTTCCAGAGCGCTCTTCATCGCTTCTTTGCGTCGCCGCAACTCGTCCAGCTCAGCCTTCCGATTCGCCGTCTCTTTGTGCGCACTCTGCATCTGAAGCAGTTGATGGCTCATTTCTTGCGATTCAATCGCAAGCTTCTGGTTCTCCTTCTGAAGTTCTTGAATCTTGGCGACCTTCTCATCGCGAATCGCGCGCATCCCTTCGATCTCTCCGGTCACCGCAGCGACGGCATCCTTGGCCTAATAATAAAAAAACCCAATTCCTTTTTTTAGCCATTTCTCCTCACCTTGGCAATATCGCCATCCAAATCCGATTGTTTCTCATCGAGCGCCTGCAGCTGAAACGCCAGCGTTTTCTCGCGCTGCTGCCGCTGAGCGACACGCTCGCTCTCCTGTTGCTTCTGATTCTGAAGCTGTTTGACGCGCGCCTTCTCGGCGGCCGCCTTCCTCGATCGCTCCTCCTCTTCCCTACGCTTCTCCAACTCGGCACGCCGCTTCTTCTCCTCCTCTTCGCGTTGCTGCTCGAGAATCCGCTGACGTTCGAGTTCCGCTTGCCGCTCAATCTCCAATTGGCGCTCCTTCTCGGCTCGCTCACGCTCACGCCTCGCTTCTTCTTCGCGCTCCTTCTTCTCAATCTCAGCCTTCCGCCGATTCTCCTCTTCCAAGAGGATGAGCCGTCGTCGCTCGAGCTCCGCTTGACCTTTGGCAAAATTGTCTTGACGTTTGTCTTCGAACGTCTTCGGCGTCGGCGTCTTCTGCGGCGGCTCGGCGCCCGGCTCGAGTTCCGGTGTATTCGTCGCCGATCTCGAAACACCGCACATTCGCATCAACTCCGGCGGTGTTGTGGCCGGCAAAGCGAATCCCGCCTTCAGAAAAATTGCAATACTAATGGCCGGATGAGAATTGTTGAAATCAAACCTTGAACATCTCGATCATGTACTGAGAAATGCAATACTCCTCCACCGACAATTTCCCATCCTTATTTACATCAGAGAGCAGCCAAATATGCGCCAGAACGTTCGTGCCGAGACCGCTGAGGCCGAGAGCGCTGCGAGCCGCCTGTGTCGATAGGAATCCGACACGATCCTTGTCCAAGGCATTGAATAATTGGCTATATTTGAGTTTCGAATGATGCGGAATCGCCCAATTCTCGAGTTGCTTCCCATCGAAAATGCTTCGATCGGTCTTGATCGGACTTCCTGTGCAATCAATAAGGTTTGGGAGGGGCTTTAAGAGGAGATCTACCTGTAATCGAGTTGTTCCTTGATTGGGGACCTCCTGGAAACACGCCAACCGAGTTGGTGGACATTCGACGCTCAGGAGTGTGTTGATCAACGCCTAAAACGAAGTGTTGTTTTCATTTTTGGTTAAGTCGGGGATTCGCTGAGATGCGACTTACTTGATGTTCGACTGGCCGACCATCCAGACGCCTGCGGGACCATTGGAACCACCGGCGGGAGGCCAACGGGCATCGGTGGGAATGTCGGCTGATGGAGCGGTGTGCTGCGGCTCGGAACCTGTGTCGCGTTTTCATTTAACTTTTTTTTTCGTTCACAATTTTCCACCCACCACAAGAAGCGATGGCGGAAGCACCGGAGGAAGTGGCAATCCGGCGAGACAATTGAACGCCAACCGCATCGCAATCGAATACTCGCGAATGTCGAGCCTTCCATCTTTGTCAAGGTCCGATAGTGCCCAAATCTGGTAAAAAAGAAATTAACAATTGAATTCGAATAGTTTGATTTCGAAGGTCTCACCGCGACTGATCACTGTAAAAACAAATGCTAGAAAATACCTGCGCGAGAATCGGCGGCGGCAGATTGCTGCGCATCAGCGCATTCTTGGCGGTCATCGCATCCATATATGGTTGTCCAACGGTGAGCTGATTGAACAATTGCACATTCTTCTGGTATTCGGCATCGGAAACTTCCCAAGGGTTCGACGCCATCCTCAAAATTTCGAAATGTTGAAATCGGAACGAAGAACAAAAAAAAAAACAACAACAAAATAATTGATAACATTTTGACTCAGCTGGGGGGAAGTATTAGAGACTAAAGAGAATTGAGAGAGTCGTGAAAACGAGGCGATACATGTTTCATTACCTTTGCTTTCTTTTTTATGTGTTATACAATTTTACACTATAAATGGGATTAGTATACTAGAATTTTGCTTGTTTTCAAAGGGCTCACAAGAAAATCTCAAGGAAAAACGCGATTTTTTGCATAAATCAAAAATGGCGAAAACAAATCTCATTTTTCAATTTTCAGCTAACATTATTCTAGATATAAATGAATTTATATTGAAATTGAATTTTTTATAATTTCTTAAAGAAGCCATTTTTTTTTCAAATTTGCCACGCTTTAATCAAATTTTGCTGTTTTCAAATTTCTATTAGGAAATTAGTCTCAAATAATTTTAAATATTTTTGATACAGAAATTGTAAAAATTAATGAAAACTGAAAAGCCTTTTTTCAATATCAAAATAATTCTAATTGGTTCCTAGAATTTTTTATCACATTGTCTAAAAAGGATAAATATTTTCAATTTTCGAATTTATTGAAATTTAAAGTTTGAAAATAAAACCGGTAAACCGAGAATTTTTTGACTTAATAATTGATGATACAGTATAAAAGGCACTTGCAATTATTTATGCAAGAGTCCCGTGACGACAAATTACTGTAGCCAGATTATCTTCACAAACCGACCATGAAATTGAGCGTTTCGTTGGAAATAAAAAACAAAATACAAAAATTATGTTCATCGCCTATTATTTTCCATACAAATTCGCAAAAAAATATAAATTGGAATAGAGAATTTCATTTTATTTTATAGGAAAACTTGTCAAAAAATGTGTGAATTTCCATAAAAGCTAAAAACCGATTTGAAATTTTTAAAAAGTGATATAGTCGTGAGGGAAAATGCAATTTGCTGGTCACGAAAAGAACTTGAATAATTCATCAGGTGTAAATAAAAATCAATGAAAAAAAAAGCAAGCCGATAGAAAAAAGAATAGTGAAGAAAGTTGGTCAGGGCTGCGAATAAAGGGTCGGGACGTCGTCAGAATTGGGCGTCTTCTCTCTCTGCTCAACCACAGCTTCTCGCGCATCACAAAAATACATATATATATAGTGGAAGCTCGGAGGTTGAGCGGAGCACAAGAGCGCATGCCTTCTTCTCCATCTTCTTTGTGAAACTCTTTCGCATCGATTTTGGAGGCCCCAGGAACACTATTATAATGGCACGAGAAGCATTCTTTGAGTTTTTCAAATCTCAGGGACCATTTTGAATTTTTTCTTCACCTTTTAATAATTAGAAAAGAAAAAATAAAATTTCATATTTTCCTTCAATAAAAGTAATAATTTTTCAATCAAATTCCTCAAAAATTAATTAATTACAAAAAATTAATTGAAATTAACATTTTCATCAAAAATATATTATTAAATTACGTTGATTAAAAGGAAAATTTTAATTATAAATCATTCGTCATAATTTTGAAGAGAAAATTCAGCAAGCAGGTAGATTTTAAAGAAAATACTCCTTTATGGCATATTAATGTTACAATTTGATATTTTTAAAATTAAATCCAAATATTATGAATGCCTTTCTTACTTTAAAAAAAATTTGAAACAGCAAATTCATTTTTAAAAACTGGCAAAATACATTTTTTTGAAATAAATGAAGATAATTAAATTGGTTGAAACCAAATAAATCTGGAAAAATTCTAGTATGAATGGTTTATTGAAGGCTACCCATATCAAATTTCATAAATAAACACGTTGGTGAGAAATTCTAGTAGGTCGGACGCCCTCGTCCGGCGGCGATGCTTTGCGGGCCGCGATTCGGATTCGCGCCGACGTTCTGCTGTTGCTGTTGCGCCATTTGACTGATGTCGGGCTGATCGTTGAACGGCAATCCGAATTCGCCGGCCTTCTTGCAATCGCCGTTTCGGCCAATGTACAACACCAAACTGCCTTGATAGATTTGCGTGTGGGCTCCGCGGATTTTCAGAATGTCGCCGGCTCGCCACGTCTCGTTGAAATCGGGATTCATTATTGTGCAGTTGATTGTGCCTGGAATTGAAAGACAAAATCGTATAAATATTAGTATCGTCAAAGAGGGACAAATTTGAGTTGCGATTTTAGAAACATTTGAATTGCCGCCTTGGGTCTCGTACGGAAAAACAACGAGTTTTGTTCAATTTTACCAACACAATGATTTTTTAAAAGTATGTCCAATTTTCAGAATATGAGCCCATTTTATTTTAAGGAAACAATTAATTGGCAGTCGGCGCGATTCAAAATTTTACGAAATCCGAAATTCAATTTTTGATAATTTCAAATGAAATTAATTTGGAATTTATTCGGTCATTTTGATAATTAGCCTCCAAATTATTTTTTTTTTCAATCGAAAAGCATTAAATTCTCGAAATCTTTAATTTCCGACGATTTTGAACTTTTCAGAATTTTTTTTTAATTTCAGTTATTAGAGCTTTTTAAAATTTCAAACTTTAGAATTTCGATCGAAAAATCAAAATATCAGAATTTTACCACAAATTTACCTGACGCATCGGCAATCCGCATAGTTAAAACCGATCCAGTTGCTGTTCGTCGAATATTTCCTTCAAAACATCACATTTACTATTCAAACTTCCTTTTTTTATATGAAAAACCTGGATCCAGGACAATTACTGTTGCATTAATCCCGCTGGAAGTTTGCAGACAATGAATTAATGGGGTTTCTGCCATCTGCAATTTATCGATTTTTCTTTTCTATTCCATAATTTATGTTAGTTTTTGTTATAAAATCAAAATTCAAGCGTTATTAGTGAGATAAAATTATTAATATATTCCTTTTTTAGAAAATCGATGATATCCAATGGCCGAAATGAGCCGTGAACTTCGGCCGTGGCGAAATATGTGAAACTGTGCCGCGGCGTTGCGCGACGCGTGGCCACGCCCATATTGCCACGCCGCGCTTGTTTGAATATTCGAATATTGTTGTGGTCCGGTTTTGAGCTGTGCGCTCCCCATTTTTTGGTTTTTGTATTCCTTATTTGTCTTTAATCGGATTTTAGATATTTTAAAGATAATTATTCGTTACATACGATTATACCGTATAGAATATCACAATTGTGATTTTTTGAAAAATATCTACCGATTTTCAGAATGTCTTATGGTGACGGATTGTCCGGAGCCGAATATTTGGCTTCCATTTATGGAACAGAAAAAGATAAAGTCAACTGCTCATTTTTCTTCAAGGTAAATTTGGAACACTTCATGATTTGTTCATAAATTCGGATTTTTAGACTGGAGCATGCAGGCACGGTGATAAATGCTCGCGAGCTCACCATACGCCAACCTTCTCGCCAACTGTTGTCTTAAAGAACTTCTATCATAATCCGGTCGTCGATGTTCGACAAGCAGATGCTTTTGACAGTAAGCATTTTATCGATTTTTTTTCAATTATTTAATTTTCCATTTTCTTTCCAGAGGTCGGAAAGAAGAACACCGAGGAGCAAAATTATTTCGATGACTTCTATGAGGAGGTTTTCGTCGAAATGGAGAGAAAGTATGGTGAAGTCGAGGAAATCAACGTCTGCGAGAATATCGGAGAACACATGGTCGGCAACGTCTACGTGAAGTTCGTCCGTGAAGAGGACGCTGAGAAGGCGAAGAACGATTTGAACAATAGATGGTGAGTATAAAAGGTGCAAATGGTGGCGTCATCCATAGGTGACATATCGGCAATGTGGTAAACTGCTAAATTAGGAAGTAAAGGGTTCAGGGTTCAATCCCAGCCCTTATTACGCAATGACGAGATCGTGCCACTGTAGGGCTTCATCGGGAGGCCTAAATGAAGAGATTGAGGCACAGGGGCCATCTGAGCGTATTTTTGCACTTCAATGATGTGTTGCTTAGAGATTTTCTGAAATTTTGTCCATTACTGAAAATATTTTCAGGTTCAACGGACAACCAATTTATGCTGAATTGTGTCCGGTCACCGATTTCCGTGAGTCGCGTTGCCGTCAGCACGAAGTGACGACATGCAGCAAAGGCGGATTCTGCAACTTTATGCACTTGAAAGCAATTTCGTCAGATTTAGGAGATCGGCTATACGGAAGAAAGGGAAGACGGTAGGATTATTCCAGTTCTGAAAGTTTTCCGAATCTTAAAAAAATGTCTTCAGAGCTGATTCTGCTGGTCATTACCCGTCACAACGCGGTGGTGGCGGCTATGGCGGAGGTTATGGTGGAGGACGTGATCGCGATCGTGGAGGTTGGGGAGGCGGTGGTGGCCGAGGATATGGCGGAGGCGGTGGCGGATACCGTCGTAGAAGCAGAAGTCGCGATCGTAGACGATATTAATTTAATTTTTAAAAATCCAATTGATCTTTGTTGTCCATTTTTTATCTGTTTACATCTTACAAGAAATTCCACTGTTCTTCTTTTGGTTAAGATTAATGAATTCGAAAATAATTGCGGTTTTCGCTTTATAATTAAATTATTCAAACGAAAATGCTGTTAATTATTATTTTTGCTGAATTCAGTGTGATTTTCAACACTTCTTTACCTATAATTTTTTCAATCGTCTTTTTTTTCAACTTTTACCCTATTTTTGCACAGATGGCTCTCAACACGAATTTTCCGCATAATCGTAAACGAACGCTGTATGTTGGCGGTTTCTCGGAAGAGGTCAACGAGAAGGTGCTGATGGCGGCGTTTATCACATTCGGCGACGTCGTCGCGATTTCGATTCCCATGGATTATGAGACGGGCAAGCATCGAGGATTTGGGTGAGAAGACATTCTTTGTTGTTTGTTTGTTTGAAGAAAGCGACACGTCTACGTGATTGTGACGTGGAAGTCATTTTTCTTTTCAAAAAATTTCGATTTTACGATTTTCAGCTTCGTTGAGTATGATTCTGCCGAAGATGCGGCGGCAGCAATTGATAATATGAACGAAAGTGAGCTTTTCGGCAAAACAATCAGGTAATTTTATAATGTATTTGAAGGGCACTTGGCGAAATCGGTCAATTTCGCACATTTGGGTGCAAAATTGTCACATTTGAAAGAAAGAGACGCCAAATCATTTAATTGTTTCCGAATAATTGCCCGTAATATTTCCAGAGTCAACTTTGCTCGTCCGCCAAAAGCTACTGAACGATCGCAGAAGCCTGTGTGGGCTGATGATGAATGGCTGAAACGATATGGGCGTGGAGGAGCGGCCGACGAATCGGAAGAGGTTGATGAGAATGGCGACGTCGTTGAAAGATCTGAAGGCAACGCGCAAGTCCTTCCGCGCGTCTATCTTGGCGTGAAAATTGGCATTCGCTATATCGGGCGGATTATAATTGAATTGCGAAGCGACGTGGTGCCGAAGACCGCCGAGAACTTTAGATGTCTTTGCACCGGCGAACGAGGATTTGGCTATGAGGGATCGACGTTCCATCGGATCATTCCCAAATTCATGCTTCAAGGTGGCGATTTTACGAAGGGCGATGGAACGGGAGGCAAATCGATTTATGGTCCGAAGTTTGAGGATGAGAATTTTACGGTAGGTCGAAAGGAAACCCAGATTTTCTTTTAGTATTTTGATTGAAAAAAATTTTAGAAGCGATTATTCTGATAATACTTCCACTTTGTTTTTTTTTTTTGCAGCTGCGACACACGATGCCTGGAACGGTATCGATGGCGAATTGTGGCGCCAACACGAACGGCTCGCAATTTTTCATTTGCACCGAAAAAACGGATTGGCTCGATGGCAAACATGTCGTGTTCGGGCACGTCGTCGAAGGGATGAACATTGTTCGACAAATCGAGCAACAAGGCACACCATCGGGCAAACCGCAAATGGTCGTCAAAATTGTTGAGAGCGGCGAGATTGAGCCGGAGAAGCGGATAGCGGCGAGTCAGCGGGCTGCCAAGAAGGCGGCGCAGGCCACAGAAGCCGCACCAGCTCCGTCAGAACCTGTGGAAGCGGTTTGATGTGTTTTTTCCGAAGCGGGTGCCAATTTCTGTTAAATGATTATATTTTATTTATTGTATTTATTATAAAAATGAGATTTCCAGTTGGTCTTGTTTCATTTTTTTCCCTCTATCACATATTTGGTGTTGATTTCACCTAATTTACCTTTTGAAAATTGAATTTTCTCGCGAATATTTGAATCTAATCCATTATTTAGATGTCGAAAACTGGCGGAAACACCGAACCAATGCCGTTTGTTCGAAAATGGGGAGCGTCGGAGGCGTCGAGTGGCGATTCGTCGACGGTTGCTGCCGGTGCGCCATCAAATTTGGATGCGAAACGCGGTTTCGTTTTTTTGTGTTTTTTTTATTTGAAAATTTGTTTCAGATTTATCGCCACCGCCTCCTCGATCGCGCTCGCGTACTCGTAGCCGAAGTCGCGATCGCGAGCGTGAACGTGATCGTAAGAAGAAGAAGCGTTCGAGATCGAGAGATCGCGATCGTCGCTCGAAATCGCGAGAGCGCCGAAGACGATCGCGTTCGCGTGATCGTAGACGAAGCAGAAGTAGGGATCGTAGACGTGACAGGTATCAATTTGAATATTTAATGAAACCAAAGGAAGAGGGGTTTTTTTTCAGAACACCGCCAAAACCATTGATGGTCCCAAATGATGCGCCCACTACTCGAGAGCCGGTCATCAATCCGCTGATTCGATCGGATCTCGTCGAAGCGGTCCAGAATGGACAATTGCCCGTCGAGCCGTCTGGTCTCGGAACGGTGGTGCCGGTGAATCCGGAAAGAAAGAAGTAACTCATTTGTTGATTGACCCTCCCGAAAAATTGCATTTTGGATATGAAAAAAAAAAGAAGTAATGAGAATTTTGAAATCGGAAAATTGTTTTCAGGGAGCGTCGTAGTCGATGGTCGACAACGAAAAGTTTTGTTCCCGGAATGCCGACGATTTTGCCGTCGAATCTCACCGAAGATCAAAGGACCTCCTATTTGCGTGAGTTTTCTTGCCTATTTTTCTCCCGTCTTTTTTATTCACTTTTTTTTGCCCTTAAATGGTAAGTTTGTTTTTGGTATGTTTGGCTTCCTAGCGGATTTCATTGGGTTCCAGGTTTGTTTGTTTAATTTTTCTCAAAATTTCTTTAAATATATATATTTTTTTCTATACCCCACATTCCCACAATTTTTTGTTTTTGGTATATCATGAATCTAACGTTGGCCCATTTGGGCTCGAAACTTTCAGTTCAACTCGAAATTGAGGACGCGACGAGGAAATTGCGTTTGGGCGATTTTGCGGTACCCGAAGGTCGTGAGAGGCAAGTTTATTCGGTTTTTCATTTCAATTTTTTTTTGCTTGTCTTGTTGCGAAAATTTTGCGTGATTTTTCAACGATTTTTTGCAGATTCGACCCGAATTTTTGTTAGGGAAAATTGCCACACAGTCTCTAATAATAATAATAATGATATATACATATATTTATATATATATATATATATATATATATTTCTGCGACCTAAACTAATCCTCAATCAATTTTTAGCGTTTTAGGTAACATGTGTCGAGACAGACCGGCGTTTGATCACCTACCCCCCATCCCCTTTTAAATATAATCATTATTCGATTATTTTAATCGCCTAAATTGAAAATTTCAGACAATTTTTTTCTCACTTTGGGGGGATTCATATTATTGTGTTTCATTTTTTTTTCTGGCTGAAATTTGTCATTGAACTCATTGTTGGCTTGATTGCAGAAGTCCGTCGCCGGAGCCGATCTATGATGCGAATGGCAAGAGGCTGAACACGAGAGATGTTAGGAAACGTCAGGAGTTGGAGCAGTTGAGGCATGAGAAGATTCAGGCGTTGCTCAAAATCAATCCGGCTTATAAGCCGCCGGCGGATTATAGGTTGGATCGGATTTTTTTTTCACCCTGACAATAAGTTGTATTCATTTTTCCCCTTTAGAGCTCCGAATATTCGACTTAATGATCGCGTTTGGATTCCGCAGGATCAATTTCCGGAGATCAATTTTGTTGGGCTGCTAATTGGCCCACGCGGAAACACGTTGAAGAGTCTTGAGGCGGAAACCGGCGCGAAGATCATCATTCGCGGCAAGGGCTCGATAAAAGAGGGAAAATTGACGAATCGACTTGGGCCGATGCCCGGCGAGAACGAGCCGCTTCACGCGTATGTCACTGGAACCGACATGTCGGTGATCAAGAAGGCGTGCGAGAAGATCCAGCAGGTCATCGCCGAAGCGACAGCGCTTCCCGACAACAATGAGCTGCGCAAATTGCAATTGCGAGAGCTCGCGTTGTTGAATGGAACGTTTAGACCGGAGGATTTGGTCAAGTATGTGGAATTCTTTGGAAATTCATTCAAAAGAAATTTTAAAAAAATCGATGATTTTCAGCGGTGCGCGCTGCTCGAATTGCGGCTCCGACGAGCACAAATCGTGGGATTGTCCGGACGCGCCGAATGTGACGTCGCAGATTCGGTGCACGAATTGCGGCGGTTTTGGGCACATCTCGAAAGATTGCAAAAATCCGAAAGGCATGTACCAGGAGGCTGGAATGGACGACGAGTACTCGGCGCTTATGGCCGAACTCGGCGAGAATCCGAGTATGCGATCATCGGCGCCGATGGGCGACGCGAGCACGACGGCGGGAGCGGCGACGCGCGGACGCGGCGGCGCCTCGAATCGCGGACGAGCGGCGATCAATCCGCGAGAATTGTTCGGTCCGCCGAAGAGCGCCGAAGAGGCGGCGCAGAATCCGGCGCAGGCCGCCATGGCTTCCTATTATGGTAATGAATTGAGAACTCATTGGTTCTCATTGATATCCTTATTTAGAGCAATATCAACAATACGCATATGCGAATCAGTACGCTCAAGCGGCTGGCTACGACGCTTATGGACAGGCGGCGCAAGCGCAACAAGGCTATGACTATAGCGATTTTTATACGAGTCCGGGAGCTCGCGGAGCAGCGAAAAGCAAAGAGTGAGTTGATTTTTTTTAATTGAAATGCCGAACTTGATTTGTGCTTTTCTTAGAAATTGTTGGTGAAGTGTCCGTTATCATTTTTAATTTTCTGTTTAAAGAGGTATGCAGAAAAGATTTTTAAAATATAGGCAAAATTTTTCTGCATTGAATGTTTCTCAATTTTTTCCTTTTTTTTTTTTAATTTCCTCTCTCTCTCTCTCTCTATTACGAAAAAATTCTTCTTTTTTTTATTATTTCGTTTCAGATGGGCTTATGGAGCTTCTGGTTCGATGCCGATGCCGGTTCCGCCGCCGGCTGGTGGTGCAATGGGTGGATTCATGCCGCCGCCACCGCCGCCGCCGCCAATGCCTGGAGCATCGGACTTGTCGCACCTGTTGGCTGCGCCGGCTCCGCCCCCTCCGCCGAGTTGAGCTGCTCGTTCACTTTGTTCTTCTTTCCATATTAAAAAAAAAAGTATTACCATATATTTGGGGGGAGTTGTGAAGGACCAGTTCAGTGTATTTTAATTATTCAAGAAAATCGAACCACCAAGTTTTCATTTTTTTTTTCTTATTAATTTTTATTATTATAATTATTATTACTAGTATTATAAGTGTTTTACCAGTTATGTTGTTTCGATTTCATTTTTGTTTATTTTTTGTGGAATTGATTCTCACTTGTGTTAGAGCAGAAGATATTTTTTTGAAATTAATTTATTTATAATTGTGTTCGTTTCATTTTTTTTTTGAATGGATTCCATGGGATAAACTCGATTTTGAGCAAATTCGGGTTTTTTCGGGCGCTTTTTTGATCGTTTCTTTAACGATTTTATACTCATTTTGAATCGAAGAAATGGCTGACACGAGTTGATCGGGGTTTTAGATGAGTCGGCCTGGTGCATGGGGAAGAGTTGTGTCGAATTTGTGGAAATATGTGAGGAATGATTTTTCGAAGAAGGTTCTCGAAAGTTCTTTATTTGGATATCGTTGTTGAGTTTTTGTAGAATTATATTGCTGAGGACTCGCATGGCAATCGATATTATGAGATAACGAATAGTCGACAGAATGTTGCCAGGTTTCGATTTTCTTCATTTTCGAAAAAAAGATTCAAAGGGAAAATTGGGAACAGTTTTGTAATTGAAGCTTTTCGTTTTTGGGACTTCAATTTTAACGAAGCTCTTCATGAAATGCCTTCGTCTCGTGTGCGCCTTTAAACCCTATTGTTAGATTTGCGCCAAATTTTAGTGTTTTTGGAATTTTTTTCGAATGGGTCGAATCATTTTAACCTAATAAATCCGAAAAGGACCCCCCTTGATTGTGATTGGTCGCCTTGTGTACTGTTTTTTTTGTCGAAAATACGATATTCATTTTTTTTTGCAATCCAAGAATTTCGATCGTTGATTCAATTTTCTCGCATATTTTTTGTGAAATATTGTCGGAATCCAACGACTTGACAAAGTTTAAAAAATTATTGGCTGAGATTGCGTACATTGCATTATAGCGTACGCGCATTTTAAATATTCAGTCAACGATTAATTTAAATTTACACTGTATTCGCGAATTTGAAGGCTCCGCCTCGCTTCAGTCGTTTGACGCCGACAATAATTCTATTTTTTAAAACATTTTGAGTTCAGTTTGATAAATTGATAGATACGGAAATATTTAGAAACGAAATTCGCCGAATTTCCGTAGTTTAAAATCCGGAAGATTTTCGTCAAAATTCGAATCGAATTCAATAATTTTGCCACAATTTTCCAGTCGGAAGCGAATGATTCCGGGTCTGATTCATTTTTCATTGTCAAAATGCATTTCGTCCCACAATTGATCGACGGCCACTGGAAATCTGATAATGCTCGAATCCTGTGTATCCGCAATACTCTTCTGTCATCCTTTCGTCGCAATTCGAATGAAGCGATTGAAATGATTTGAAATTTGGATTTTATTCCGAAAATTGCTGAAATTTTCAAAAAATTCGCATTTTCAAAACTTCAGTAACAAAATTTGCGAATTTTTCTTCAAGTTTCCAATTTAAAAATAATTTTTTTGTTCGGAATTGAATTGAAATTTCCAAAAATAAAATTTGGAGGGTTATAATAAAAATTTTCAGGGGATTCGAGGCGCCGCCGAGCGGACCACGAATCGAGCCCGGAATCGAATGGCAGGCGTGGCTCAGAGGCACACGAAGGTTGGTTGAATCGAATTTGTATGAATTGCTCGCGTTTCGCAGATTTCCACCGTCCGACGACGAGATCGCACTGAATCGAATGAAGCAACAGGTGTGCCTTGAAAATGTTCATGTTGCGTTTGTGTAAAATTGGGGGGCGGGATTCGGCCAAAGGGCACGTAGGAGCCGCGACCGATCGGAATGATGTTGCCGAGTTTGTCGGCGAAAAATATCAATCATTTCACACGTTTTCCGCCAATTTCGTGCTTTTGAAATCAGGTTTTCCATCAAATTCAAGCTGGACATCAATTTGGGACCATTTTAGTTTTTTTTTTTGAAACGATTGACTAAGCGATGAATCATTGAAGGGACCATTTGATGAAATTGGCTGCCCCCCCCAAAAAAATTTGGCAATTTGTTCTTGCCTAGACTGTGGTTTGCGTGTTTGTTTACAAAAAACGTGATCTCTGTTTTAGTTGGTCTAATCGATTGCTTTCGACCCCCCCCCCCCCTCTTCCCTGGTCGTCGTCTGATAACGAAATGATAGTTTTTTGAACTGTTTGAACTCGCATTTCTCTTTTTTTTTCCACTTGACTGAAAAATTTTCGCGAAAAAATGTGGCAAATTTTGTTGAACTATCCAGTTTTTTGAAAATTTGCTGAAATTCTCAATTTTTAAAATTTTTTTGAAAAATCTCAATTTTTGAAATTTTGTTGAAAATTATAGTTTTTTGAAATTTTGTTGAAAATTCCAGTTTTTTGAAAATTTGCTGAAAATCTCAATTTTTGAAATTTTGTTGAAAATTCCAGTTTTTGAAGGTCATGCGTCTTTAAACTTTTGTGCGTTTATGCTTTTTTTGTACGGATGATCGCGCGTAGAAATCCGAATGCCAGAAAAAAAAATTTTGAATCCCCTAAAACCTCAAAAATTGACGAACTCGAATATTGTAGGCGCAAATTGCACAAGATGCTCATACCGAGAAGCGGGCGCCGTTGGTGAGCTCGCAAGGCATTGGCGCCGGCGATCATCACCCTCAAAAGTTTGTCACCCAACATTTTTTTTTGCTCCTCAAAAAATTGGCAATGCCAGTGTGTTTTTTTTTGTTTTTTTTTTTAGATTCCCGAAATATGAGGATTTGGAGATTTCGCCTGGCGCGCAAGACGGACCAACCAATAATAAGAAATGAGTCTCGATTGGAAATTTTTAGAATTGATTGTCAGGAATTAGATGAAGCTTTTTTGTTTCAGCCGACTTTTTCTTGGATTTTTTTTTGCGAACACGTTTTACTGTTGCGACATTGCCGTTTTTGCCTTCGTCCTTCTCATTCGTGTGTTCTTTTTTCTTTTTCTTTTTGAACTTTTAGAGCGATGCCCGGATTGCAGAAGATTCTCAATGGTGTCATTCGATTTCGGCAGACGGTTCGCAATGATTTGGTTCGTCGCGAGAGTCCCGCCATTAACATTGTGTGCGCCTTTAAACAACGCGGTTTTAGGTGAAGCAATTTGAGCGGATTCGCGACAATCCGCATCCGACGGCCGTGTTCTTCACGTGTATGGATTCGAGAATGTTGCCGGCGAGGTGAGATGGTTGTTAAAGGCGCATGGCGCGAATTTTTCAATTGAGAAGAAAAAAAAATATTTTGAGCAAAGCGCTCAGCGTTGTTTTGTTGCAGAATCACGTCGAGCCAAGTTGGCGACATGTTTGTTGTCCGAAACTCGGGCAACATGATTCCGCACGCCAACAACTACGGATCGTCCGGATTCGAGGTGTCGGTCACCACCGAACCGGCGGCGCTTGAATTGGCGGTGAAGCGTGGCAAAATCAATCATGTCATTGTTTGCGGACACTCGGATTGCAAGGTGCGCATTTTTCTTTTGGTCTTGCAATGATCCCATTGTTGATGCGCCGATTATCAGGCGATCAACACACTCTACAATCTTCACAAATGCCCGAAATCGTTCGATCCCGAATCGCCGATGGACCATTGGCTTCGTCGGCACGGCTACACGTCGATTCGGAAGCTCGAGCAGCGATTGGCCGATGCGACGGCGGGACCGATTCAGTTTGTTAGCGATAATCCGATATTTTCGTGAGTTTCGAAAAACGTTTTGTCAGCGAACGCAAAAAATGGACGGACAGAATTTTGTTTCTTTTTTTTTCGAGAAATTCCAATTTTTCTTGAATGAAACCAATTGGTTGTTGAAAATTGCGAGAATCATCAACGTTCAGCGTTGGATTTTTCAAAATCCAATCTGAAAAAAAATGAATTACAGCAATTTTAAGAAAAGAATTCGGTTTTTTGAAATTTTTGCCAAAAAAAAACTCGGCCGTCTAATTCGCAATGGAGCGCACTTGCACCGCAATTGTATTTCGTCAAAAAAAAATCAGAAAAAATTATTTATTCTCAAATAAATGATGATTTAATTCTCAGGTAAATGAAAATCAATCGAATTTTAAGAAAAATGAAATATAAATTAACCTGATTCGATTATCAAATAATTAAAATTCGATTTGAAAAATTGGTTTCGATTCAAAAATCTTCAAAATCGATTTAATTATTTCTCAATTTCAATTTTGAAATCGAATTCGATTGAAATTCTTGAATAATTCGAAACAGATTGATTTATTTTCGATTTCGATTGAAAACGAAATTATTTTCGAATCCGATTAATTTTCATTTACCTGAGTTTTTAGGATTTTTAACAGAACACCTAAAATATGAAGAATTTCAGATTTTCGGCTATCATCGACCCCGAGAATAAGCTTAATGTTGAGGATAAACTCTCACAGATCAACACACTTCAACAATTGGAGAATGTTGCGAGTCATGGCTTCTTAAAGGTTCGCATTTTCGCTCAATGCGCCTTTAAATTTGTTTTAGGAGTTCCTTGAAAGCCAACAAGTCGATTTACACGCAATGTGGTTTGATATTTATACAGGTTTTTCGATTTCTATTTCAATTTTGATATTGCATTTTTTCTTTTAGGTGAAATGCACATGTTCAGCAAAGAGAACAAACAGTTTGTGCTTGTGAATGAAGAAACTGTCGAGAAATTGATTGATGAAGTCGAAAAATAGTCAAATTTTGTATATAGATTGCTCAAATTGCCATAAATCTTGCATTTTTCTTGGTTTTTGTTTTTTTTTAATTGAATTTTCTCAAAATTTCGGTTGAATTTGACCTTTTTACTTGAAATGTGTTTGGAAAAAGACGAATCGCATGTAATTTAGGGTAGAAATGGTTGTGGGAACGGTTTTCCGTCGATTCGTCTCCAGTCAGGCGTCAGCTTTGACGAAACGCAAGCGATTTTATAAGGTAATTCGATTTGAAGAATGGAAAAACGGAATTTTTTGAAGATTGAGGCAAAAATGAATGAATATTTAAAAAATAATTGATTTTTAATCCCGAATTTGCCTATTCAACGTATTTTTGAACTTTTTATTGAAGAAAAATTCCAGAAATCTTCAAAATCAAATATTTAGAAGCAGAAAACAACGATTTCACTACAATTCTTCAAAAAACCACGAAAATATAAATAAAAAACTCGAATATTTGATTCAGAAATTGTCAGATGTTGTGAATTTCCACTAAAAACGACTTTTGATAGAAAAAAAATAATGAAAATCGAATTTTGGCGGAGAAAATTGATAATAATTTGATTTCATGTTTCACTCGAATCAGATTAATCAAAAATCAATTGATATAGTGGGATTGGTGAAATAAAAACTCAGACAAATCAAATAAAATATTTTGAGAATCAAATATTCAATAATAAACTCTAAAATATTTTGAGAAATTCTAAAACTTATTGAGAATCGCTAAACTTAAAAATACTTTTTTTAGTCTTAAAAGATTTTCTAAAGTTTATTGAGCAAATTCTAAATTATCTCGATAAATTCTAAAATCTTTTAATATAAATTTCTAAAATTGATTGAGAAAAATTTAAAATATTATAGAGGACACGTTAGTTTCTCATTGAATCTTAAAATATTTTATTTGATTTAACTGAGAATAGGTAAAATTTGAAATTTTTGCGCCAATTTTCCGGAGGGCAAAAATGTGCGATTTGTTTTTTTTTTTTTTTGAGAAGAAATTGCCCACAATTTGTTTTTAGGAAGTTTCGATTGTGAACGAATCCGAGGCGAATGGCGAGCAAATCCACAAAATCACTCTCGACGGGAAAACTCTCAAAACGCAAGGCGGCTCGATTTTAAAGGTACATCATAGTAGTGCATCGAAGAGCAATGTTTTATTCCACACAAATTATTAAACAACAAAAACCGGTTTTGCGATGAGGGTTTGGGCGGAATCTTCGAGTTGGGCGGCCTCCTGAAAATGACTTTCTTTTTGGTGGGATTCTATAAAAAAGACGTTACCGATTTGATGGTCCGCAGTGAGGATTTGCTGGATTTTCGCGACGAGAATCGAGATATCACGTCGGAATCGATTCGTCGGCACAAGAGGAACAGCAAAAAGAGAAACTGGAAATTGATTGGGTTGTGCTTCAATTGCTGGCCAGTGTTTGGGAGATTTTCGCAATTTTTGGGTCTTGGCGAATTGCCAAATACGTTGCGTGCGCCTTTAATTTGAATGTCGAAAATTGATTGAACGATGGGCACATGAAAAAAGCGGTCAATTTTTGAAATCCCCACGAATATCTCGTCTCTCGGTATTACTGTAGAAATCTCGTGTCGAAAGCCTAAGCCACTCACCGCTGCGAAAAAGACGGCGATCAATGCAATCACGCCGACATTGTGCACAGACATGATTCAATCGAATCGGCGTGTTCGCATTACGCCCGACTGATAACGCCAAAAATGGTACGATTTTTAAAAGTCGAAACAAATAATCGAATGAGGAGTTGTGTGCTGTTTGGTTTGCTCGCGTCTTGTTGTCCCATGGCCGATCGATTCGAACTCGTTTTGCCGCGCCGCCCGCCGCCGCCGACATTTGCATATCAAACATGGCTAGGCCACGCCCATTTTTGGAGTTGTACGCGTTTTGCATTCGATCGGAAGTATTGTTGGGTGTAGGCTACGACTCTGTGTTAATATTGTATAGTCGGCGTTCAGCGACTCGGGTAGATTTACGTGCCTGTGTGTTTCGCTTGGGTCTCGCACGGACTAGCTCTTTATTTTGCATCATTCGAGATATATAAAGTATTCAAGAAAATGATAATCTCATCGAGAATTATTAGAGATTTCTTGGGACAACTAAACAATAAGCGCGGCGAGACCATTTCGAAAGGCGCGCATCCCGTACTGTCTGAAATTATCTCAATATGGTATTAGCAACGATTAGATTTTTTTTGTCCGCAATCGGTCTTGAACAAAATAGATACTAAGTTAAAAAAAATAGAAAAAATAATTTCTAATTATGCTATCACTAGCGTACCGGAAATTGAGCACAAGAAAATATTTCAAAAAAAAAATCGATTAAAACAATGACGAAATACTCGAAACTCTGTATATGCGCGTCAACTCGTGTGTCTCTGTGTGCAAACACCGTAGTGTCTACCGTATACACCGTCGAATTAATGAACGTGTTTTCGGCATCTTATAGTAGTTAAGGAATCAAAAATCGGAAAATTCAACAAAAAAAAGTTGTTTTAGAAAATCATGAAATTGTGCATATTAGATATGAAATCACTGATTCTTAGATACACTCGTATCCGTTGGCACTGGCGATTGCCGAGGAATGGGCGTCACAGAATGAATACCTGCAGTTGGGACAAATGCGCCTCACCGGACTCGCGTTCACCGCGCAGGATAATCCACTTCAACAGTCGACGTGAGTCGAAGAAAAAAAAATGAATAATTGAAGATTGGTCAAAAAATGAGAAATTTTGAATTTTTTGCGTTCGGAATTTTTTTTCAAAATTTTAAAAACTTCCTTTGTGTCAAAATATTTTGGAATTGAGCGTTTCGAATTGAACAAAATTCAATTTTGAGAGACTATGAAATTTTTAAGCCAAAGAATTTTGCGAATTTCTCGATTCTGAAGGGCAAATTCGAAATTGCGCTCTCAAAATTTGGGGTTGTTGCAGCGAATCGATCACCAACAAGGTGATCGATTACGTCGACGGCGACACGGTGTTGTTCTTCAACGCGGACAACGAGAAGCTTCACAAATATCAAACCGAAAAATGGACACCCCTTATTCGGAATATCAATGAGGATTTGGGCATCAACATTCGGCCGAGTGAATCGATTTTGGGTTCGTCTGTCATTTATTTCTATGCTAATGTACGAAATAGTAATATTCTCAAAATTGAAAATTAACCCAAAAATAGGTTTTGAAACAGTGAAACACAATTTTCGAAATTTCTTCTTCTTTCTTTTTTTTTCTGGTCAACTCTCGTCATTTTCAGATTGCGACGTCGCTTCCGACGACGACAGAACGAAAATCGAGCGCTGGGTTCGCCAGCACAATCTGCCGGCTCTCATCGGTCTTCAGTACGCCACCGAATCGGTGAAATCGTTTCTGATCGCCTACAACGCGATTCGTCATCATATCACCGCTGAGGCGGCCGTCGACGCCGCCACTCTCGAGCAAGTCACCCAATCCGAAACGTGGGGCTCCGTCGAATGGAGTCACGGCATCGATCGACAGGAGCTGCTCTCTCGTCTCACCGCCGCGTGCCTCTTCTTCTATTTCCATTCGAACAATCAAATCGAGAAGACCGTCGGTAAATTGAGCGCCTTTAATTAGTCTAATTAAGAACATCAAAAAACCAATAGTAATTATTATATGTCTAGTAATAAACACTCCGTAATGTTTTATGATGTGCAACAAATAACAAAATGAGTTCGAAAACGAATGAAAATAAAAGAACCCGAGAAAGGTAAAGAGAGATGGTTTAAAACGAAAATAAATTAGATTCCAAAAAAAAGAAGAATGAAGATAAAAGGCGAAAGAGGCAGTTTCGGAGAGTTTTACAAGAAATCCGACATGTAAAACTGTTACAAAATTTCGTCAATAAAATTAGAATACAACAGAATTCCACTATTCTGTCTTCTTTTTGCTCATTCGCGTCCATTCGATGAGTGTCGCTGGCGAGCGGAACAAGAATATCAATTTGGCGAACAGGTCCTACAAAACGAAATGGCGATTGTGATTCGAACAATTTGCTGTCGTACCTGTTCCAGCATGAAATCTTTGGCCTCGCGCACAAGATAAATGTCGAGGCAGATTTTGAGTAGATGATCGGCGTTCGGGAACTCCGTGAACATCACCGTGCTCGGCGACGTCGTGAATATACCGCGAACGAGACCTTACAATTGGATGGCACGATTAGACTGGACATCAACGAGCAATCAACATACCACGACCGACGAGGAAGATGACCGACGCGTACATCGCAATCACGCCGCCTTTGAACACTTTGGCGAGAAGCGACGGGAACGCGCGGTCGACGAAGCCGATGACCTGCACGTATGGGCGATTCGAGTACGACGTGTCTTCGGTGGGAATCCAAATCGGATCCGACGCGTTGCTCGGATGTTGAAGTTTCGCCACCCAGATTCGCTACAATTCATCGTGTTTTTCTTTCTTTTTTTCAATTTCGAAAATTTTCCCAAATCAAAATCCGTCATCGAAGAAAAAATTTGCAAAAAGCATTTTTTAAAAGAGTATTCATTAAAAGTAAAAACATTTGTGCAAATTTGCGTGCTGATGAATGCACATCTTTCGAATTCTTCAAAACTACACCATAGTTGATTTCTTGTTAATCTCTCATTTCTCAAACTTTTGAAAAAAAAACGAGTTCTTTCAATTTTGACCATTTCCGGTTCACCCCAAACCCCTCTTCTCGATCCTACCGAATTCGGCGCGGTGCCATTCTCCAAACCGAGTTGAATCGTGTCGAACCACGCCGTCTGCCGTTGCGAGTACGACAACGATGTCTTGTTGAACTCATCCGTCTGCGAATTCTCGACAATCGAGTTTCCGATCGGCGTCGGAATCGACAATTCGCCTTGATTCGGCACTTGAATATAGGCGGGTATCGCATTTTTGATGACAATCTGCAATTTTTTGACGTAAACGCCAGACAGCACTGGAATGAATCTTCTAAATGACCATCAAAATCAATTTCAATAATCTAGATAGAGCAAAAGATCCTCAGGCGGTATGTACAATCGAGCGCGTTTGCTACAGCGATTCGATTTCGCCCCCACTCAGACTGACTAACCGGTTTGGTGCTGGCACCCTTCAACGCCGATATGATATCATTCCGAACTGACTGATTCTGAGCAATCGGAATGAGCCAACTCTTCGAGTGCTTCAACGCCGTGTTCTCATTCGGATCATACGGCCGCGTGAATTCGAGAAGCACTTCGAAATTGACATGTGTCGCGTCGTCGCTCAATTTCTCGCTGAAATCATTAATTGGCCAATTATAAACGTCGATCATTCATTGTTGCGCTCACATCATCGCATTGATCGAATCCTGCGAAATCGGCCAGTAGACTTCAGATTCCGGACGGAAGCGGACCATCTAAAAGTTTTTATGAAATAATTTTGAAAAAAAAAAAGTAGAAATTTCTCCAAATTTTCTGCCATTTCACAAATTTCTCACCAAAATATCCTCATAAGTATATCCTTTCATATAAGAAATGGCAGTTCTCGAACGCAAAATCGAATCCGAATCTTTTCCGATGTATCGATCCGTAATCGCTCGATTGAAATCCTTCAATTGCTCTTGCGTGATCAATTTCAGCTCCTTATTATCATGATTTCGTCCTTGGGCTTCCATTTGATAGAGTGACTGAAATTAAAAAAAAATAGAATTGAATGAATTTCTTAAAATAGAAAATAAAAACAATTAAAATTGCAAATCGACAAAAAAAAACGATTTTTTCTTTAATTTTTAAAACCTTTTTTCAGGATTTCTCAAAAAAAATTTTTTCAGCCAAAAAAACCATACTATTGATTCTCGACAATTATTCGAAACAAAAATCGACCCCGCTTACCGGATATCCTTCAATCGAAATACTAAGCGTGACTTTCTCCGGCATACTAATCGTTCCAATCTGATTGAGAAGCGACCATAGAAGAAGCGGCGACCAAATGAACACGACGACGCCAATGATGATCGGAAAGCCCATCATGTATTTCACCAATTTGCCTTTGGCGATGCCACGTGGCGCCGGATAGGCCGCCTCGAATTGTCGCGCGCATTTGATATTGAAAATGTGCGCGTAGAAGTTCTCCATGTTGAAGAAGTCGAACAACGGCATCGATGTGTCGGTCCACGTCCAGTCGATAGTCGTCCGAAGCTCGAAAAGGAACGGAATGTTCATGAATCTGTAATTTAAGCTAATTGTCCGCAGACATGATTTAAACAAATATTTTCATCAAATTAAATTCCAAATTTTGTGATTGTTCGTTCAAATTTCGACGCAAAATCGAATTTCTTCGAAAATCGCCGCCCACACAAACAGAAGGTATCGGAGGAACTTGAAATGGTCCCAAAAAATTGAAAATCCAACAACCCACATTTTGAACGCAATCATATTGATCATTCCGTACGAGTGCGTCAGCAGATTGCCAATACACAATTCCGGATAGCCATTGCGAATCTGCCAGGCCGACACCAAAAGATAGCACGATTTGATGACATAGAACGCCTGGGCGACTTTGTTCGTGATCGCCGCGCGTCGCGTCATGTCCGGCAGAAGCAAAAAGATCCAGACGTGAAGGAAGCTGATGAGGATGATCTGATAGATCAGTTTGCCAACCACCGACTTCCTCAAGTACAACGCGCGGTCGACAATGATTGCGAACGTCATTCCGACAAGCATGACGACCAGCGTGACAGGAATTCGGCTAGCCTTCACATCGTCCAAAACATTTCCCGAGCCACCTTCGCCGAACGCCGAATAGCCGAACGTCATGATCAAGAAGCATATCACGTCGATGCCGAACATGATCGGATAGAGGTCCCTAAAAAAGAAAATCAAATTTTTGAAAACTCCGAAAACAAAAATTACCTGATATAGCGGAATTTCGGATTGAATAGCTGCGAGATGAATTTGCCGATCGGTCCCTTCTCGGGCTCCGGCGGCACAGCGGTCACCTCGACCGGCGAGCTCGGTCCCTCATCGTTTTGCGTCGCCTCAACCTCGGGCTCATTGGTGGCGGCGGCCGCCTTCTCGCCGCCGGCACCGCGACGAGCCGGCGACGCCGTCTCCGATTCGGATTTGATGAACGTCTCGGTCATGTTCGCGTCTTTCCACAATCCCAATTTTCGCAGCATATAGCGATGGAAGAACAACGAGAACAGCAAGATGATGTCCCAAATCGCAAAGTATTCCCGTTTGCCGATGCCAAACAATTTGTCGAGCGACATCGGATTGAGACCCTCCGACGTTTGGTATTCGGTCGAATTGAACGGGAAAAACGAGAATTGGCACACAAATTTGAGAACAATCTGAAAATGGCGAATCACAACACAAAATAAAGCAGAAGGAGAAGAAGAAAAACGCGTACCACAAACTCGGTGTAGGTGATCATCGTCACCCAGAAGAATTTGCTCGGTCGCGGATTCGACAGATTGCCCCAGAAGAGCGACATCAACGGAAGCGGCATCGTGATGAGACCGCCCGTCATCACTTGCGTCATGATGGCGAAGAAATAGCAGAGAATGTCGGTGTGCGCTACGATGCAGTTGACCATCGCGTTGATGAATCGCATCGTCGACGACTTCTTCATCCAATCCACAGTCACCTCGGTTTCCATTCTAAACGAAACAATCGAAATTCTATGGACCACAAAGTATTTCCTACTTTTCAACATCGGTTTCCGAGTTGACCAATTGCAAATTCGGCAAATCCACTTCACTTCTCAAATCCGTCAACTTTCTGCTCGTGTTCGTCAACGACTCGCCATGCGCCGCCTTCAGCTTCTCCTTCTCCTTATTGAGTACATAGCTGACGTAGCGATGCTCTCGACACAATCGATTCATGAGAACGCTGGCCATGTCGAGCGCCGACGACGTCATCTTCTGAACAAACTTGATGGCCGCCTCGAGTTTCGATTCCGGCTCCGGCTCGGGCACATCAATGTCGAGCTCGTCGTCGTCGTCGCCGCCGCCCTTCATGCGACCCATGTCGGGCTCGGAGACCGCCACCAGCGCTCGATCGTCGGCGTCCTTGATCTGATCGCCCTTTTTGACTTGCGCCACCGTTTTGGCGAGATCCAAATCGTGCGCCGTCGCCGCGTACATAATTTGTCCAGGATCGAGCCGATTGTACTCGATGTCGGTCGGATCCATTTCCGGCACGAAGCTCTCGATCGGCTCGACGAGATCATCGTTCTCCGGATCATATTTGAACATGTAATAGTCGCCGCCGCGTTTCGCTGCAACAAAATTCGATTCAAAAAAATGTAAAAAAATAAAATAAAATGATAATAAAATTTAGCCAAATTATAAATGATATAACTGAAAATGGAACATTTCTTCAATGGGCATGCTTCTGATTAGTCGCAGCTGCAGCTTCAACGGCAGGGTTGGCGTTGATTAAAGTGCCCGAAAAAACAATCGAGGGAAAGTCAACCAAAAAAAGAAAACAATGGAGATGCGGTTATTGTTCGGCATTTTTGGTTTTAATTGGCAAGGATTTCGTCAGGTGGCGTCGGCGGGCTCGCGGAGCTCCAAAATTTTGATATTTCGTTGAAATTTTCTCATATGCTTTTTTTGATAACCTAATTTAGATAATTAATTTTTTTTACATTAATTTCAGTTTAATCTTCACATTCTTCAAAAAAAAAACAAAATCAATTTCCAGCTCAGATGTCTGCTAAAAAAAATAATGTATACAATTTCTCAAAAATCAGATTTTCAGAATAGAAAACGCCGAATAAGCAAAATGCTCAAAATGCAAAAAAAAGAAAACTGGAATTTAAGCCATGTTCTAGAAAAATGGAAAATTAAAGCAAAAATCTTAGCAAAAAAAACCCGAAAAATTGGAATTGAAAAATTCTCAAAAATTCGTCAATCCGCCGAATTCCCGCCAAAAAAAAAGAAAAACAAAAAATCAAAATAAATTGGGCAAAAAATTCACAAAACAAAACCAGAAGGGTTGTTTTTGTTTGTTTGTTTGTTTAATTGATTTCAACCAACAAACCCATCGGCGAGTTGCAAATATCATAATACGGAAACGGATCGTCCGGCGAGAAGTAACCTGCACCCAAAAATAAGTGTCAACGGAAAACCAAAAGGAAAAAAAAAGACAATTGAGAAATGGAATGGAATCTCAGTGTCCCGGAAAAAAAAGAATGTATCAAAATGTCATTCCAAAAAGGAAAAAAAGGAAAAACCCTGATTCTAGTGGTCCCACAACACTCCCAAAATTTCTTAAAAAAAAACTATTCGGGAAATAAATTGAGGGACTGCAAATCGATCATGATCATTCATACCTGTTCCATACGTCTTTGGCTCGAGTGCCGCTTCCATTCCATTTTCAATCTGCTTCTGGTACCTATAAGAAATGATTATAAGCTGATCCAGCAAACGAGGTGCCCTCTAGGCTCTCCCCCACATACTACGAGGTATCTGAGACAAGAACTACAAGATCATCTGGGAGAAGAACTCCAGCTTCATTAATTTGCTCTAGCGCATCCGATCGATAAAATTCTAAATTACCCAATTCTGGAGACTCAAGGTTATACAGGGTGTCATTTAAGTTCCCGCACAACTTTGAAGACGTATATTTCTGAAACTAAAAGTCCAAATCAAACGAGACTCAAAATATTATTTATCTATAGTACAACAAATAATTATCTATTAACTCTTTTCGATTCGGCCTCCTTTCGCAGCTATGACTTCACGGAGACGCTTCGGGTAGGATGTGACTGTGGTACGCAGGTATTCGATGGAAAGATTGTCCCACTCCGCCAGTAATGTCCTCTTCAGAGCCTCTACACTTGAGTGGGGTTTTGCGTTGACCTTCTCCTGCAAGACCCTATCACGGAAAAGTCAAGCGGTTTCAGATCTGTGGAGCAATCAGGCCATTCGGATGACTTGATGAAGTCGGGAAAATGGGTCTGGCACCACTCCTGAGTAGTTTTGGCAGTGTGGGCGGGTGCTCCGTCCCGCTGAAAGACCCATATCTGCCCACCGAAATGCGTTTGGGTCCAGGGCATCACATGCTTCTCCAAAATGTCCCGAACGTAGACTTCTTTGTTCATTTTCACTCCCTGATCCACGAAATCCTGGGGGCACATCCCGGTTGAGCAGATGGCCCCGAAAACCATCACACTGGCAGGATGTGAGGCTCGATTAATTGTTTTTCCTTTCTCAGAAGCTTGCTGGGATGTCTGGGCAAGTACTCAATGGTTTTGTGAGTAGAATGCCGTCTCCACAGTGAATAGCTTCTCGTCGGAGAAGACAGTGACGAGATCTTGTCCAGACCGCGTGCGAGCAAGAAGTCGTTTTGCTTTTTCGAAGCGTCTCTGCTTGTTGACGGCCGATAGAATTGCCGCTTTTTGGACACGATATGGGGTCAGTACAAGCTTCGTTTTGACGATTTGTTCCAAAGCGAAGATGCTCATTCCCATGTCTGACGCTATCTTTCTCATGCTCCTGTGGGGGTTTCGGCTGATCCTCGATTTGACGGCGTTGATCTTCTGAGGAGTGGTTACTGAGACGAGTCTTCCTTGTCTGGGACGGTCACTGGTCGTATTTAGCTCCTTGAATCGTTTGATGGTGTCATAAACCGTTCTACAAGGCACACCGACCCGTTGAATGATGTCTCTCGGGCTCACATTTTGCTTATGAAGTTCGATAATGGAAGCGCGATGGATGTTAGCCTTCGCCGTTTCTCGGAAGCACATCCGAATGAGGTGAAACTTGGAAAGTAAGTAAAATATACCTTGTTCAATAAAAATAAATTGTATTGGTGTACGAAAAGTGCGTTAGCGAAGCTCTACATGGCGTCAAACTTTTGTGCGGGAACTTAAATGACACCCTGTAATCTCCGATTCTACTGAACACTATGAGCTCTAGTAAAACCTAGTACAGCTCGAAATCTAGAACTTGAGCTTCATCTTAGTTTTTTTATTCGAGATCCTAGTGCAGCTCAACATCTAGCTCAAGATTCCCCGCGGCAAAGTGTGCCTCAATCTCATGCTTCATTTCTCGAACACTCACCTCTCGCGAATCGCTTCCGTCCGTCGGCGAATCTCATTGAATTTCGCCTTCTGCTGCTCATTCTGCTCCTTCATCTCCTTCTCAACCAACTGATTCTTGAGAATCGCACCTCTGAATTCAATCAGCATGAGCTCATCTCGATTGCGTTCAAGTCAAATCACGAACCTGCTCGCCAGAATCACCTCACATCTATATTCCATCATACAATGCTGGAAGTACCACGAATGGAAGATGCGCCGCTGGAATATCAAAAACGCCAACGCGATGACGTCGTAGCCGATGCGCGCCTCCTTCTCCTCGACGGTGCATCGCTTCTCGAAGTCGTAGAGCTCGGTGAGACGATCGCAGATCGGATTCACGCATGAGATGCTGAACAATTGTCGCGTCACGCATAGAATTCGTCCCCACGGCGGTCGGCTCTCGTCGAAAACGCTGAGGAACACACAGCCGAATATCTGCAAAAAAAAAAATAAATTGAGAGGGTTTTAATTGCAAACAGATGATTCAATAGTAAGTGATCGATGTCGCCCACGTGTGATTTATACGCTCGTAAAACACTACGACTAATTTTGAGAGCCAGAGGAGTTACGGACCATCAAAACCAGCTAATATTATTCTGCGGTATTATGCAAGTTTCGCAAAAAAAAATTCTAAGAAAAAAAAAAGAGCCTCTAAAAATCGCTAAAAAAGATCCATGAAAATTTATTCGCGTGCGTCTTTGACGAAATTTTAAATTTTTACTATTAAAGGGCTGTGGTACTGTTGGCTTCGGAAAACCTGGCCGCGGCCGATGTTTTTCGAGTTTTTTTCGGCAATCTAGTGATTTTAGATGTTTTTTGTTTAGTTTTCTTGCGAAATTTGCATACTGCCATATTTTAAAGCCCAAAGTCGAAATAAACTTCGAATTAATCATAGCCGAAAATTGCAAGATTAAAAAAATCGTCTAAAATATATAGATTTTTTTGTCAGATTGAACGCAATCGCAACCTCTGACTCATTTGAAGCTCAAGCTTGTTGAGCATCTCTCCTCACCTGGAGCACAACTTTGGCGGTGATCGTGAACAATGTGTACACCAGCAGCATATTCCATCGCTTCAGCGTCTTCTCGAAAGAGTGCGATCGGGCATTCATCACATACAAATTGTTGCCTTGCCAAAGAAGCCAAAGGGTGATGACGATGTAGCCTAAAATTCGAATAAACGTCGTCGTCACGCACCGGCAAAATGACATCACCAACCAAGAGCGAACAACGATGTTCCGGCAATTCCCGCGGCGAGCGTCGCCACCAACGTTATCCAATGCCCATAATGGAATATGATCGTTTTGAGATAATCGACCGCGCTCTTTTTGCACGACAAAAAGTCGTGCTTCGGATTGTCGGCTTTGATGTTGTAGAAGCCATCGCTGTAGATCGTCTCATTGTCGTCGCCCTCGTTTCGGAACACCGACAACTGACACGAGGCCAGTAGAAGCACAAAAAAGTCGATGATCAAATAGGCGGGCGGCCACGGCATATTGTACGTCGGCAATCCCAATATCGCCGTCAAATTGCGATTCGCCGTCGCCGAGAGCCACGACAACAAATTCGTCCATGGATATTCTAAACGACAACACCAATTATGGTGCCGCGCAATTTGAAAAAGAAAAACCGTCGCCTTACCAATACACGCATCCGGCGGCAGTCCGACGTACAATATAAATTGAAGCGGGTACAAAATCGACATATACACCACATAGATGTACCAAATGCCACGACAAACCGTTCTGAAACACACAATGAGGGGGGGGGTCTCTTGACACGAAAAACGCCTTTACCTCGAACTCATCGCGAACACCACAATCCAGAGGCACTGAATCGCGCCGAGTGTGTCCATTCGAATCCACGCATCGATTCCCATTGCGATAATGCAAATCTGGAATTTCGATTTGTTTGTTTCTGTTGTTGAACAATCTCATTTAAAGGCGCATCACACCTCAAACCCAAATTTGTAGAATCCATAATCGATGGCAAATTTGAGCGCGTTCACCAACGTTTTGTCGTAATGCGATGGATGAAAGTCGGGGAACACGCGAGACGAATTCGAGTCCGACAACCCATGGCTGCTGCGATAATTGCGTTGGCGGTAGATCACAATCGATTGGAACGCCAAAGCGATCACCGAGACGATGACGCCCTAAACTCAACGATGCCGATTTTGGCGCAACGAGAATCTCACCATTAGCATTGCGAACGGCGTCGTGAACGGCTCCTTCTCCAAACCGAACCATTTCGCCATCGTGTTGTTCATCGCCGCCGTACAATTGTCGGCACCTCCATGAATGGTCGCGAGTTCCGGCACAACCGGCAGCTGAAATTCAAACCAAATCATCCGAATCAAAGAAATTCAATAAAAACTTCTTTTCGGATTCAAAAAATTCGGCAAAATTTCGTTTTTGTTTGATTTTTAGCAATTTCAGGTAGTTAAAAAAATTAAAACTATGACAAAAATCTCAATTTCCAGCATGAACCACCAGTACGTCAAAAAAAAAAGATGAATCCCTTAATATCCTAAGATTTTCCCACATGTACCATTAAAATCTACAGTAATCTCAGCTTGAAAAACAGTGTACCTGATAGATCATTTTGGTGAGAGCGACAAGGAACAAATAGCAGCACATGAGCAATGAGAATATGCCGTCAGCGGCCGACGGCAGCGATATCGCCAATGATAATAAAATGACTAATGGAATGTATAAGGCATTGATCTGAAAAAATCGAAACAAGAAGATTTCGGATTACTGTAGACGGAAAAGCTTACACTAAACGCGACAAATATGGCAATGATAATGAAGACAATTTTGGTGACGAACACCTCGAAGAACCTCCATAGCAGCTCGATGGCTTCATTCGCAAGATCGTGAATCTTCTTGGTTAATGTGTCAGCTGAAACAAAAAAACCTTAATAATAATGCCCCCCATAAATGGGCAGATCCAGAATTCTCACCAAATATGGCATTTTCTTTTCTTCTCGAAAATTTCTTTTAAAAAATCATAGCCCAAAAAATTGACATTTATATATTTTTTCAGGAATATTTTCAGCATAATCTACCAAAAGTTTCAAAAATTTTCTTAAATTGACAATTTTCAGATCAATATTTCGGCACCCCCCCCCTCTTTCACCAAATTCCAGCACTCCCGGCCTATCTGAAAAAAATTCCAGCCTATCTGAACCGCCATTCATCTAATCAACAGCACCAGCTGTTATGATGATTGAGACACATTGTGTACCACTATTTGTGTGTGTGTGTTTGTCTCAAAATCCACCTTTGAGCCATAAAAACAAAAATCAAAGAAAAAAGTTTTGTGAACCTCGCCGAAAAGCAAAGATTACATTTTTAAATCAAAATCCCAAAAAATTGTTTTTTTTTTTTCGTTGATAAACCGAATCAAAATTTTTTGCCGATAATATAAAAATTGTGTAATTTTCGCCGCCGCCAATTTACACCGAGATTTATGTGTGTTTTCACATGCGTTTTCAATTGAACATGTTTCATCGCTTATTTTTTTGCAAAATTCTCTCTCAAAAGACATCAATTTAAAGGCGCATCATGATCGTTAAAGCTGTTGCAAGGTTTCAAAGCGCAAAATTTCGCTATAAGATATCAATCCATCACAGGCAAGATGGAATTTCAAAAAAAAAAAAGAACAACAAAATATATGTATGCGCCTTTAAACATTCAAAATTCCGGATAATCTCTTTGAGAGGAATTTGTGACAATTCAAGGATGCGCCTTTAAAAAAAAAATATTTTCGCATCAACTTTTTAAATCTGTAGCAAATCAGAATTCTAATATTTTATCCCGATAAATGGAAAAAATTAATCGAAACTTTGTCAAAACCCATTTTGTGCACAAAATGACCATATTTGGAGTCTATATATAAATATCGACGATGAAAACCTACTCCACCACGATCGCAAATAATCGCGAACCGATCGGCCGTGCCGAATGTAGCCGCGATTCGGCGGCCGCGCCGGCACAATAATCGGCATCATGTCGTCGTCATCGATGTACGGCATCTCGTCGCAAATGCCCGAATCGCCGCTGCTGCTCACAAACGACGTCGTCAGCATGTTGCGCTCGGCGGGCGACGCGAGACACCGTTGAAGCCAAATCGGATCGCGACCCTCCGAACTACTCGATGGCCGCAAATACGACGATGGCGGTGGTGGTTGTGGTGGCGGCGGCTCGGACTGCGTCTGCTCCTCGATCCGCCTCAACGCATCCCAACCGTTCGCCTTTTTCGACGGCGACGCTGACGATCGAAACCACGGTCGTTGTCGTTGATCGTGCTCTTTGAGCAGCACCTGCTGTCGCGAGTATTCGCGAAGCTGCCTTAGGTAGTAATCAAGAATATGCACAAATTCGCCGTAAACCATTATCGAAGAATCATGAAGAGTGGGGGGTAGAGGGGACGACGAAGAATCAAGGAATAAACCGGGATACGACGAGCGAGAAACAATCACACCTGCTCCAGCTCTTTGATGAGCAAGAAATGAGGGTGGTAGGGGCAATAGAGGGAGGCAAGAATCCGCTTGTTGTGTTTTTATATGTGTGTGTAAGCTCACACACAACGCTCCGCCCACTTCTCGTACACACCCCAAGGAAACAATTTTGTCTTGGCACTTTCATAGTTATATTTCGAACCCCCCCCCCTCCCCCAGACCCCAATTATTTACCCGTGTGAGGTATTTCTCAAAAAAAAAATTGTCTCTAAACGACATGTGTCATTTTTTCATACACAATCATCTCACACCTCAGTTTTGTATCTTTTTTTCCTGGCTGCCGACACTCTTCCGGGTTTCATGATTAAAACAAAAATTACATGTCCGCAAAAATGCAATTTTAATAAGTAACAATTTTTTTTGCGTTCAATAGTTTTCCACCCATCTGCGGACATTCTTCCGGATTTCCTTAAATGTCCGCAGATGAAATATTCGATGATCGTGTGCGCATTTTTAAAATTCGCAGGAAATTGTTTGAAAAAATAAAATTTCGTGTTGAAGTCCAACAAAATTCAAATTCCGACCACTCTTTGCGGGTTTCATAAAAATTGTCGGCAGATGAATTTCACATTTAAAAAATCGACAAATCGCTGTCTCCTTTTTTAGAACAAGGCGATTCCAAATTTTTGGTTTAGCAATTTCAAGTTCAAAGTCGACCCCAAACGCGCAATTTTTCAATTTGTCCTCAAAAAAAGCAAATGAAGAAAAAATCTGCCATTTTCAGGCGATTTCGCGTTCGTTCGTTTCAATAGTTTTCCTCTTTTGGTTCAGCTAGGGGAGGGGTAAAAACAACGCGTTTCTTTGATTTTCCTCTCGATTCCGCAAATCTTGACAAATTATGATTGTTGGCCGTCTCGTTGACAAAATGAATAATGGGAAAACACGTCGAAAAACTCCAACATTTTTTCACCAATGTCTTCATCGGCATTTTTTTTGTCTCCCTCTCCCTCTATCGTTCAAGTGGCCAACAAAAAGAATGGCGGAGCTATACAAGTGTGATGATAACAAAAAAAAAACGTTTAAAGGGACACAGAATGGTCTCGCAGCGAATTTCTTCGTGAATCTCAGTTTAAAGGAGTCTCGCATCGAATTTCGGAAATCTCAAAATTTAAAGGGTCACCGATAGGTCTCGAAGCGAATTTCTTCGGGAATCACAAAGTTTAAACGGTTACTGATAGGTCTGGCATCGAATTTCGAAAATTCTCAAAGTTTAAAGGGACACTGACGTTTCCAATTTTAAAGGATGGATCGGCAGAAGGAAAACTTGATATCCGTTGAAAAAGAGCAAAACATTTAAAAAAAAAGAGTATACCTTCTACAATAGAATAGAGCAAAAAACGCGCGAATCATAGAAAAATCGGAATTTTTTGGTCTCGAAAAAAAAATTTTTTTTAATTGCCAATTTCATGTCAATTTTTCTCAAACAAATCTGTTTTCATGATCGAAAAATGAGCAAATCGATGGCCCGACGAGAAAAGTAGAAAATTTCTAAACAAATGGGTGAAATTGATACATGCATACATAGAAAAATGAATGGAATTGGCGACAGTGTCATACATTCCAATATGAAATGTTTAGATTGAAGCCAATTGTTTCCAAATTTCGCCTTTTTGTTTTGCCTTCTCTTTTTTTTCTTGAATCATCGCCCTTTTTTGGAAAACGGGTGTCATCGCTAATCTCAAAAAAATGGATTGCGAATTTTAAAGAAAAATCAAAGAACATTGATTTTTCTTCATTTTCTAAAGCGCCAAAAATTGCTATTTCAATTTTTTCTGGTTAAAGAGGCTGGAATTTAGGGTCGAAAAATCCAGCTTTTTTTTTACCAATTTTGGCAAAATTTGAAAATTTTCAAATTCGGGACCCAAAAGGTCTCAAATGTCCTTTAAAATAGCTTCCTGAATAAAGAAAAATTCGGGATCCAAGATTCTTCAAATTCAAGGGGCAATTTTTGCAAACAAACACTCCCCAAATCAAAATGGTCCCTAGAAAAGAGGACAATCAAATTTCTAGGCGAAATGAGGCAAAATTCAATTATTATTTCGCGAGGTCAATCCAATACGTATCCAAAAAAGGAAAGAAAATCAGATGTGAAGTCAAAAGATACGATTGAAGAAACCGAATCAACGAACGATGAATGAAGACACAGACGGTGGCGATCGATTCAACCCGGATGAGTGCGAGGGAGAGAAAGAATTGGAACACGGCCAAGTTTTATCGTTTTCGTCGTCTGACCGTCAACAATAATCATCGTCATTCTCATTTACACTTGTTAATCATCTGATAGGGATGATTGAATGCCCAAATACGGTCGTCTATTGAAACGTATTTCTCGACATTCAACAAATACCAAAAAAAGCGCTATTCGTTGCAAGACTCGAAACTGATAAATCTACATTTTCATCACAATTCTAGACAACAAAAAAACAAGAAATCGCATTTTTCGCTGCAAGACCCAAAATTCAAGAATTCGTAAAAATCTGCAAAAAATTCTACAAAAAGAAAAGTGTATTTTCAATTTAGAATTTCCGATATTTTCTCGAAAAAATAGTTCATTTCACGATTCACACTTTTAATTTTCCAAAAAAAAAACGGTCAAAAAAGAAATTTGTTCTAGTCTAGATTTCCGCTTAAATCTAACTAAAACTTTAAGCAAATTTCGACGTTTCTTTTGAGAAATCAATCTCCAATAAATTGCTAAAGCCAGCATTATTAGTAGAAAAACGGAAAAAATCGAGATTCTTCGACGTCAAAATAATCGATTTTCGAAATTTCCCGAGTTCAAAATGAGCAATTCGGCGAAAAAAAATCTCAGAAAAAATGACGACGAGAAAAATCAACAAAATGAACGCGAAAAATCGCATCAAATCACACATGTAAAATATGCGCTCAATTAAAGAAAAAAAAAACGCACGGCGAAACGAAGACGATGAATGATGAGAGCAACGCTTCAATTCAAGAATTCTAATTGGAATTTCGAGCGTGTTTCGTTTAGACATAGGGAGTGTATGGAAACGCACCAAAATCGAACATGAATGCTCGCAATCATTCTCAACGAGGGGAAAAATCCAACAGAAGTGTAAAATTGTACCCAATTATGGTCATTTTGTCAATAAAATATTTAAAATGCGAACATTAGGCCATAAACTATCAATGATTGTGAAAATACTCCAAATATGGTCATTTCTGTAACACATCAATCCCAAAAAATGCGCAAAAATCGTTGTTTAAGACAAATATTCTCTTTTAAAAATGTTCGATGATGACTCACGTCTCAGCAGCTGCATCGACGGTGTTCTCGAATCGCCGGCATCGGCTCGAATCGGCGAGACCGCCTGCTGCCAAGCATCATGGAAGAACTTCAATTGGAGCATTGTGACGACGAACAAACAGATCGGCGCGAACAATCGGAGGAATAGCGTTCTGAAAATTGCAACATTCAGCGTCTCAACTCAAATTTCAGAAATTTTCAATATGAATATCAAATCTCCTTTTTTTCTTCCAGAAAAATTTGAAACTTTCTCAATAAAAAAACACCAAAAACTTTAATTTTCAGCAGATTTTCAAAATTTTGCGAAAAGAAAATTAGAATTTAAAATAATTTTCAAATTTCCGACCTACGAGAAAGGCAATTTTTGCGGAGTCAAATAAATCAAAATTCGAAAATTCGAATTAAAAAAAAATGACGATTTTCGAAAAAATTCATGATTTTCCCGCAAAAAGCTCAATTTTCTATTGACAAAATCACCAATAAAATCAAATGAGTGCAACAAAACTCGCCCAGATTCTCCAATTGCAGAATAATCGACCAAACCAATCGTTTCAAGCCAATCTTTCGACAATCCCGTAGTATTCTGAAGCCATATAGCAACCTGCAAAAAAATATTTGGTTCAACATATAACGAAGGAAAAATTTTGTTCTTCAAAAAGAATAATAAAATTTCGCAGAGTACCGGAAAATTCCAATTTTTCGATATGCGCCTTGAAAAAAACGCTCCCCCTACAGTAATCATTACCTTCGCAAAAATTCAAGCAAATTCGAGAATTAAACTGAAATTCGATAGTTATGAACTAAAAGAGATAACAATGCGCATGTGTGTAAAGGGGGTTGTCGGCATCGAACAAGAAAATGACAAGGTCATCGAACAAGAAAATGACAAGAAAATGACAAGGTCAAAATGACAAGGTTTTGCGAATCAGAAAAAAAACGAATTCTGATCATAATTCATTCGAAATTCCAAACGAAGCACAATGACAAATTTTGGCTGCTTCAATATTCATTCGAAATAATGAATCGCCTTTTTTTTTCAAATTTCTCCACCCAACCATTTTTTGGGGCAGCAGATTTTTCAAAAAAAAAACTGGCTAAAAGCAGTTTTAATCGTAATTTTTATATAATTTTCACAGTTTCAAAAAAAAGTTTTTTGACAAAATTTAAAAAAAAAGCAAAGAAACATATAATTTTTATTTTCAAAAATAAAATTTGTATTAAAAATGACGATTTTTCAGTTAAAATACCATTTTTAAGGTATTATTCTTTGAAGAAAAAAAAAGAAGAAGAAAAAAAACAGTTTCCAAACAAAACCGCATTGAGTTTGTCAGTCACATCTTTACAAAAATGAAAAAAAAAAAGTAATTTTTACATTGAAAATTCGTGAAAAAAACTATTCTAATGGCGATTTTCAACAATTTTCAACCAAAATTCTTAAAATTCGAAAATTCGAAAGAACAAATTAAACTTTTGTGTAAGTAAGTCTGGGTTGTAAAAAATGCACTTTTACGTAATTTTTTTTTTAAATAAATAAATTTCCTGAATTGCTCCATTATTCATTATTTCAACATTTCTCAAAAAATCCAAAAAACAAAAAGCTTACCCCTTTAAATTGATAAATATACAAGATGATGATAACCAGCGAAGTGTAGAACGTCAATGAGAGCCAGAAGACATAAGCAACACCACGGAAGAGTCGGAAAGAAATCTGAAAAAAAAGAATCTATATTTTCAAGAGGGGCGGAGACGGCCATAAAAGGGTTTACTAGACCGGTTTTTTATATTTCGGGCCTAAGGCTGCCGAGATAAAAAAAAAACATTCCCTATATGGGCAAAGTAGCATTTTTTCCAAACAAAAACATCAAATAAATGAATTGGTCGAATGTTTACTGCTGCTTGTTTAATTTCGAAAAGAAATCTCAATTTTTGTTGAGCAAACAATAAAGGAAAAAGAAAAACGAACGAATCGACCAACATTTTTCCAGTGACTCACTGGTTTTGCTCGACGGTAGCGGCGAGAACGAGTTCTCACTTGATGATTTCTTCGAGTTCGCTCGTTTTACTTGAAAAAAATCGTCAAAAGCTGACATTTTTCGAGAATTTACAAATTTTTCCAAATTAATGTAGCCACAATTTCGGCATCGCATCAATAAAATCAAATCTTTAAAAAATAATCTCAAAATTCGATTTTCCGACCATTTTGAAATAAATTTGTTCTCTAATAACCGGTTTTTCAGCATTTTTCTTATCGTATTTGAAATTTAAAAAAAACAAAAGGAAAAGAGCAAAAATCACCTTCAAGTAGACAATCGACAATGCCCAAATGGCGAAAAATCCAATATTGTAAAACGTCGGCTTCGCATAAGTGGCGACGATGAGCAATGTGAGCGAAACAACGAAAATGAAGTAGGTCGAGATTTTCGTCGAACAATATTTCACAAATGCCGCCAATTTTCGACTCTTCGGATCCTGAAAAATCAGAATTTCAGCTTTTTTTAAGCGAAAAAATTCTGTTAATTTATTCAAAATGTAAATTCAAGATGCCGCTTTCAAGTATTTCTTAAAGTTTTTGGGAACATTTTCAAAGCATTTGATAATTCTTGAATAATTCAAATTAAAACAAAACAATTTTGAGTAGAATTTGCCGCTGAAAATTTCAAAAAACTTGGGAAATTTTGTATTAAGCATTCAATATTATTAATTTTTCCCAAAAAAATGGACAATTTTCATTTTCAGCTTAATTCTTAAAAGCTTTTCATCTCATGCTTTTATGGTAAAAATGCAATGAAAAATCATAATTCGAATAAAATTTCTCAATTTTCCACACGAAAACCTAAAAAATTCAAATTTTGACCTTCAAAACCGCTATATGTGTTTTTATTTCTTACAAAATCCGTTGCCATTGTTTTTTTTTTGAATACAAAAATTCCGGTTTCCCGGTAGCTGCAATCTATATTAAAAAACACACCGATTTATGAAAAATGTGTCTATTCTACAAACTGATTTCGTTTTGGGGGCCAATTTGTCAAAAAGAAAACCAAAATGTTTGTTTTGTAAAACGCAAACAACCAACAAACAAAAAACATTCAAAGTCGTGTGCGAAATTGAAAATTTTCGATTCTTCATTAAAGTTCAGCAAAATTTCTGTTTGGGATTGTTCGAATTTTAAGAAGAAATTCAGCGGATTCTCTAAAGACAAAAATTTTTTGAGAATAAAATTTGGAAAAAAAATCACGAAAATTTCAACAGTTTAGAGGCAAATATTCAAATATCTCAAAAATAACTAAAAAAAAATCTTGCATTTCCGAAAAAAATTTCTAGGGGAATTCATTTTAAAAATTGACTATTTAATGATTTTATACAGATTTTGGAGAAAACCGTTTTTTTTAACTGCTCGAAACTAGTTTTTTTTTCCACAATCTACATAGAAGTTTCATCGATTTTTTTGAACCTCAAATCTGCAAAAAAATCCATAAATTTCGAAATTAAAAAAATAAACGCAATTTCACTTCAAATCCTCTTTAAAACATTTCAATTTTCACCATACCTCCTCGATTCTCAAAATCGGCGATTTTCTCCGCACCAATACATGAAATTTAGATGAATTGAGAATAATATTCACATTTTTTAAAGCTAAAGTATCAGGCCGCTTCATTTCTAGAGAGCACAAACTGAATCGGTTGCCAATACAAGGAAGTTATCAAGTCGACATGCAAATACCCAAAGGACTCAGAAAAAACCAAGACAATAAACAATTCAATTTCATTTGAAAAAATCTTCACATATTCTTTCTTTTTGATTGCAAAAACTACTCATTTTCGAAAAAAAAACTTTTTTTTTCATGCTCATTAAAAATTTCAATAAAAAAAATATTCTAAATATTTTTTTATAAAATTAAATTCGAAATTCCTAAAAAGGAGATATTTAGTGAAGAAATCGTTGCCTCGCAACAAAAAGAAAAAATTAAAGAATTTCTCAAACGCGAATTCAAATAATGTTTTAAAAAAAGTTTTTTCACTAAAAGAATTAATTTTCTGACAAAAATGCAAAAAAAAACGTTTTTTTTAAAGATCTCATTTCGATTTTTCAATTTCTTTCAAAAATTTCAAATTCAACTAAATAGATTCCACAAAAAATCATCAATTGTGTCTTTTTTTCTACAAGCTTTTATTTTTAATTTTTTGGCGATTCTCAAATTTTCTAACCTTGGCAACTGCTACTCCACCACCAGCTCTCGTTCCTCCAAATGTACCATACGATTGAATCCTTCTCTGTCGCTCAAAATCGCTCAAAGACGCATAATACCTGAAAAAAGGAGCATAGAAATTTCAACGAAAAGTTGACACAAAATATGGTCTCACTTTTCTCGTCGAGCAAGTCGAACCAACAAAAACACCGGCAAGCTGAGAAGCGTCTGAAATCAATGAAATTTTGAGGAGGTAGAAAAAACATATAAAAATGAAAGAAAAAATCAAATGTGATCCGTTGTACCGGAATAATGACAAGTCCATAAATGCACAAAATCGCCAGCTCGTACATTCCGCATCAATTTCGAATTAGTTTCGATTGGCAATTGGCTGAGAAATCCGAACATCAATTCGTCATAATGTCAATTCGACAAGCGAAATATGAGCCGTTTTTCCGGCAACACACACACACACAAAAATCGGCAAAAATGACTAATCGATAGCAGCTGGTTAAATAATTGCAAAAAAAAATAAATGTTTTCGCGGGGGAAAAAAAATCCATAAAAATCCATTTTCTACAGGCCTCGGGTTAAATACGAAACAGTTTCAGCATCGAAATCCAAGATTTGGTAAAGGGGATTTGATAAGTTTCACTGGGAAGCTGCCTAATGCGCCTTTAACTACGATATATCGCTTTTTTTTAAATTTCAACAAACTCTACAAGACTTATTGTCGATTTACGAGGACGGGTCTCATTGGGATATTAGATTTCTCTTTAAGACGTAGGACCTCTTTTGTAATATATGGTGTCGTTTTAGGGCAATGCGGAAAAGGTAATTAAAATCTTAAATTTCTTCAAACGGGAGCAGGTGGGACACTTCGAATGCGAAAAGCTTAAAGTAACTACAGTAATCTTTAAAATATCTTCAATATTCGGTCGATTAGATTGAAAACAACGAAAAATCGCGGAGAAAAATTGTGTCAAAATTCCCACATAAAACGACCCCCAACCTATTTATTGAAAAAAAAATGAAATAACTTTAATAAAAACGACAAACCTGTACACAAAGAATGACGAGAGCATGCGACGGGATCTTCATCCAATGAATTCCGACGAAATCCATCCATTTCGGATCACCAATCTCATTATGAACATCCATACTGAGCACATATTGAAGGAGAAGAAGGAACTTGAAATGATAATTGGAAAGAAAAAATGAATAATTCTTCAATTACCTCAATATACGCCAAAATGAGCGGCGATATCGTAAACGCCGCTTTTCGGGTGTCGCGGAAAATCCAAAGGACGCACGTGATGATGAGCAGAATCAAACCGAATATGGAATGATAGAGGAGCGCCCACACCATCATTGCGGTCAGGGCGAGCGAATAGGCGTGGTAGATCACAAACGAGATCACCGCGATCATTCCTTTCGACGCCGCCGATTCCTGTTCGCGATTGGCTGAAAATCAACAATTTCAAAATTTTGAGCTTAAAAGGGAGATTCAAGTTTCGTAAATCACAATTTTTGAGCTCATTGAATTTTCGATGTTAGAAATTCGAGATTTAAGCGCAAAAATCGGAATTTTCAAAAGCAAAATCATGAATGAAATCAAAAAATTTCATTAAAAACATCAATTTTTCAATTTTTCTAGAAGATTTTCTACTCTAAAAAATCTGAAATAACAAAAAAAAGCCACAAAAATGAAAAAAATTTTTCCTCATTTTTTTAAGCGCACACATCCGAATTTTCGGGCAAATTTCGAAAAAAATCTAAAGCATTACCATTAAAAATATTATTAAGTTTGGAACGATCCACTTGCGACGTCACCTTCCTCATCGGAATCGACGTCTGCGTATCCGAAGGCTGTGTGCTGCTCTCATGGTCCGGATCATTGCCAAGAAGCTGAAATGAACCAATACTCCATAAATGGTGAAGAGAACAATGGCGAAGCTGGCTGGTAGGATAGCGAGTTTAGTGTGCAGAATTAGTGACAATGAAAGATTTTCTCTTCAAAATATTGAAGACGGGGGAGAAGCTTGAGATACCCAAAATGTACGATTTTTGATTCAAAAGGGGATGATAGGAAGAAATCCCGAAAAAATAAATTTTTCTTCAACGACATCCACAAAAATGAGGGTCATGCCAGAGAAACATATAAAACGCGCTCTATTGAACGACACAATCTCGCGCCAAGTGCAATGGAGCGCGTTTGCAACTTCCAATCGAAAACCAGGCGCCGCTAGGCTCAAAATTCGAACAGGATTCGCAATTTTCGGTCTGATCATGCCTCAAGCAATCATGCAAAAAGCGAATTAGAAGAAATGAGGAGAAAACAAACCCCAACAACCTTGGAAATGGTCTCAATCTATAGAGAAATGAAACGTCTGAGAAAAAAAAAACCGAAAATCTCTTGTTCACGCACCAATGTGTTGCCCCGTCCACGCGATGCTCCATTCGTCGACGACGGCGTCGTCGTCGTCTGCGTTTCGCCAATCGTTATCAGATGCTCCGGCTCATCATCGACATGCGACTCGACGGTTCCAGCCGACGCGAACCGCTACAAAAACATAACAACAACATACACGAAGAGTCATCATTCAAAATATGTTAGAACAGAAATTTTGGCGATATACAAATATCTCTCATTTCATTGCGACGATGGTACATGTAGAAACGGACATGATGAGCACAGACATGTGAGCATAAAGAGCAGAGTTTCTGGGAACACGGGACGCCTCCACCTCCCACCCAGAAGCGATTGAAGCCTGCTGTCACAGGCGGTTAGTACGATTAGCCAGCTTTACCTCCTCGTGCACTGATGATCCAATGTCATGATCGTCAAAGTATTGTCGAGATCCGTTTTTCGTGAACTTGTATTGAATGACGAGCGCGTAGTAGAACACCTGAAATTGCCGATTTAAGAAGGGATACGATTTTGAAACGAAATCGAAATTTATGCGCCTTTAGAAACCGAAAAATTGCTTATTTTGTTTTGTGTGATATCTTGCGCCGCGGTGTTTGCACAAATTTCATCCGCACTACAGTAATTTCAGTATTTAATGCAAAAAAAAGCGGCGACATGGAATAATTACGGTAGTCGTTTTTTTTTTCATAATTGTTTCAGCAACATTTTTGAACCTCTTAATTCAATTTGAATTTTGTTTCTGTGATTCACGTATAAATTCTAATTTCAAAATTCGTCAAGATTAATTAACGGTGAAAAAAAAACCCCGACTCACCAAAACCACAATCGGATTCGCATAGAGCGGCCATTTCATGAGCAGATTCCGCGAATCGAAATCCGGCGCCACAAACGGATATTTCCACCATTCGGGACATTTCGCGTCGATGAGAATGTTCAAGCCGAGCAATCGCGCGACAGCACTTCGTTTTGGTATCCACGAGTTGTGGACAATCGGAATCTGATACGAATACAACAATATCACGTGGAGTCCAGCGAACAAGATGAGGAACTGAAATAATCGATGATGATGACGAGGGAAGCGAGATGTGCGACTGACCAATTTGACTTTGTTGTAGACGCTGTGCCGAAGCGGCTTGTACGTCGACCACCATGTCGAGAAGAATAAAAATGCAGCGAAGTAGACGAAATTGGCAAGAGATGGCTGAAACAGATCAGAGATTTTTTCTTTAAATGAGCAGCTTTCCAATTCCCAAAATATAGGATCTTATAAGAAAAAAGAAAACTCGAAAAATATTCTCGAAGTCGCGATCTACTGTAAAGTTGGGTCTCGTTACGCAGCATAGTTAATTTGTTAATTTTTGGATTGTTCGTGTGGACTACACCGACACAACTCTCTTCACCGCGAGACCACCATTAAAATTTCCTTGAATTTCAGATGACCATAAATCAACTAAGCTTTAAAAAATTCCTGAATCGCCATGTAAAATGAACTCCTTGGTTTAAAAGCTAGATGCGCCTTTAAACTTACCTTCACAACTCCAACATAAGCCATGAACATGACAATCAAGAAGTTTGTGAGTCGTCGCAACGAATTCAGAAGCGCCTTCCACATCATCGAATTCTGACTTTGAATTTGGCTGAAATTTGGCTCGATCTTGAAGAAACGAATCGCGATAATCTCACGTTTGCGAATCGCGCACCGACACCACATCGCCGACGATGTCCAAATTCTGATTGCGATGCGAGCAGAACATGACGACGACGAAGACGACGAGCGACGTCGTCACCGAGATCACTTCCGGCAGGTAAGCGCGAACCGATTCGAACGTGCCCGTCGAATGGAATCGAACGAGACCCAAACTGCGGAAGAACGTCGTGTCGGCACGATTGCAAATGTACGTCGTCGAGTTCTTATGAATCACATGCTCGGAGATCTTGATGAAGCGATTGGCAATGGTCATTGGAAAGAATTATTACCTGATACGAAGTGACGCCAAGTCCGATGCCGAGCGAAACGAGATGAGCGATCGTCACGAACGTCCCAATAATTTCTGCAATTCAAATTCAATCTGCGGACAATTGCGCGCGACAATTACTTGGCAATGCGTGATGCGCCCGAATCGACGGTAGAATCGCTGACGTCAGCGCCAATGCGACATAGAGAATCGAGAAGAAGCATGGCCGGATGATAGCAGCTGGAAATTTTGCTCAAAATGGAACTAATCGTGAAATTTGCGCATTTTTCAACTGTTTGAATCCAACAAAATCACAATTATTTCCATTCGAGTCCCCCACTAAACCCGAAAAAATCTTACCCGCCAAAAAAGCCACGGGCAGCACAAATTTGAGGGCAAACGATTTGAACCAAGGCGGCACCGTCATTATTATGAATTGATTAGTTGCGATTATTATTATTAATCATCAGCACGTCTGAAATTAACAGAAAAATAAACAATTAGAGTAGGACGAGGAACATTCGAATGATCGAAGTGCAACAAATGATACCAGTCGATTCATTGAATAATTCATGTGAATCGTGTGACAAAAAAGAACCGGTGCCACTTCATCAAATATGCGATTTTTGGGGGGAGCCATTGACCAAAATTGGTAATATAGGTGCACTTTTCGGAGCAAAAGGGTCACTATTAATTATAATATGACGAAAAATTAATGATTTTGGGTAAATTCGAACAAAACCAAAAATGTGGCCTCAAATTTGAATTTCGTGGCCTAATTTTTTATTAATCAAATTCACACCACAATTGAAAAAGATTATATTTTTTTTTTAATTTTCCAATAAAATTTGATTATTCTCATTTTTTAAACTCGTTTAAATTAATTCGATAATTAACGGTAATTAAGAGAAAAATTAATCAAATCTTGAAATTGGCGACAATTTCAACATTCAAACAATCAATTTTCACCTTCGTAAAAAAAATACAAAAAAATGCAATGCGCCTTTAAAACAACAACGCTGCGAACTCTCATTTGTCCGCAGATATTACAAAAAACGATAACCCAGCTGTTTGTTGCGAAACTCAAGGAATAGTGGAATGCACCTTTAAACTATTGATACCGTATCGAAAAAAAATTTTTTTCTTCAAAAAATCCTCGAAAATTCCCACGATTTTCGCAAATTTCGAGAAGCGCTGAAGCAGTAAACAAGGAACAATTTTGTTTGTTTATTGTGAACATTAAAAAATGGAGAAAAATTGTTGGTCGCATTAAAAAATCAATAAAATCGGCCAATTTCTTTTTTTTTCAATCGATTTTTTTCGAAGGGCTGCAATTTTATTTCCACTATATAATGGAATTGGCCAGACAAAAAAAAACCCCCATTTTTAAAAAATCTGGTTAGAATTACTTTTTTCAAATGATTGACAGATTTTGTTCAAAATTAGTAGTCATTCGAAAAAAAAACGCCGAAATTGTTGAGAAAGAAGAAGGGCTGCTGTCGATTTCAATTATGCCCATATTCGCAGAGATTCGAGTCGCAAAAATAAAACACTGAAAATTCCGAGAACACCCGGCTTCCAGTCATAAACAGCGAGAGACACCAGACGATAGACAACGCGCGACATTCAAATTCTCTCTAGAAATTTCGCCAGAAAAAAATGAAAATAAAGATAAAGCCGCCAAGAGTGCTGAAATTAAAATCACAATCAATACGTCTAAAAATAGCGTTTTTCAGAAAACGCCAAAAATTAGAAGTTTTAGAAGTATTCCATAAAGATAATACGTAGAAAAAAAATAGAAATAGGTGGGACCAGCTTGATCCCAAAATCTGAATCTGATTACCTCAAAAATTGGCTCAAAATGGGACCATTTCGAAAAATGTCCAGCTTCTCGCCCCAAAAACACCAACGAACCAAGGAGGAACGTACACAAGCAACACAAAAATTTGAACAGACGATGGACGCGAGGAGGAGGAGGAGGAGGAGGAGGCAAAATAACAACACCGGGCGCTGATGTTGAATGGGGGCCCAGCGTACCCGAGTAGCCAGCCGCCCGTTTCTTTTTCGCCAGCATTCTCTGCGTCTCTTGTTGTTGTTGCCGTTTTTTTTCAAATTCAACAACCAGCCAATGATTTTTTGTGCGATTTGAACGACGAACGCAAAGGTCAAATGCATAAGAGCAGGACGGTTTAAAGGCGCATAGCGAAATTTGAAGCAACTATCTGACACCGAAAAGGAGACTGAATTAGAGAAGTGTACATTCCAGAAAATTACTATTTTCAGCATTTTTAGCCAGCAATCAACTTTTTTCTTAAAAATCCGCAACCACGGGGCCAATTTTAAGAATTTTTAAAATTGAAAGAAAAATCTAAAAATTGCATTTTATCAGCAAAAAATGCTGAAATTTTGGATGTCTCTAACAACAAAAATCGCCAATTTCTAGAAAATTTGAATTTAATTTCGGGTTTTTTGCATTTCCTTTGAAATTTGTTGCGACTTCGAGAACAAAAACGGGTTTTCCTTTAACCAGAGATTCCAGGGTCTTGCAACGAAAAAAAAATAGTAAATAGTTATGAGCAACGTCAAACATTTCCGAATGTTTGTTTAAAGGCACATGGCGGCAAAAAAAAAACACATAAAATTGCAAAAAAAAAATGAAGCAACGTGAAATTGGAAACAATTCGCTGGGGGTAATTGTCTTATCAGTTGACTCATTTCAACTAGAAGACCAAAAATAAAATTGGGCGAAAAGAAAAACATGACCAAAAATGGTGAAAAGTGTCAAAAATTGACGATGATTCATACACAATAAACGCAAGAAAGGCGGAATCGTTTGTAAAAGACGCACACTCTCTACTTTTTTGGGTGTTTGCGCACAATATTGGCTGAGTGTATGAGTTTGTGTGGGAAATGAATGAACATGAGCATGTTTATCAACAGGTTGGCGAGGTTTTTGATAAGAAGGAATCGCGACGATGGTTTAAAGGCGCACACCGAAATTGTGGTCTTTTAAGGAAATTCTGGACAGAAATTCTGAGCTGACAAAAAAAGAAATGTAAATCCTACAGACAAAATTGTATGATTATAAGTCGCATATCGTGTTTTAAAGGCGCACGCCGAAAATTTATCTTTATTTTAAAAGCGTACTAAAACAAAATATGTAGAAATTTTCAACATCCTTTAAACTTAAAGTTATGCTTTATTTAAAGACGCATCTCGAAAATAATTACTTGCATTTTAAGAATTTTAAAGAAAATATGAGTCTTGGAACAAAATATTATGAATTTAGTTTTAAAAAAATCTCAATTGTTAAAAATCAATTTTGACCCTAAAACTCTAATAATTCCAATTTAAAGGTGCATGTGAAACATATAAGAGAATAAAGCGAATTTCAAATTTTCAATTGCACAAACTGAAAATAAAACCAAAAAATTCTTTCAAAAACAATTAAATTTTAACTTTTCTCAAAAAAAATCCCTCAAATGTCATTTTAATAAATTATTCTTGTCTTCTAATCACGTACTAATTTCCGATTATCGTGTTATTCAATGGATTTTAAATCTGGATAATCCAACTCAAAAAAGAAATCCACCTGTACGCACACGGGGTCTGATATCTTCCCAAGCACGCCTAATGTCGTATTTTCTCAAAGTCGGACGCGTTTCATAGATTATTATCGCATATTTTATGGTTTTAACCTTCGTCACACCGGCGAAACGTGCTTCTAAATATTTATTGCGGACGGAATTTTAAATGTTCTGCCACATTCAACAATTTTTCTTTATTCATTTCGCGAATTTCGATAATTTGAGCAATGAACTCGCGCAAAAATGACGAAAACAAATTATAAATCTGTGGAAAAAAATGCGCATTTAGTTGAAAGTGTCTCGATTTAAGATGACTATTTCAGCACATTTTACCTAAAACATTATTTCCGCCTTTCCGATGGGTTTTCGACGAATTGCAAGCTTCATTTAGTATTAGTCTAAACGAACATTTTGGTTTTTTCAAATAAAACTTTTGAAACGCGCGAAAATTTATTAAAAAAAGCGAAAATTTTGAAAAAATTAAAATTCGAAAAACAGAAAAACCAAGTCCGCAATGCACCAATTGCGCGCCCGCATACCGTACTCATTGCGAGCTACAGTAATTTTAATAAATTTTCTCAAAAATTATTGCATTTTCGGCAATTTTATTAATGATTAGACAAATAACCTAGCGTAAAACGTTCATCTCACATCAACGACAAGTGTTTTTGTCCGACACCACCTCGAACGCGGTCGGGAGCAAAATAAATAGACGCGATTTTTTGTTGTAGCGCTATTAAAAAATAACGAAATAAAAATTTTGCTTTTCCGTCAAGCTATTTTATTGTTCATCGACGAAAACAACTAAAAAGAAATGAAGGGAAACAAAATCTATAATAAAAATTAATTATTATTGAGAAATGTGTAAGATTTTCCGCTTATTTGTTCATTCGTCTGCCTTTTTTTCAGCTCGCATTCTATAGGCAAATTGTAAAAATTCGTGAAAAAAACGTAAAAATCGAAGCGCAATGAACGCGAAAATAAACATTTCGACGCGATGACTCATCGTTTTTATTGATTTATCGACGGAGTTTATTATATTGGCGCGGAAAATCAAAAAAAAATTTTATTTGAATTTTCCATTAATAAAATTGCCCAATTAGCGTGGGTGTTTTTGCAATAAAAATTTCTCTGCCAACAATTTCACAACCCGCAGGATTGTCCGCAGATCGAAGTTTAAGAAAAGGCGTTCAAAAAATCGGACTCCAAAAATTGTTCTCGAATAATTTTTGTTGGGTCTTGCCTATGATTTAAAGCTACCTAATTCATAACTTGTTGAATAAAAAAAAATCAGCAAGCTTGGGAAATATGGAATTAATAGATTCCCAGCTGCGGACAAGTTAAGGTTTTCCGAATCCACACCATTCTCACACAAAAATTCCCCTCTTACATCAATTCGCATCTGCGGACATTTTGCAACCCGCAAAATAGTCGGCAGATGAATTCACCATCATTCAAGATCAGAAGAAGAAGAAAAAAACCGAGGCGCGGCTATCTGCAACCTTCTCCATCTTCTAATTACTTTCTCAAGTCATTCGTATGCCCTTTTATGGTCCCACGAGAATCATCGTGGCGCGCGTTTTCTTCTCATTAGCAAATGTTTCAAAACGCGCACGATTTCCATTTTTTCGCCTTCACAATAAAATGAATGCCAAATATGGGCACGACCTTTTCAGTGGGGAGGAATGCCCTTAAAACTTGATTACTGCCCATGACAATGCGTGTTTTTGCTCGACAAGTGCTCATCTCCTTTCATATGACATGATTTCCGCTGCAGTCATCCGCAATCTTTTGTTGAACATCCAAACAATTTCAATTTTTCAATGGTCCCTATCCAAGCTTTCCAATGGTCCATATTACCGCAATTTTTTTTACCTAAAACTCAATGGGCTCCCAATTTTGGCAATTTGCCCTCATTTCTAATCAAATGAGCCAAAAACCAATTTGTCCGCAGGTGCGTGTTTTCATAATTCGATTCTCAGACTGGCGTGAAATAAAACAATCACGCCTACTACCGTAGCCATCATGCGCCTTTAAACACATGGAGACAACTAGAAGTTGTCTTTCTAATCGAATATCTTTGGAAAACTCACGTTTCAACGCCGAAAATGGAAAAGATAATCCAACTCATCCTATTTGCCACGTAATTAATTATTCGCATAGTTAACAGTGCGCGCCGCCCAATAAGAAGCTCATTCATCTCATCAATAGGAAATAATTATATAATTCGATAACTGTGACGTCACAAAATTTGCATTTTTCATTTTTTTTTTGCTGCAGAAAACTAAATTTGGTGACAAATAAACCTTGAATTTTTCGCTTCAAGACACGACAAAAAAAAATTGAGTTCTATTCTTCGAAAATCATCCAATTCCCCATTTAAATTATAGCGTTTCACGCTGGGAACCCGAAACTCGCCGTGTTTTTCGTTTCGTGCTCTTTTTTTTTCCTTCATGGAACCCCAAATTGCACACCTAAATTTGTTTTTGTTCGCTCTCGTGAGCATTCGCCCCGCTGTACTCAAATTTGGTTAAACGTGACGCAACAAAAAAAAATATTTTTGCACTATGCAGCGTTTTCAGATTTTGTGTGTATGTGTGTTGAAATCAATTCATTTCGGAGAGCCGTTAGATGTCGGCAGATCGAAAAACAATATTCATTGGTCCCTAGGAGAAGCCACGTGGTGTGTCCTTTAATTGTTTTGGCGAAAAAAAAAACAGAAATGTTTATCGAATGATGTTTTAAAGCATATTTTTTCTTTTTTTCGGTCCTTCCTCGAAACTTGGATGATTGTCGAAAAACAATAGGAGAAAAGTGCAACTTCCGACGCGATTTGTTTTCTTGAGGAATTCGCTGCAACGTTTTCGAGAATTTCGGCTTGAAATTGTAGCGGTCGAGGCGAATGAATACTATTTGTTGCCCTAAAAAAAATCATATTTTTGAGATTATTTGATTAAGAAATTTCGAAATTCGCTGAAATTCATTTCTTAAATGACTTTTTGATTTGAAAAAATCGGCGAAATTCGAAATTTTTCGATTTTCACATCACTTCCACCGGCAGCTGGTTCGCAACGACCTCAGCATTTCGAAAATCTAAACAACCACAAGTTTCACATTTCTGCTCATAAATAAAAGCTTGAAAACATTGAATTTTATTTATAGCATACCTCCGATATTCGTTGAAAATGATTTTTGATTCTTTGAAAGACGCAGAGTTGTTTTAATCCGCAACTGAGTCATTGAGACTGGTAGAACATCAGGACGTTCTAATTAGTTTATAACAGCGTCTCAAGAGCGCGAAATTTCTGAAAATTTGAGAAAAATTACAAGTAATTTCAAAGAAAACTCAAAAATTCACAAAATTCGATGGAAAATAGTTGAGAATTTCAAAAAATAAAGCGTCGGTGCAAACACCGAACGCAAGTTCACACCACTTGCCTACAGTACCCCAACGAAAAATTATTTCATTTTTCTCAATTTTTCAAGGATTTTTTTTTTCAAAAAAAAAATTATCCACGTTCAGACATCTTCTATTATTTTTTTCACTATGTAAAATGAAGAAAAAACGAACACGTCCAAATTTCGCGGCTTCTTCATTTTAATTAAATTTTTGTTCCACTTTTTTTTCGTCACATCCAAACTTTAAAAAATATGTACTCAATGTTGACATTTCAAGGTGCGGACATCTCACGGGTCCCAAATTTCAAGTTAGAAATTCAAGAATGATGTTGAAAAATTCGGCACGGCCGTTTTTTGAGCTTCTGCCTCTCAATTCCAAAAAAATGATGATGAGCTCAATTAGTGTAAATGCGTGTGCTCCATGAAATCGGGCCCCCAATAATCGGTTCGGGTGCAATTTTCAAGTGCACACTTGAGAATGCGTCAGGAATTCCTCTTCTCTTCATTTTTTGATCTATCTATTCCATTTTCATTTTTTTTGCATAAAAAACGGAAGAAGAGAAAAAGATTAACCAATTTTGGGATGAAAAATGGATTTACCAAATAAGGCCAACATTTTTTTCCTCTGTCATTTTCATTTTGCACTGTAGCACATACTAAAATAGAGACTTCAGTTCACCACAATATATTTCAAAATCCCATCTGCAGACATTGTTCGAGGACCCCCCCCCCACCATTCCCTTTAATCAAATCTAGACTTGATAGTGATTTTTGTGTCCGCAGCATAAAATATACATATTTTGAAAAGCAGAGAAGTCGACTCTCTATTATTCATTTTTCTTTTTCCGCTCAACTAGAGGAAAAAAAACCGAACGCGATTAATCATTAATGGCAATTTTGGTTAAAACTTTGCCATTTATTGTTTTTCGTCAGATCACTACCAATAATAAAGCGTTCCCCCCTTAAAATTTAAGCTTTTCGTCTCATCGATCAAAAATCAAGAGTCTGATGACGGCCAAATTTTCAAAAGCCGATAATTTTTGATGCGCTTTTCGCCAAATTATGAATGATGCTCAGCGTCTAGTCGATTTGCAATATTCCCCGGAAATCTCGATTTCAGACTACATTTGCTCTTTTTTTTCCAGTCGATACCCAAAGCCACGCCCATCGAGGCGTCACTCCAAAAGAATTAACGGATCTTCGTTTTTTCTTTCCAATTGTCCGCAGCAAGCGGATTTCTTAATATTGCACCATCATCATTTCTTTACTTAATGACCGCATTTCAAGCATCTCTTTTGATTTTTGAAGGATACGATCATCCCATCTAAATCACCTGAAATTATTCATCATTTCCATCTGCGAACAATTTTTCGCACCGTCAAAAAGTACACCTGGCTTTTATTTTCTCCGCGTTGCGCAGAAGCACATAAATTCTTGTTTTTTGATTTATCGCCTTATCTATCAACAAAATTGGCATATTTCCAGCACAGCGAATTGGCATATATTTTTTTGTTGTTGAGCGTCAACAATGGACGAGAATGAGCATATGAAGTTGTGGATGTTCATCTCCGAATGCCAATTTTGGGTTATCCTTATCACCGTCATTTTGTCGCTTATTGTGATATCAAAGGTGCGCTAAAAACCGTTCAAAAAATCACAATAATTTTTCCGAAATTCGAGTCAGAAATTTCAAAAATTTTTTTGTCATCATTTTTTTTCCATGAGGTTACTGTAGCATTGCAATGTGTGCAGTCATCGCGGCGCCAAAATGCACCAGCTAATTCGAATCTCCACCAATTTTCTATTCGTTCGAACTTTGATTATTTTTGCTAAAAATAACGCGATTTTTTCCAAAAAATGCTTTTAAAATACGCTAATACTTTAAAATTATTGCAAATTTCAATGAATAATCAAGAAAATTCGCAATTAATTTAATTTTTTTCCAAATAATTTTCAGGCTCTATGGAATTTGCTGAAACGCAAACGTAGCAATTATTTTCTATTTCTGTTCAGCATTGTCATCGCCAACATCACATCACTTCTCATTATCCTATTCGACATTTTCAATTTCTCCTTCAAAGGTAATCGATTTTTGCAAATATATTTTCCTACACACAAACCCAATTTTAAAAATAAAAAATATATATAATTTTTTTGAAACCGGAAATTGAACTATCATTTTTCTCTCAGTTGTCAAATTCCAAAATTCAAGCGAAATTTGTTTGTCTGAAATTTTCGAGTTTGGGAAGATTATCGCCGAAAAAACAAGATTATCCGGAAAATGACGCAAAATCGTCGCTTTAGACGGGAAAAAGTCATATTTTGTTAAGGATAAGCTCATATTAGAGGAGTAAATTCGAATAATAAAATTTAAATACTGAAAATTCGGTGAAAAAACCCAACCATTAAAAAAGCAAAAAACTTGATAATTCCCCAAAATTGCCGTCCTCAATTAAAATTTCATCTCATCTCCACAATTCCTTCGTTCCAGGAACACTAGTATGCAAACTGGAGCTGTTCGTCTCCAACAGCGCCGCCTGCTTCATCAATTGGCTGTGGCTCTGCTTGTTCACTCAGCGCTTCTTCATCCTCTTCTACCCGATGAAGCGCCATTCGCACGGCTTCTTCGGCTTCATGCAATCGGCGAGGAAGCTCATCGCCGCCAGCGCCGTCTTCGCCATTGTCACCCAAAGTTGGTCGTTGGTGTTCTTCGAAGAACGCATAATACTAACCGACAACGACCAACTAATCGGCGTCTGCGAGAGAGCTGTTGGCCTTCTAAGGTACGCGTTCTGGAAATCGCTGAAACTAGTGAAATATCAATTTTCCAGTGACACCGGCTACAAGATCCTTGCAGTAGCCGAGGCCCTTCTCACCTACGTGCTCCCATTCGTGCTCACGATTGTCATGGACATCGCAGTCCTCTATCATTCGACAAATAGCAGGTGAGCCGCCGACATCGAATGATCAACCAATCGAACAATTCTCCAGTTTCGTCGTCATGTCCGCCGAGAACCTTCGAACCGATCGAAGCCAGCTTCTCAAAATCAACGACACCGTCAAAATCCAGTCGTCCGAATCGATCAAGGCGTCCACCCATCGTCGCCATCTCGCCGTCCGCCGTTGTTTGGTGATGGCCACCACCCAAGTGCTCCTCAACGCGCCATACTACACCCTGCAATTGGTTGATGAGATTTACGAGCTAAGGTGAGCGATTAGGAATAACGCTGACTGCGGACATTACTCCGGGTTTAGGCAATCATCAATCTACTTGTACCTCGATGCAATATTGTACCTGATATATCTCACTCAATTCTCCATGATATACGTCTACACCAATTTTTTGGTTTCACCAAAGTCAAAAAGGTAATGATAGCCATCAGCGATATCCGATATATTACCTTATTCAGAAGTCATGCGAAATCCCCGTTAAGCTACACGAACAGCTTCAGAAGCGAGGCGACCAATTCAATTCTGTGATTGTTTATATCTCGAGCAAAAATCGAGAATATTGGTGATGATAATAATATTAATAAAGAGAGGAAGTATACAATTCTCAAAAAAATACAAACAACAATTATTAGAAAACAAATTAAAGTCATGGCTTCTTGTTAAGGCTATCGGCTCATTTGTGTGAGCACCTCATCGAGGGCAGATATCGTTTCTCCAATGTTCGACGAGTCGAAACAAAGTGGAGGTTTGATTTTGAGAATATTCGTGTGCGGACCATCGGCATTTAACAAGATGCCGTGGTGCCTTCGAAGGGCGAGAATGACGGCAAGCGCGAGCTTCTGATCGGGCTCTCGGGTTTCTCGACTCTTCACCAAATCGATTCCCCAGAACATTCCGACGCCTCGAACGTCGCCAATGCATTCGTGCTTCTTTTTCAGCTCGTTCAGATCCTTCTCGAGAATCTTTCCCATTTTCTCGCTGTGGCTCAACAATCGCTCCTCGCGTATCACTTTCATCACGGAAATGACGGCGGCGCAAGCAACCGGATTGCCGCCATACTGAAACAATTTCGTCAATTTGAGGCGTCTCCGTCGATTCCTACCGTATTGAAATACCCCACAGAACCTCCAAGGGTGTCGGCGATCTCTTTTCGCGTCGCAACTGCCGACACCGGGAAGCCGTTGCCCATCGGCTTGCCCATCGTCACAATATCCGGCTGGAATCCATCGTTGTAGAGCTGATGAGCCCAATACTTTGATCCGATTCTTCCGAATCCTGTCTGGACCTCATCAATCACCATCAATCCACCGTGATCGCGAACGTGCCTACATTAAATCACAGATCAGTGGACAATTAGTGATCTCTCTACCTGGCGACATCTTTGAAATACTCGTTCGGCGGAATGACCTGTCCACCGCACGATTGAAGAGCCTCGGCGAAATAGGCGGCAATCGTGCGTCCCTTCTTCTCAGCCTTTAAAAAAATATTGGGTTTTGACAAATGAGCAAAAAAAAAACGAGTACGTTTTCAATGATCGCGAGCACATCATCCGAGTACATTTTGCCGGTTTTTATCAATTTCGACTCGTCATTCAGCTCATCGTCCGATAAGCGATGTTTACCGCGATAAACGTCGGGGCACGGCGCCTAGATGAACAATGATGATTTCATGAGTTGCCGTTTTTGATAATTACCACGTGAACCCATTCGGGCTGCGCGACAGTTGATCCATGATCGAATTTGTAGGGCGACATTTCCATTGTGGTGGTGACATGTCCGTGATAGGCGCTAGAAATCAATTAGTTTCGGATTTGCATCCGAATGCTGGTTTTCCTACTGTTCAATGACGACAGCATCGGTGTGTTTCGTGTAATCGCGCGCTAATCGAAGGGCGAGATCGTTGGCTTCAGATCTGCAACGAAGAAAAAAAAATGATGATATGATAATCGTGTTCGTTGCCCTCGCAAAATTTGATAAGGCGACCCCCCCCCCAAAAAAACAATAGATCAGAAATCGAGACGCACCCCGAATTGCAGAAGAGAACGGTGTCGAGGCCGGGCAGTGTGGCGAGAATCTGCTCGGCGCAATCGGTGAGCGCCGTCGAGACGAATCGAACGTTGCATGTCGATGTGGCGAGCTGCTTCGAGATCGCGTCGACGACCTTCGGATGACAGTGGCCGACTGAAATGAGCGAAAACGTTATTTCCGTATTGACAAGGTCGATAATGTAGCGCGCAAAAGACTAAAGAATGATAGCCGCTATCAACAAATCATTGAACATATTTTAAAAAAAGATAATGAGAGCGAAAAATGGGAAAATTTGAATGATGAAATAATTCGAAAATGCCCGCCTACAGTACCCGTTGTGTATTCACCGCGACGCACTAATGCACAAAATCTCACCATGCTGAACATTGCTGATGCAATCGAGAAATTGTTTGCCATTCTCATCATAAATGTACTGCATTGAAGCGCGAGACACCATAAACGGATCATCGGTGTAGAACATTTGGCATTTTGATCTAAAAAATGCAAAAATTGAGGAAAAAAACCAGGAAAAAAATACAACAAACCCAATGGTATTTTTGCGTTTGAGCAATATCTCATCCTTGGTTCGGACGTCTTTGACCGCGTCCGCCGCCGTCGCCGACGATCCAAAGAATCCAAGAGCATTCACCAATGTCGACATGATTGGCGTTGTTTTGTGCAACTTCGAACCATTCGCGTCGGCTCATATAGACGGAGTTGGGTGGGTGGTGGGCGGAGCCGAGAAACGAGTTCGCCACGCTCGACTCCGCCCCCCTCTCTCCAACCGTCAGATTTCATGGACAAAAACAAGGGCGTCGACGACGATTGCGAACCGTATTTGACGGTGTGATGTTGCCCTTTTCGCATAGAGAAGAGAACAAAACAATAGAATATATATATATATATGAAAATAAATATCAGCTGGGTCGACAAGTCAAAACATTTCGCTGACACCGCCGCGTTTCTCGATGAAGAAGTGACACCCACGACGCGACAACAAATATTATGTGGTTTATGGCCGATTCCGGTTTTCGATGGTACATTACGAATCAACTAGTCGCCTCACTCAGAAATGGATTGTTTTAAACGTCGACGTTCACGTGAACGACAACAATCGTTTTCGGTTCAAGCGATGCTCCTTTAAATCCGCCTACAGTAACGTGCTTCTAGAAGGATCATTCTTAAATGTTGCACATTTTGAAAGCAATTTTTTAAATCTATAAATAGTCGCCGCGAGACCCAGGCTTCTCCTTAAAAGGGAGGAGGGGCCAAGATGAAAAATTAAACAATTGATCGGCTTCATTGAAATTTTTTTTAAATTTTTGGATTACCCTATAAAATATTATAAGCAAAGGCATTTCTCCAGAAACCCACTATGAGCCTTTAACTTGCCACGACTCCCAAAATCCCTACACCATTTTAAAGGCGCATGCTCTTTATCACAAGGAATAATTAGCATCACTCCTCTAACATATGAATGCCTTGCTGCTGACAAGCCGACATGTTGAAAATGTCCGCAGCATGATGTTGTTAAGAAAAGAGAAGGAGAAAATTCGAAATTCAACACTTTCTGATTTTCTTTTTTTTGATGACTTCGTTTTCGAAAAATCTTCAAGCTTCCCGTTAATTGCCAACAATCGCTTTACCGAAAATTGCACAAATATGGATTTCCGTCTGCGGACCAAATTTGACGCGAAACAATTGATTCGGACCACACCGTGTCGCATTTGACTTTGTCCTCTCGCAACCTTATCTTATCATGCGTTTTTTCAAAGATATCCTATCGGTTCGAAATTCGTGATAAATAATTTATAATGCATAGTTATGCAAATTTTCGATACCAATAAAACTGGAATGACGATGAGAGACCAAAAATAGATTGATTTCGATCTAAACAAAAAGCATGTCCCGAAAAAACTCGTATTGAATCGAGAAACTGCTTGAATTTCGTCAATAAAAAAAATATCAGTTAAGGGATTTGTGTGCGCCTTTAAATTACTCTTTTGATCTTCCGATTGTTGCCCTGTTATCTTGTGGATAAGAAGAAGATGAACAAGAAGAAGAAGAAGGTCAAACACTATGTAGTTTTCATCACAATGACCAAAAACGCGGAAATCTTCGACGAAATTCATAATTTTTCGCGATTTTCAGCATTTTTAGCATTTTTTTCTTTAATTTCCAACAAATTTCGAAGTAATTCGTCGTAGATTCATCCTGAAAACCGAAAAAAATCGACCACTAAAAATTATCAGAAAAATCCCGCAAACACCTTGACGCGAAATTGCACCATTTTAATTCGCACAGTAGTCTGGTTCAAAAATTAGATTTTTTTCAAAACAAAAAGAATTTCCAGTAGGATAGAACGAGTTAAATGGTGAACAAACTAAATATATAGTTACACTTTCACTAAAAATTGATTTTTTTTGGAATTGTGTAAGTCGAATCATATAACGACGCGAGAATTTTTCAAAAATTATCACTAAATTTAATATCAATTTCCTAAAAAAAATTTTCAGAAATCTCTGTAAAAACTTGGCGAAATTTCCTTGAAATCTTTGTTGCGCAACGTTCGCCGCGATCTCATGTCGATGTCGGATTTTGTCATTGAAAAAAATCATATGTTCGCGGATACGGTACAGCGATAAGGAATGTCGCCGACATTATAGCATATAAGGAATACGACCCAAATAAGTATTACATATCAAAGAGAGGGAGAGAGAGAGGGGGTTCTTAAGAGAAAATGGGAATACGCAAATTCGCCTTTGTCCGCAGCAAGAAAATTTTATAAATTTAAAATTTACAAATTTTGTTCGGTCAAAGCTTGTGAAAAGCTTCACCAGAACGCTGCCCCCGGTTTTAAAAATTAATATTTTTTTTATTTCTAGGCTTTTGAATTCCATTTTTCTCGGCCAATTCAAAATTATTTTATATTGAAACAAAAATTGAATTTTTCATACAATTATTTTAAGATTTTTTTTTCAATGAATTTTTATATATTAAAAGGATTTTCTATGAAATTATCTAGAAATTAAATTTTCAGCTTAATTTCATATTCAGAAGCGAGTATTTGAACTTCAAAATTGCCATATTTCCATTTTATCAAAGTGATTACTCAGAAAATGTCAGAAAATTAAATTTCATATTTTGAGCAGCTCGTTAAATTATTTTCCAATTCCCTATCATATTTCTTTTTAAAAAATTCAATTTTTGTATTTTTAAACATTTTTTATACCAACCAATGTTGTTCCCTATAATCTCAATCAGTAATCCAAAAAAATTTTTTCATATTCAAAAAAAAATATTTTTGCTGTTTTTCCTTTCATTTTTTCTTTGCAAATATGTTAAAATTTAATTCTTTAAATAATTTTTAAAGGGACAAGTGGATCAAAAAACTGCTAGCTACCATTTATTGGGCAACATTTCTTCAAACAACTCGGCTGAATCGATATCTTGAATTTTATGAATTATTTTGACAATGGGTCTCGATGGGAATCAAGCAAATGCTCCAGAGAGGCCCATATAACACCCTGATAATTATAGCTTCGAATATCTTCAAATATCTGGAAGGCGGCGTCGAGGCTTCATCTAACAATGTTAGTTTCAGCCAAGCCAATCCAATTAAGCGGCTGCCGACAATTCCATTAATTCAATGTTCAACAATTGAACCCAATCTTCTTATCAATTTGAAATCGGCAACGTGATCAATGACGAAAGCCGAACCGTTTTTTCGTGACCGGAAAAACGATGTCAGCCAGATCAGTTGAGATCAGTTCTCTGGCTTCCAATATTTCATCGACGGCCCCCCAAATTTGTTGTTCATCGTTTCCTACGTAATATCCATTATCTTATCATATTAATTGACACGATGACATGAAAAAAAAACGCCGAGCGCAGAAGTTGTCCGCAGATGGAAATTGTTGAAACGGGAGCCATCGCGGCGAAATTGTTGAGAAGTTATTACGGACTGATTCATGCTATGAAAAAAAAATCAATTTTTTATTTCGTTTAAATTCCCTATGCAGGCATGTCGAAAATACGAAAAATTGATTTTTTTTATTTAAAAAAATACAAAAAATTGACGCACATATCGTAATTCTTTTAATTTCAAAGGCGCACGCGAAAAGTTGGCGCGGGTCACGACGCGAAGTCAGTACTGTAATTTTTACAGTACCGTGCAGTAAGATATACAATTTCACTTTTTTTATCATAACTTTCTGAAAAGTTGACCAATCGATCTGAAATTTTTGGACAACACGGATAGTGTGTTACCAAACATAATTTATTTATTTTGGGATACTATAGACGCAATTTTTGTGTTTTGGATCTTTTTTTGCGTATTTTCAAAAATATGATTTTTTTAAATTTTTAAGTTTTGTCGATTTTTTTTAGATTTTCAATGTTAACAACATTTTTTTTATTTGTTTTAACAGGAGACGATTAAAATGATCAAAAAACATTCTATCAGACTTTTAAAGCAATCAAGGATGACCGAGCACTAGGTCTTTTCATCCAATGTCTATCACACCAGTTGAACTCATCGACTTGGACCATTTGTGGATGTTTGAAACCTCGATCGGATTCCAAACCACTGGGAAATCCTTCCAAAACATCCCCGGCAATCAATCGCACCATTGTAGGAATCAGCAAGAGCAACCCGCGTCTATCCGATTCCGAGATTAAGCGACAACTGAGACATTTCGATGAGGTCAACGTAGATTTTTCCGAAAAACCATGACATTTTTTCACCAAAAGTCACATACAGATCAGCGTTGATACTGTCAAGCGTTGTCTACGTGGTTCTGAATTATTTGGACGTCGGTCTGTCAAAAAATCTCTCCTTTCGGAGAAGAACCGCCGAGCCCGTTTGAAGTGGGATAAGGAGCTTTTGAATTGGAGGTTTCGACAATAGTCAAAGGTCGTATCGAGTGATGAATCGAAGTATATCTTGCTCGGAACTGATGGTATTACCTTTGTGAGGTGTTCGGACGGCAAAAGATTCGATCCAAAGCATCAATTACCAACAGTGAAACATGGAAGAGGAAGCGTGATGGTTTGGGGATGTTTTACTGCTTCTGGAGCTGGCCCACTTCGTCGAATCGAAGGAAATATGGATCGATTAATGTATAAAGACATTCTCGAGAACCATATGCTTCCGTTTGCAAAGTCTTTGCTCGGTGTGGATACTTATTTCAACAGAATAATGATCCTAAACGTAGTTCTCGCTTCATCAAAGAGTGGTTCTAGCAGCGTAGGGTGGCCGTCAGGGACTGACCAAGCCAGTCACCTGACTTGAATCCTATTGAACATTTGTAGGAAGGTCTTGGTAGACGTCTTCGAGGTCAAACAGTACAAAATTGTGCCGAAATGTTCGAGCAGCCGAGGAGAGAATGGATGGATATTCCAATTTCAACCCACACGATTTTGATCGAGTCCATGGGTCTCCGATATCAAACTATGATCGATACAAATGACATGTCAACAAGATATTGAGTTGTTTTAAGCTTCCTGACAGATAATTGTTGTTTTCCATTTCATTTCAAGTCGTACCGGTATCAAAATTATTAAAGTCGGTTTTTCGCTAATTTGGAATTTCGGATTTTTCGTCAATAAAATTTTTCCTAATGTGTTTTACACCTTCTAATTTTGATATATAATCACTCT